GAGTTTGGAGTCGTTTGTTCTCCGCTTCGCATTTGTCATGTTTCCGTTTTAGAAGCTGTTACGATAAAAGCAAACAAAAAAGAAAAATCGTTTTAAAATTTGAAAAGTATATACTATTAAGTACTCTTACATTATATAAACACTCGGAAAGATTGCAAGCTTTATAACCAGATAAAAAATGACTCTTCTGTTTCCTCATAAGCTCCCCAAAACTGGAGTGAAAAGGTTTGTGTGTAAACGGCTACAAAATTAACGTACGCGAATGTCGTTATTTCAGAAACACCTCCGCCCTCCCTTTGTTTGTCCCTAGAAGCTCTTTTTTTTAACGGCTTTATTAGGTTTTCTGGGGATTTTCCTTCTACTTACGTCTCGCTCATATGTGAGAGCCTCTTTTTGAAGAACCATAGTTGTCTGCTTTCTTGAAATTGTAGAAATCTTGCTTTGAAGCTCGTTTAATTTATCCTCGTATTCTTTTATCAATACCTATAAGTACAGTTTAAGATCGAAAGGGATAAAAAGATGAAATATAATAAGAAGAATAGAAATATAGAAGTTGTACATACATTTACAGACTGGCATGCCGGCAGATACCATCTTTATGTTTCTAAGAGAGTTTATCACTTGGTCACGATTTTTTTCACCAAAACCGTACTAAGTTCAGTTCCACGACAAAACACGGATCCTGTTTTACGCGGCAAATAGATAACTACTCTTACTAGTGCCAAGTAACCTTCCGTAGTGGTACACTTTCGGTGTCCATTTGCAACCTCAAACTCTACTAGAAAGCAGGTCTCGGTCTGAAAGTTAGAAAGCGCTATATCCATCGGATAAATTGTTATCCAGCGAACATACGAAAAGCAGGAGCGGCTCCTGCGAAAACCAATTACTTTTACCAGTGGATAGTGATTTATCCAGCGGATAACGCATTCCACCTTTTGAAAAACTGGGGCCACGGGCCCAAAATTGATTTACACTAGGACGTAGATAACCAAATGACTGAAATAACTAGACTCGTACTTATTAAACATTGCTGTTGTCTTCATTACAGTTAGTTTTCTGTTCGAATATGGAATATAGGAACTTTTACTCGGTAGATTTTAACATTTTTTGTTGCACCATCCGCTTAAGAGAGGTCCTTTTAGCTTCTACGAACCCGGATAAAGGATAGCACATCCACTTTAACAGTGGTGTGAGGTTCTGGGAACGCACAGTCCAGTGTCCGTTTTAAATAAACAGGCTCGAGTGCACACATCATTATAGGAACAAAACGTTTGACCCACCTCCTTTTCCGTTTTTAAACTGTTAATCGTTATTTCCTGATTTTTTATTGTCGCCTGTGAATCCTTCAACAGGGCTTTCATGTCATCAAGTTGACTTTGAAAGAGGGAATTCTCTGCTTTTAAAAGCTGATGCATTTCTTCCACACCAGTCTAAGTAAGAAACGAAATTAAAAATAAAAGTACGTACATAAATCAGGGGCGGATCCAGGATTTTTCTTAGGAGGGGTGCACCACTAACTGACTGATGACGTAAAAAATTTTAAAAGCGAATACGAAGAAGAGGGCTTTTTAAGCAACATAATGTGTCTGAGAATACATATCAAACGAGTGTGGTTTTTGACTGAAAGTCCTTCCAACCACAACGGTCATGTTCATGATTTTAATCTGGAAAAAAATGTGTCCTTCCAACAAACGGTCATGTTCATGTTTTAATCCAAAAAATGTGACAAAGTAAATCTGCGAATAATAGCCGTTCCGCGGAAGGTCAACGATGGCGGCGAGCGATGAGAGACATATGATGAAAATGCTTCTCACCTAAGTCATGATCACGTAGTGAGCATGTTTTGGCAATAAATTTGGGCCAACAAAAGTTATAATTCAATATGCCAGCAGTCATTTTCAGTGACAAAAGACATGGTGATAAGTGCTATAAGTGAGGTTATGAAACTTACAAGATGTTTATTTTCATCTTCCAGCCTCAAAGCCTTTCTTTTAATAATCTCCAGTTCTCTTAAACTATCTTCCAGCTTCTTCCGCGAGTCTTTAAACTCTTCTGACATCTCTCTTCTCACTTGAAGCAACACATTTCGTTCTTCTTCCACGAAATGACACCTTGAAATAAAACGATCAGGGTTCGTTGATTTCGCACCAACTACTTTATATCACATCACATGAAGCATACGCCGGAAATGTGGAAGAAAAGGCTTCAAAAACTTGAGTATATGCTGGTTGATAAAGTCTGTTAATGAGCTATATCAGCTATGTCTGGAAAAAAATCCAGACATAACTGACATATCGAACATATATATTTTCAGAGATAGTTAATTCCCCTATGATCTTTCCAATGAAGCAAAATTTGTAATCAAAGGGCTGACAATTTTCTAGACAATACTCTGACTGTCATTGGCTGATTCGCGATCACGTGATAGTAATTAAATTCAGAATCCTAGAATCCTCCGTAGGTTTCTTTCTAATAACCTTTGCAAATTTGAATGTCAATCGTTTGTCCGCGGTTGCATCACAATACACTGAATTCCTGGCTGGTCCTTTTCGAAACAGTTTTGTTTTGCCCTTCGGAGAATCTTGCGTATTCCCTTGACAACATCGAGAATCGGCTAGAAACTGAACCTAACAGGTGGGTTAAGAAACAGTCACTATTCACTAAGCTGCAAGATCACGTAAGTCTGCAATACCTGCTAAGAGCCATGTTGAGTTCTTCCGTAAGTCTGAAGTTATCCATATCACTGTAATGACACTCAAGACCTGGTCTCACGTGAAATAAGTTTGCCAAGAAAGCCAAGTTGAGGCGCGGATTACCCTATGGAGTGAAAAGTGTCCATTAAGTTTATTTGCACATCCATAACTTGTCCATTGTTCAGCTATCACTACTTTCAATCTAGTCTTTTAAAAGGCATTTTACAATTGCATCAAGCACCTTAACTAGTTCATGCGCAGTAAGGTATTTTCGGCATCCTATGAGCTCTGCCATGATGAGGACTTTGTTTGCTCTGACAAAGAGATCCTGTTCACCCAAAGGAGAGAGGTTACATCTGAGGAATAATAAATATTAAAATCAAATAACTTCCTTTGAAATGAAAAAATATTTATTGGTTGAGAAATTATCAAGAAAATCTTCAATAATCTGAGCAAAAATCTACTGGGGAAACTTTAAAATTAAAAACAAAAATCGGCAATCATAGATTGAAATTGAAATCCGCACCTTTCTGGGGCCAGCTGATGCAAAAGGTAACAGTAGATGACTGAATCCTGCATTCACAAACAAAACAGTAAACATCATCTCAAGGAAGTTAAAAGAGAAAAATGGTCGTAGAACAGCCAGTTTAACCATAAAATCCAGATGGAAGAAAAACAAGCAACTCGACGCGAGTACACCAAAGTATTATAGGTTGTGCTTAGTATAAACAGAGCTGAAAAGCTCAGTATTAGTTATCTTATTGTTTAATTTTACAGCTGGGCGACCCTTTAGAAACTAGGGGGGACACAAAGATTTTAGGTAGCTCATTGTATTTGAAAGCAGACGGTTTGGGGTCTGGAGGACCCACTGGACTGGTATCTCTATCTTTAGACCAGAAAATGTTTCACTTAGCTACAGAGACATCATTGTTTCGATGCCCTGGGAGATGAATTTTTATTTTCAACTTTTATTCGTGCATGTTTTGACTTTTTGAGGCAATAAACTGGGGGCCCTCCGGCCGTTCCCAATGCTACGGCCCCGTAACAGCTAGCAGCACTTTCCCTGTGTTCTAAGCCCAGTGGCAGTAGGTATCAAAAACGTTATCCAATTAGAAATGTTATACAATACTTAATTATAAAATTTAGAAACTAGGAAAAAAACTGGTCGAAGTTAACGTTGGCAAAGACTTCTGGGACTGTTTCTACGGTCAGGGGAAAAAAAGGTTGGGCACCCGGGGGGAGGGACTCCGCATATGAAGGTGGTACGGATGCTCGTCGTCTCCCTTAGGGGTGTAAATTTCGGATTTTGGTCTCACTTAGAGTGTTCTGGGCAAAACGCCATCATATTTAGCCGTGAAGGTCTCTTTTAGGGTTGCACGCGAAAAAATATAAAAACATATGTTTTATATGTATATTTTTAATTCGTTTTATTGACTCCATTCATATAATTTAAGTTTTCTATAACATCAATACCTAAAGAAGACGTCTTTGTCCATTGTTTTTATTTGTCGATGTTTTAACATGGTCTCTTTTAGGGGTCAAAAAAAGCTTGGACCACGCCCAGATCGGTCTCTTTTAGGGGTTTAATTCAAAATTTCCGACGAGCATCCGTACCACCTTCATATGCGGAGTCCCTCCCCCGGGGTTGGGCTATAGCTGACCGGCACGGCCAGTGACGCACTCAGAAACAATTGCAGGACACATTTGGGCTCCAGTCACCCTCTCGTTTCTTAAGTGGCGGATACAATGTATCAATACATTAAATATTCAAAGCCAGGTAACCGTTTTTTGGTGGTGCATACCCTTAAGCTGCTGTCGAAGTTCGTCATATCTGGGCCTCTATATGTTGAACGCCTCAAATGATGATTGACCCATCTGATAAGGGGCTCTTCTGGCGGTAGCTTAAAAAGAGGAAATGAAATCATGGTTAAGGTTATAATATTGTTGATTTAGCCTGTGAAAAGGCTCCCAAGTGGAGTAGGGCGAAAACGAATTTGGGCGAGCGAAGCGAGCCGAGCGTGGTCTAGGGGAAAAAAGGCGGGAGAACCTGTAAACCTGTTTGATGCCGCTCATCTGTCCACTTGCAATTATCCTGCAACGAATATGTCAATTATATAGATGTCAATAAAGTAATTAGACCTGTCGCACACGTGGTTATATATGTTCATCGCTCACTTGTCAACAGTTAGCGGGCCCTACCAATCAGATGATGATACCAGAATCTGTCTACAAGCTACGGGCTGCCCTGCCTTTTTTCCCCCAGGCCACGCGAGGCTCGCTTCGATCGCAGATTTTCTTTTTCGCCCAATTCCACTTGGGAGCCTGTTCGCAGGATATGTTGATTGAGACAAACTCAGTGATAAGAACAGTAAGAGCAGCAAAGAAACAGTAATAGTCACCTTGGCAAACTCTGCCCAGTCCTCTTCGGACTTGCGCAGCAGAGCTAACTTAGGTTGCTCTTCAATGTTCACTTGCGACAGCAAACCAACCTGGAAAAGAAACAAATCAACAGTGACTCACAACTTAACACAAAGACAATTACAACGGAATTTGACTAATTCGCAACTAACAATAAAGAGAAGCGTGACGTCACGTTACCATGGTAGCAAAATATCTGGATCTCAACAATATTTCTTGACAGAGACGGCCTTTTCTCATTGTGAAACGATGGAAGAGACAAAGGAAAAGTATGGGCTGCTGTTTTGTTCTCAAGTGCAATCATGCACAGGAAAGTCATACATGTCCATTTTTGTCCTTTTTTCCTGCCATATTTGTAGGACTACGGTTCGTTGAGATTCAGAAATTTTGCTGCCATGGCAACGTGACGCAACGACTTCTCCTCTATAAATAACAATTGTTATAGAAAATAAGACAGTTTGAAAATCTCTCTTGACAGTAAAACGTTTCTAATTAAATCAAACGGGTCAAAACATATTTTAAAGATAGTTCAAAGTAAAGAGTATTGCATTCCTTTTCTGGGAATACAACATGCTTTTGAGGGGTTTGTCTCAGTTTCTTTACTTTTCTGGGACACCTAATTAGAACGTTTAAAAATAAAAAATCCCACTTACTCGGATGATTTGCCATAGAATTTCCAAAACATGATGTTCCTGATGAAAAGAAATACGTGAGTTTTATAAACTATGTAACACCGCCATTTTACCTTCCTGAGGTTTACAAAAATAAATTTGTTAGCGACAAGTTCAGCATAAAGATAATCTTGAAAAACCTAAAAAGAATATTGCCAACCCCTAATTTGCTCCATTTTCAGAAAGGGCGGATTGTTCACTGAGGATTGCGTTTATAGCGCTGGCTAACTCTATATAATACTGGGATACAGAAAAAACGGTATGCATTGGACAAACATCAACTTGACCACCAGCTCACCACACGTAGTAATATGTTTTTCTATGTAGAAGGTTATCTGGTTTATCGTATACAGGCTTACAACCATAAGCCTCAGAGAAACCAAAAGAAACCTCTTTTTTTTGTATACATTCCTATTTGCGATGCATTAGCTTGAAGAGTCTCTTCTTGTCTCTTTGCTCGGCAAATGTTAAACTCTGATCTGAGACCAGGCGCTTGGAAGTAGTGAACGAAAGAGAGAACGGGCGCGCGCGAGGGAGACACCCGAGGTGCCCGTTTTTTCTCGTACCCACTACTTCCAAGCGCCTGTTACGCAGGCTATTCGAAAGGTGGAAAACGTTACCCACCCGGTCCCATTTATTCAAAAGGTGGATAATGCTATCCAGTGGATAAATCTTTACCCACTGGATAGTGCATACTGGTTATCCTAATGCTTATCTGCTGGATGGTAATTTATCCAGTGGATAGCGCTATCCGTCTTTTCAACAACCGGGGCCAGATAAATCTCTATTACGCGGTGCTAGACAGTGCAACTGGTTTGCTTAGTACTTATCCACCGGATAGTGATTTAACCGGTGAATTGCGTTGTCCAGCTTTTGAACTACTGGGGGCCTGGAAGAAAATTCACTTTGCAACGGCCACTTTACCTTTCATTTTACCTTGTCTTTTGTTCTTATTTCCATCCAAGGAAAGAAAAGAGAAATTGTTGTTAAATAGGTAAATGAAAAACATTTAACGAACCCTTCCACTCCAAAGGTCTTCAGCACTGATGTTGGGTATTTCGCATCCAATGTTCCTTGTGCCCTCTATAACGAGCTTCTGGTTTTCAAGAGCTTGGTGGATGTTCCTCACCTGTTTGTTAATTTTTGAGCTTGGTATAGTTCCTCTTTTTATTCGGTTTATTAGTTTGCTGGAAGAAAATGGGAAAGAAGGAGAGGTAGAAGATGATCATCTTGATTATTAAGAACATGATCTAACCCCGCCTGATAAAAATTATAAGCAGGGGTAAAACTTAATTTATAAATATGTATGTAAATAGTTACCCAAATGACGCCTTTAGCATCATGGTCAAAATCGTGGTTTTTTCATTGCCAGGTACTGGTCATAATCATGGTCTTCCAGGTTCAGAGCATGTTCAAATCAGGATTTTCCTTGAGAAAACTAAAGTATTTCATTGCAAGATCATGGCCAATTTTAGTCTGAAATGTCAGCCGTGCGACTAGAATTTCGGAATTAAAATTTTTTTAAATTTCGGAAAGGTAATAGCAGTCAGAAAATACCTAACATATTCGCAAAAGTAGAAGAAGTCACCAACCAACATTATATCATTCGGAATTCAGACGTCTCTCTCCCCTGCGCCCCCCACGGGTTAGGGGGTGGAGATGTGTGACATTTCGGACTAGGCGAAATCCGGGGTATTTTAATTTACACATTTTTAAATGGTCAGACCGTTGTAACAATCATGGCTTGTTATGGTCAGAGCATGATCACAGTCACGGTTTTTCATTGTCAGGTTACAGTCATGGTTTTTCATGGTCAAACCACAGTCGCAATTACTGCTTTTCTTGGTCACGGTTTTTCATGGTGAGATCATGGTCAATAACAGTTTTTACACGGTCAGATCATGATCAATCATGGTTTTTCATGGTCAGATCATGGTCATAATCACGGTTTTTCATGGTCAGATCATAGTCGTTATCACGGCTTTCGTGGTCAAACCATTATTATAATCACGGTTTCTTATGCTCAGATCATGATCACGATCACGGTTTTCCATGGTGAGACCATTGTCATAATCGCGGTTTTTCGCTGGGGAAGGCTTTAGCGAAAAGTGAAATCAAGTCTCTTTTAGTGGCACAATCATGATAAATTATATTTTACGAAAAGAAAATCAGGATTTTTATGCAACAACTCAGGACTGATTTTTTTTACCCTTGGCTGATCAAGATCTTGGCAAATGGCATCCACTAAGAAGCATTCCTTACTCACCAAAACAGGACTCCATTTTTCTGTGCTTGGTAGAGTCTCTGAGGAGGTTTGATTGGCATGCAGTCCAGATCATTGTCTCGACCCAGAACAGTGTTCACATGAAGAACTAAAGCTTCCAACTAAAAAAATTAAATTTCAAATCTGTTTAGTATACGGATTAACAGACTTATCCGCCGCAAACAATAGGGCGAAAAAGCGAGGGGAAAAACGGAAAACTGCAATACGAGACTGGTAAAGCGGAAACAAATTCTAAATACGTAAAAGGAGGGGTGCAGTATAAATGGTTACTTCCTTCTTGTTTGTTTCTGTTCTCTTTATCGTTGCGTTCTTTTTCTAGATTCCCCCCTCCCTCTCTTTTTTTTCAGAGTTACCCTCCCGACGAAGCTGATACAGACACTCCTAGTAAGTAGTAACGTCAGGTCGTGTTGATTTAAAACGGACCCTGGTTGTTAGCCATGGGAAGTTCGTCCAATCCAAAAGGAGGGAAGAAACTTGATCAAATGTCACCTCGAGGATTTGAAAGTTTACTTGATAAGTTTTAAATATTCATTGCCCAAAATCTGACACATGGCTTGCCTTTTTACGATACTCTTTTAGATGGGAGGGACATTTTTGTTTAACGAGTGTTGCAAAAGCAATTGTTTTAGTTACCTTACAGTAATAATCATTGTTCTTTAGCGGAGCTCTAGTGCGCGCACAGTGGAGCACCATAAAAAATTGTTTATCTACGCATTCAAGAAATTTTGGTAGTCATGTGACTGTATGTCCGTCCGTCCGTCCATCCGCACCACAGGGAAACCAATGGGAAATGTCACATTTTCTAGCTAGCACAATATATGAGAGCCTCTAAACTGTGTTTAACTTGATAATAGATATCCATGTTATGGTCAATTGACAGCTGTCAAATCAGGGTGTATGCTGACCAGAATAAAATGACTGTAGCAATGGCTCAGGTGCCAGCTCATCGAGGTCACAATTTTTTTAGGTTTTTCGCTGACCAGTTATTAGCTTTTAACTGATCACAGGCTCGCGGCTTTATGTTTTTTCAGCTAGTCCTCGGTCCTTCCCTAAAATTAAGTACAGATTTGTAGATTCGTTTCCAATGGTTCTAAGTTCATTGTCTGAAGTAAACTATAAACACATAGACGGGAGCTTCGCTTTTAGCTCTGGCTAAATCTATATATTAGTCAGAGTATATTCGGTCGATTGAAAGATGAATTAAAAGGCTGCTCAGTCTAAAAACTAGAGGGCAGAGTCAAGCTCTGCCAGTGACATCTCACTAAAACAAATGTTATTAACTAAGTTAGTCTTGTAAAGAAAATGGTTCCGGTACGTCTCGGAGTTATTTTAATTGAACAAAAAATTTCAAGGGTCACGGCATTGCGATCTAGAGAAGAAATTTAGAAGTATTAAGTTGCATCTGAACAAAGTCAGTGAATAAAATTTTGACTCGCTTATCGTAGAGAACATATAGCCAAAATTTTAATTAACTGTCCACACTTAAAACTACTTACTTAAACCAACTCTCACTTCAGAAAACTGTATATTCTGATTTTCGTCTGTTTACATGTAACATGTAAACATGTAAAATTCTTAGACAAGACGAAGTTTTTCGTTAAAGTTATCGAGCAGCACTGACTGTGGTACTGCTTATAATTTTAAACAGAATGATGTGAATGTTCCGTATGAACTCATCTTTAGAGCTAGAAGCCATCCAGTTACTCACAAAGTGCGTAATATAATCATAGTCCTAAACGCTGTGGCTACATGCCCGGCAGCCGGGAAGGATTTTACAGTCAAACCGGGAAAACAGTGAACACCAGAATTCCAGAAATATTTCTGGAATGTGATTGTGTTACAAGAAAAAAGCCAATCAGGCGTGAGAAAGCTAAACCGCAAGCAAGACCAGTTTGTGGTTTTGTGGCTAGTTCGCGTGTCGTGATCTTTGCGTTGATTGGTCATAACACAATACACATTCCTGAGACATTTCAAGTGTTCACGGTTTTCCCGGTCGCACTGTAAAACAAATAAATGCCCGGCAGTCAGAAATTTGTTTTAGAATTTCTGCAAAATCCCTTTTTCTAATCTTTTAAAGTATCCTACCTTCATTTAGAATTACCAAGCGATCCAGAAAAGAAGAGTAGCTTCGCAGATGAGCGGTTGTGGTTTCTTGGGCACACAATAGAGTCGACGCAGTTTCGACACAGAGAATTTCGTGAGAAACAATGCGTGACTCCCAGGCACGTTTTAAATACCCGGCAGTCTGCTTTAGTATATGTTTAAACGTTTATTTCACTTTCTCTACCCGCCTGGCTTCTCTGAAGGTCGATGAAATACTTTCAATGGGGACTAAACAGACACTTAATGTTGAAATTCCCTAGTCAAATCGGAGTGCCTGGCATTTAGACTGAAGTGAAACCCGCCCGTGACTCAACCACAACATATGCTAGGGTAAGTTAAAACCGGGTGATACCTAACCTCTGGCTAAAAACTCTGTCGTTTCTCGTCACTCACCAATTCTAAACCATGATGGAATATTTTGCAAAATTAGAGGAACGCTTTCCCAAGATTCAGCAGCCCCACCAGTATATCAAGCTGTGTCGAGAGTCTAGGGTATTTAGCCTGTGTGAAATCGTGCCCGGGAGTCACGCGCTGCTAACTCACGAAATTTTTCTAAGTGTCGAAACAGTGTCGACTCTACTCTATGCCCGAGGAACCACAACTGCTCAAATGTGAAGCCAGTTTTGTTTTCTTGATCGCTTAGTTATTCTAAATGAAGAAAGAATACTTTCAAACGATTAGAAAAAGGGATTTTGCAGAAATTCTAGAAACTTTTGTGACTACCGAGCATTAAGTTGCTAAAGAGCCTTCCCGGCTGCTGGGCATAATTAGCCACAGCGTATTCTAAAAAACTGTGTTGTCAACCAAACCTGATCTGTTTGACTCAATGCTAACTGGCAGTATGAACAGGTGTTTCTTTCCCGCAGTGGAATATACTTTTTGTGTTAAAACTGCTCTTTCTAAGTGAAGGAATAACTTTACTTTCATCAGTTCCATTAGACAACTCCGGAAGCTCAGTGGCTTTGCGGTCTAATTTTATTTTAACCCATATCAAAGTAACTCATTAGCTGTGGTCACACTACAGACTTTTTACCTAGGTAAATTCGACTTGTTGACAGTTTACCTAGGGAAACTTGATTTTTAAAGTGTGACCGATTTTTCCCTAGGTAACTTACCTCGGGGAAATTTTATCGTCTGGGGCTTGGATATGTCTCGAGAACAATAGAGTTTCCCTTGACAGCTACCCCAAAGCAATAGCTAGGGAAAAATGAAATACCGAGGTTGCTAGCCAATCGACGCTCATCGGCGAAGGTCTTGATGACAGAACCGGACATAGCTCACGCTGTGAAAGAAATTTTGGGGACACGAGTGGTCTACGTCTTCGGCTTTCTTCACCTTGCACGTTGAATTAGCGTAAGAAATAACAGCAAGATAAAAGAAAAAAAAGCGTCTCTTTGATCAGCTCGATCCCTGCGCATCTTGCCTTCTTAAATTTACGCTCCAAAAAATTCAACTGGCGTGAAAACCTTGGGAGCCGATATCAGTAGTGTGACCTTCCCAGAATTTTTCACCTAGGTAAAACAAAACCCGAGATGAATTTACCTCGGGAAATTTTTGATGAATTTACCCTAGGTAAATTGCTTTTACCTAGGTAAAAGTCTGTAGTGTGACCACAGCTATTATAAAAACTGCGCGAACATGAAGTACCTTGCTCTCAATTACAGCCTGAATTTCTCGCTCTGGCAGAATTTTATTTTAAAAGTTGATAAGTTCCCAAGTCTGTCAATTATTTGTTTACACACTCCGTCCTAAAGTGAGAAATATAGTGTTTACATATTGCCAAATAGTATAATTGCGTTCACTTTTGTTTAAAGTTTTACGAGAAACCAAGTTGGTTGTTAGTTGGATCTGAATGAATGTTGTTTCACAACTTACCTCGGCCAGCGTTAAAGGATATTTGGCCATAGTGCCGAAAGATCACTTTAAAACCTCATAAGAAAACTTCAAGTCAACTCAGACCTTTCATTAAAGACGTTGCGACTATTGTGCAAACAGAATTCAAAGAATTATCATTATTATTATTCTAATTAAATGAACTTTATCCTCTAGGGAACAGGTATGCAATTAATGAAACTCAGACAAAAGCGAAATGAAAGAATATAATCACCGTACTAAATCATTTTCTTATTGCTTTGGAAGATTAATAATGAGGCTCATTGAACACAGTATAAACAGTATATTTTATGAGGTTAGCCTTCAAAGTTTTTAAAATGCCAAGGAATGCTCGAAACGTCAGCTTCGGCTGGTTTTTTTTTTTACCATGGCAATTTTGATAAAGTTGTTTAAACCCAATTTTTTATTTCGTTCGCTCGCCAACGAAGGTCCACTGTTTTATTTTAAAACTAATCCTTTTATTCATTTGCAATGAGACAATCTACCTTGGACTTGTCTTATGTTAGAGTAGTCGCTACAGTAGAGAGTAATTTAGCGACAAAACGAGAACGCCAGAAGACCTTATTTACGACACCCGCCATCTTTCCAAGGTCACGTGGTTTCTCAGGGGTATGAAGTGATAAAATCTGCCAATTCAGGGAAAGTGCGGTCGAGTTTAATTTGTTTATTCTAGACGACAGAAAATAAAGAACGTTTAACTTAGACACGAAAATGGCAAATTATAGGTGGAAGTGATCATTGCTGCTTTTTTTAATGCAGTAACGACTTTAAATGTCTTCACAGCAAGCAATAATGACGTAACACTTGTCAAAACTCAAGCTGTACATTTTTCGAGTCCAAAATCGTGGTCTCGTTTTGAGAAAACAAACTCGACCGCAGTTACTCGTATTGGCCAAGTTTTTAACTTGTTTGCACCCTGAATTACATGACGTTTCCTTTATCCCATCGAACTTAAAACTCGTGCAATGATGGCAGGAAAGCGCGCGGAAAGGACTGACCGCGACGTTCGTACCTAATTTGCCGCTCTGCCACTGGTCGAGCCGGTTTATTTTATTTTCGCTGTCCGTCGTGGAGTGTGGAGTGGGGTGGGTGCTTTCGCGTTGTTCTTGGCTAATATGCCTAATTCAGTCGACTCCCGATACTCGAACCTCTCGCTAACTCGAACCAAAATCGATTGGATCATCATACGTTTCTGGGAAACTGCCCACCTACCCCTCCCCTAAGCCAACATTAACACTTACTTCTCCTTTTTTCTTCATACATTTACTGTCAGTAATTTTACCCTTGTAACTCGAACCCCCGATAACTCGAACCTCCCACTTACTTGAGGTTCTTTTTGTCTCCCTTTCAGATCATTTTTATAGAATTATATCCTCGATTACTCGAACCACGTTTTAAGCAAGTCGAAAAAGAACGAAAACAGACGAGTGTACTGCAGTCCGAAACATTGAATTTACTATTTCAAAACAACCGTGTGTATTCTTTGACTTTACTTTCTGGCCAGTCCAGTTCAAATATAGTGTCCATCCGTGTATTAATACAACTGTGCTGCTTAATTCCTTTTTTAAAATCTCAATTTATCTCTTGCTGCCCTTGAAGTGAAGTGTGCATTTTGAACTCCCGATAACCCGAACTTCTTTCGATTTCCCTTGAAGGTTCGGGAGTCGACTGTACTGGACCTTGCGAACCCTCTTCATTCGACTCTAACCATGCGAACACCTTGCCAGTAAGGATAGCAGCCAAATTCCCCGCTAAACTTAAGGAATTTTGACTGAAACAAACTCCCGCAATTAGGACTCGGTATTACGCACATCTTTCGGTTCCGACAGCGCAATTCTCTTGTTAGACTACTCGTTATGTAATGAAGGAGACACAGCCGCTAAGTTCGAAAAGTAATGGCAAACATTTCATGGCAATTTATTTCGATATAGTATGAAAAATATATATCTATTTGTAGATCTTTTAGTAAATAAATAAATCAACTTAAATAACATAACGACGTCTATATTGAGCAGGCTATTACTAAAACTTTTGTTTCAGCTCTAAAAGATCTTTTGCGGCAATAATGCTGGGTTGATAATACAAACTTAAAATAATTAAAAAATAATCAATAAAAATATATACCTAAAAACAGCAACCAGTAGAATAAATTCTTAACTAGTGAGAAAAAAAAAACGTAGACAAAATACTTGTTAAAGGTAATAGCCAATAGACCATTTTCGATGTATTAAAATTCATACTTGGCTCCGAGGATTGGGGGAATAAAACAAAGGAAATGTATTATTCATTGCTGAGCTTCTGTGATTTCTTTTGTTTTATTCCCCCAAGCCTCGCAGCCAAGTATGAATTTTAATATATCGGAATTGGTCTATTCTATAGTTATAGAGACTGGAGTTGACCTTGTTTTGATACAACCCTTCCTGCCTTCTTATGTAAATCATGTTGTTCTTACGCTAACAAGTATTTTACAAGCATAACTTCCACAAGCAAACAAAGGAGGTTTCCGTTGTACTAAAACTAGGGTTAGATACATTGAGTCGGTTATTCAAACGAAGTCTAACTTAGACCGCGGTTTAGGAAATCTTTGGACACCCAGATCTCTTCCTCAGTGGGTCATTTTAAGAAGACAAATGCTTTTCTAGTCTACGCCATATGCTTTCATGAAACTGTTCACGATAAGTGGTGTTGACATAAAAGCGTTTGGCAAATTGAAAACGGCTTGGAATGCGGCTGCTGCCCTCGTTTCTCGCGTCTCGCGGCTTCGCCTCTCAACGCTCGCGAGCGCATGCACTTTCCTTACTAAGCAGCGCGCGCGCGTGCAGTCCCATTACTAAACCTGAAGAAAATGAGAGACTGCTCGCATTCTATTTGCAGCCTGGCATGACGATGCAATCCGTAACTAGGCCTTGAGAGCAGCAACAAAGCCTTTGATAAGTTAATTTCTCACTAAAAGAACTTGGAAGCTAAAATGTCTCATATTTACATTTATAGAAGTATTATTATTTTTAAAGTATTATTGTTCTCTTTTTGCTACTAAAAAAATGCCAATTATACCGGCATCATGTTCGATGCTTCTACTATGGCATTATGCATAAAATTATGTCGGCATAATGTATCTAACCCTAATCAAAACAGGGTCAACCTGAGCCTCACATTCACTGGAAGGCTGGGGTACCATACCCACCACTGTAAAATGGTCTGTTATTCCATCTGATGTTCACCGCTAATTGAAGCCTTAGGGTTTATAAAGTAAAGTCGAAACAACTAAAACCCTAGAAAGCACTATTTAAATAGGCTGGTTCACAATGTGTTTCGCAGCCAGGCTAGTATTCCCGCAAGTCGTTTCTTTTGGACGGACGAAGTCGCCTGAAGTTGTCCATTTTCCCACCTGACCGAGAACCAACTAACTGGACTGTCAGAACGTCTACTTGGCCAGCGAAGAACTCGTTTGCCTCCTTCATGCAGAAGAGTCAAAATGGCCTTTTGGTTGCTCATCCGGCTCCACAGGCAGAAACAATTCCGCCGGTGGTGGGGGAAGGGGAGGAGAATCACGTTCTCCATTGTGATCAAGCGAGTTGAAATCGGTGTAATCCACCTCTGGAAGTTCGGGAAATGAGTCAGTATCTCCGCCGTTATTTTCTTCAGCTGCTATGGATGCTACGAGAGAGGGAGGAGGCGGAGGCGGGGGAGGTGGAGGTGGCGGAGAACCTAGATCAGGCCGTCGTCTGACATTCCCTGTTGTTTTTCTGCGACCGGTAGCCCCAACGGGTATTTCTAGATTCCTAGGATCTCCACGGAAAGGTTCCCCACTTATCGCAATATCGTCTTTGCTGATAAAAGGAGACGCCTCTTTTGAAACAGACTTCTTTGGAGTTGCATGCACAACCACAGGAGGGAGCTCCTTTCCCTCAGCTACTTCTTTTGAGGGATCGAAACCACGCGAAACGTCCCGAAGCTCTACAGGAGGCAGCATCTGCTGACTATATGAATACGGAGGCGCGCCATGTGACGTGACTGATTCCTGGCTCCTTCCTGAAGTCGGACTTTGAAGCCTCGACTGCGTGACATTGCTGTCACTACTAGTGTCTTGAGGACTTGGAGTTCTTTCCACTGAAGTCCATACGCCACTTGATGACAACGCAGACTGACTTAACAAAGAAGTCCCCCTGAGTTTCTTCAATTTGATCTGATACAATAGAGCAAGAACAAGGCACTTATAGCAAAACACGTACTGCTCTAAAGTTTGTACCATTCCGGACCGCTGTTTTCGCAAACTACGAACACTTTCCGCTACATCAATCTTTCCTGTAGATCTAAACGATTGTAGACAGTTGTGTATGGCACAAAAAGCCCCGGTTCTCCCAACCCCTGCACTGCAATGAACCAAGATGGGAGTCGCGGAGACCGGAAGAGACTTATACTCCTGCATTATCTCGTAGTAAAGTTCGAGAAAGTCAGCAGGGGATGACGGGATACCAAAGTCTGGCCAAGCGGTGAATTGAAAGTAGGTCAACTCTCGACATTCGCCGCTGCCGGAATGTTCAAGAATAAAACGACGTACTACTCGACTGTCCAGTTTTCTGTAGAAGAAAAAAAAAACAGTCAAAGGAGCAAATCAGCATTAGTTTATGTGATACGGAAAGAAAGAATTTTAACCTTGCTTTCATATAACAAAGTGTGATGTTTCTTGTCAAAGCCGGGTCTGAGACCAAGTGAACTACCTGAGAGTGCCAACTGGTCTGAGTCCCCGAATTTGTCTTAAAGGGCAGAAATTCGTCTGCCACAGTACTGTTCTAATAACGATAATGGAACTACAACAAACAAAGTTTTGACAAAGTGTGCCAAGTGACTGAGTGTTTGAGTGATATTTACGTGGGTGATGAGACACACCCCATTTGCTGGTTTGGCAGAAAATATGCGCGGCTATTTCACGACTTGTGGGGCTTAACAGACAGACTCAGCGATTATGGCACTCATAAGAACGTAACTCACCGTTTGTACGTACTGGTAATAACAAAGTCTTTAAACGTCACTTCTTCATCGGTGTCAGGCCAATACCTTTAAGCGAAGCAAGAGGAAGCAAAGAATCAGTTTAAGGAAAGCAAGTTCAGTAAGAAAGACCCACTCGTTCTTTTTCCAGTATAGAAGAAATTTAAAACGAAGACAGATGGAGATGCTTACTTGACGCACTTAACTTTCTTGCCCTCCTGCAGTCTTGTTAACATGACAATCACGTGAACATTTTGTTCCCAGACCATCTGCCAGAAGTCAGCGATTGTGCTGTCCAGCGGACCCTGGAATGATGTCAATTGAAACATGCGTTAGGCAGATAGAACACCCATGTAACAAAACCCAAGGGGGAAAAAAATGCCCGAGAGAGACTTCACGCCCTCTTAATAGCAACTGGTTGTTCTTAAAACAAAAGTTTAAACCTTCTTCAGAACAAAGACCTAAACTAACGTTACCCTATTTAATTTTCTACTAGTCCGTTAACGAAACTCCATTGGTCTAAAAAGTATACTATACAGCATTATATTTTGTTTTACGATTCTCTTGTTGGGCTGTGGTTGAAATCGTAAAGTGGTAACGTCCATTCAAACAAAGACTTCTGGGGTAAAACTAACAATGAACAAACAACAGTAATAACGGACCTTAGCCCTAACACAATAGAGCTTCGTGCTATAGAAGATCCAATGAAATTAGAGGTTCTAGAGAGCTGCACACTATCCGATAACTGTGGCCTCAGGAATTAATTGGGATAATTTTGGTTTACACCGTGAGTCTTTGTTCATTCGCCACTCTTACCTGGGTTGCAATATAAGCGTTTTTCTGTTTAAAACCATCCAGGAAGTTTGCATTGATGTAATCACAGCCGTCTTCTTGCATAAGTTTTACGCGCGAATGATCGAATGGCAGAATGTTCTTGTAGCGGTTTTTAGGCAGATTAACTGGATCACTAGGGAAATAAACAGATTCAAGTTATCAAGTATTAGGTGACCGCAATATACACATGGTTCGAATTTATAGTTTTCTTTATCGCGCGAAACGCCAGCGCAGCTAAAATTGATTTGGCAGCCACGGAGCCAATAGAAATCCCACAAAACCTTACGACACAATCGAAAACAGCATTATTATTTATCGAAAGGTCTCGATAAATGTACTAATTTAAATGGAGATGTAAGTCACGAACGAAATAACGGAGGTATAAAAGTACTCTGTACAACAATAGCAAGAAATGTGGTATCGCACTATCCCAGGGCTTAAAGAGAGTGATCAGCATCACTTAATGATATGACCACACAAGATAAATTTGATTGATATTTTGATAACTTCTCCCTACTAGTTTCATAGGAAATTGAGAATTGAGAATGAGAATTTCAATAATGATATTCGGGTTTTAAGGGTTAATCCAACCCAAGAGACTATAAAGGGGATAGAGAGGGCATCCCCCATATTCACCCTATTCCATAGGTAATTCGTCTCGAGTTATTTTTAGAATCGGGATAAAGTTACCTCGCGCGAGGCGTGGATGTTTCGTGGAGGTTTCGCATGACCAAACGCCGTGCAAAACATGTCGGGCGAGAGGCAATGAAAGCGTAAAAAGATCGAGAGCATTCCTGAATATTGAAGCGAAATGAGTCGGCGCTCACGTGGGAAAAAGGAATCGCTGGACTCTTTGACAACCCGTGAAATCAGTTTAACTCGAAGTTGTCGTAACCTCAGTGCTTTAATAAAATGAGAAATTTCGCCGGTCTATTGAAACCGGTCGTTTGTACAATTTAGGGAGTTTAAGATCCAACGACGCGGACGACAACTAGAACGTCAAAAAAAACAATAGGTTTAATTAAAACAACAACTTCGCACGTGCAACACACTTTTTTGTTCATTTCTTTCCCGTTTTTGCACGACTACGACGTGAAAATGCCTAATTTCGCGTTTTATGGAGGACGTAAATAAGCAACGACGAAATTTTATTTCTCTTTCTGAGCTTGAATATGATCCCTTGAAATTCAGCTTTAGGAGGGTTCGCCTACAATTGACAAAGTAAGTGGGTAGGAATAATCGCTATAAAGACTGAAAAAAATAAACATCAAACCAGAAATTGCTCTCCTCAAACTGTAAATTATAAATGATCCTGAGAGAATATTCAGTGTGTTAAGGATTTCCCTGCTCTACTGTTAGCTCTATACAAGAGAGGAAGGGTGATTTTTTTCAAATTTCGGTTTCGCTGACACAGCTTTCGCAGAAATCTCGCTGTAGTCGTTTTCGTCGACAAAAGGAATAGCAAAATCGCTCTTCGCGTCTTCCCCCATTTTGTTCTGCGTCATTTCGTGAAGGACGCGTGGCTCTCAGTGTGGGTCATCCACGCGGAACACATTCGCGCTATGTGATTGGCTGTTGTCTAATCCCCCTTGAGATCTTTGGTGTTAAAAATAACTCGAGACGAATTACCTATGGAATAGGGTGTATATGGGGGATGCCCTCTCTGTCCCCTTTATAGTCTCTTGTCCAACCTTAACATTTCGTCACAACTCATCAAACTGGCCGGTCTACAGCAGTAGTGCTAGATCTCACCTGTATGCCTCGACTCCCAAGTGAATATTTAACAATTATTCCTCGAGCCCGAATGAGCTCTGAGTCCATAGCCCATGAGGCCGAAAGCCGAAAGGGCTATTGACTCAGAGGCCATGAGGGCGAGAGGAATAATTGTTTCAGTAAAATCCAACTAGTTGGTCAAAAATATCGAGGCAAAACAACTTTAGCTACTTAAAGCTAGACTTTAATCCTCTTTTGCCGCCAAAAAGCCGGTGCTTTTCGCTACTAGTGGGCTATAACATATAGCCTAGTAGTAGCTCAACCAATCAGAATGCAGCATTGATAATAGACCACTTGCTGGATTTTACATCAATAAGACAGTACTCACTTTGCACACAAGCAGGAGCCTTCAGTGCGTTCAGCTGCTAAGCTTCTGTACTCCTTGTTCACATCTCCATTTGCTATTTGCTGGATCATCTCCTCTACCAGCTGGCGCGCCTTACGTATCTGCCCACGTGACTGCAAGAATTCCAGAATTTATTGAGTTCGCTCTATTTGAGGGCAAAACAAACTGGACGTGTATTTCGGTTATAATAAGAGCCCAGACGTCTATTTAAAGCAGTCTCTATACCCTAATATTTGGGCAGCATATTTCCAAGGGTCTGTATGGTTCTCAACGTTCAGGGCAAGGGAATAATTGGGGACTCGAACAGGACAGCAAAATGTCTTGGAGTGACTGTTAAGAGAATTGTTTTACCAGGTTTACCTAAGCTAATACATATGTTATCACGTCTTGTGTAGAGAATAGATCCTCACACCGCTCTCTCGTTAAGATCAGAATTCGAAGGCCTAACAAATCCATTTTGTTACTTCATGTGCAATCAAAATCGTGCTTTGAAAGAAAGATTTCACTCTAAGTGACGGGTTGACAAAGCGGCTCTCCCCTCAGCCCTTAGCAACTTAGTTTCTCTCGCAGCCGTCTTTGTCTCGTCACGCAACGGTCCTCTCCAACAACCCGTTGGGGATGCGCGTTGCTTGACGAGACAAAAAAGGCTGCAAGGGAGACCACTGGCAACTCTCGGTTGCAAAAATTTACGGATTTTTAAGTCAGTTGTCGGCTTGCCATATTAAAGTGACTTGTATAGGGTATGACTTGTTCTCTGTTATGGCTGCCATCAGCCAGTCAGTTTAGTAGTAACCAAGCTCCGACTGAACTGAACTCCAGCAACAGTAAACGGAGAAAGAGGATGCGAAGTCTGGTCCACACTCAACGAGCCTGCACGTGATGCAGGCCGCATGCATACATGTGATGCATATCTATCAAGGAAACATAGGCTTGATAACCCAGCGTATGACTACACCAGTTCGTTTAAGTAAACGCATAACAACGTCTCTCTCACTGCTGTCTAAAGGAGACCAACGCGATATTTACCAGTTACAAACGCGTCCAGTCTTGAGACTGTTTACAGATATATCTGTTTACGCACGTTAACACATAACTTATATGCGTGTACAATAAAAGGACTCTTGTGGACACAGCCTCATTCACACGGTACCGGAGAGACCCGGGAACGAGGCTGGTGTAGACATATCTTTTTTCCCACCCGTTTTAGCCTGTTCCGGGCACCAATAGTCCGGTCCGCGGGGATTCAGAAAGCGCGAGAATGAAAATAAAACGGGAGGAAATTGGAAAGAGGAAGGGCGCATAACTTTCACTTTCGCGTCTTCTACACTATCTGAGAGCCTGGAACAGGCTACACCCGTTTAGACTTTTCTTCGCCCCACTGTCTGCCCCAAACTCTCTTAGGATGGTGTGGACTCAACCTTATAGTGCGTGCATAATGTTTGAACTTTTGGAAATGATATTCTGAACCAACAAACTATGAAGGGGCTTTAAAGTCTCTTGTGTGAGCTATCTGCTGGTTCTTCCCATTACCGTCGTCGTGATTCACCGTTGATAAAAGTTTACCTATTACGTGCGTTGGATTATTAAATTTTCCGTTTTATTTCAGCTTCACGAGTCTAAATGTACAGTTCGTTGTGATAGAAATTATTAAACACCGAAACCCAAGTAAAGAAAAATATCTCGATAACAAATTTAGTATAATTCAAAAAAGGCAAATTTTAAATTGAAGTTTACTTACACTAGAGGCCCATGAGGGGCTTGTAGTTACACTATTTAGGAGATCTTATTTAAGTTTAGTTCTTAGTTATAAAAGTAAAAACTTAACCTGAATTTATAAAATGATCTCAAAATTTAACTTTATTTCCTTCCATTCAGTGGCCGATAATAATTTTGTTACTTTAAAGTTGCATGTTTATTCAAGATTTTCTCTCTTTAATTTTTTAGTGCAGACTGTAATTTTATCCTTAAACTTTTAGGCTAAGGTTACATGGTTGTGATCATGAAAAAAAATCACTTTTCCTTCCTTTAGATATTTAAGGAAAACAAAAAGGAAAAACTGACAAGAAACAAAACTCAGCATATGCTTTTTCGAATTAGAAAAATTATATACTTTTCCTGATAAGAAAATTAAACACCTACATAAAAAATGAGGGGTTTAACTACAGCTACGTTTTAGCAAGTACTTTTAAGGTTTTAAATCTTTTAACATTTACTTTTTAATGTTGTTAAACATTAGAACGCAAACCCCCCCAAAAAACGTACAGTTACTTTATCATTTAATAACTTGAATGCGCTTCGTGTTATCGAGTTTAAAGCTTTAAAACAGTTACGGTTATCCACTTCTTTTAGTTCCTTTCAGTGTAGTTTAAAGCTGAAAAAATAAAGAAAGAAGTAAACACACTGACAAAAAAGTTTATTAAAGTTGAACCTCTCCATAACGGCCACATTGGGGAAAGAAGAGAGAGGCCATTAGAAAGAAGGGCCGTTGTAAAGAGGTTTAAACAAGAATCAATGTACGGATTTTTTTGTCTACCGGGACAAAAAAGGCCGTTGTAAAGATGTGGCCGTTGTGCAGCGGTGGCAGTTAGTCGAGGTTCAACTTACGTTTTCTAGTGAAAAACGTACTGGTTATGTGCGTATCTTGACCCAGTTCCCCTCGTAATAGCCAGTAAAAGGATTAGAAATTATTCCGTCAATAAAATAGTCCCATGATGCAATTCGACACCACACCGATCCAGTCCCACGCGTACTCTTAAAAGTGCGTTATTGACCAAGGTTGTTCGGTCAAGATGGCAAGTTATTGGCCACGTTCGTTTTTTTGGATTTTAAGGAGCGAGACGAAGTCGAGTTAAAAAAAAAAACGCTGAAGAAATCCTGAGGCCAATATCATGCCATCTTTGACCAAACAAGCTTGGTCTATAAAGGATTTACCATATGGCCAAAAAGGGTTATTTTCAGTCTTGCGGGACAAACGCGAAAAATCGCGAGCGGGCAAGACAGGTTCATTTTGCCTGCTCTAGTAGCCGATCCGAAAGCATGATTCGCTTCATATTACCCGCTTCCGGATTCAGCCACATAATAATCGAGAATACTAAAACATTTTCTACCTTGGTATCCACAGGACCCGCTTCGCTTTCAGTTGATGCGTTTGCTTCGTAATAGTAGTCCCATTCGACGGTTCCTTCTGTGTTGCCAAAAGAAGGAACAACAACAACAACAAAAAAAGACAAATAAATGCATGGATCACCAACCTCACCACTCCCCTCTCATGCAAGAAACAGGATGCACAGCATTCCAATCACTTTGAACTTACTGACCAAAGGACTGTGCACAGTCAGGGAGCTTCTCACATAAACTACAGCAACATAAACATAAACTTTGACGTTTGTCGCCTTTCATAACCAGTTTCCTCTACTATGATCTATCTTAAGGCTCCTTTACACGGGTGATTTCTATAGCGCCACTTTCGATCTGCTTCGTTTTTACTGTCCATTTAGATGCGATTTGAAATCCGTTCGTGTAAACCAGCGGAAAATCGTCAAGGCTTCGCGAGAATTGGTAATAATTGATAATTTCTCCAAACTTCTGCTTGAGAGTAGTCAAAAACCTGTATCTTGAGTCTCTTGCCGAATACTTGTTTATCAGGTATACAGTCAACTCCCTCTAAGACGGACATCTTTGGGACCGGCAGTAAGTGTCCGTCTTAGAGAGATGTCCGTCTTATAGATAGTCAAATAAAGGGAGTAAATAAAGGCAGGGACCAACTCTAGGTGTCCGTTTTAAGGAGGTGTCCGTCTTATAGAGGTGTCCGTTAAGAGAGAGTCGACTGTACTAACTGTGGCATAAGGTAACCGCAACAGAATCACCACAAAATCGCCACGATATTGAACTGAAAATCGCAGCATAATTGCACGAAAAATAAAGGAATTAAGAGGTATGAAATGAGAATGCACTGTCTTCCTTTCTTGTTTTGGAGGGTTAAACTTGAAAACTAACTTTAAGGTCAACAGGAACCTTTACAAAATGATAAAAGCGTATTCTTACCGCTGACATGGTCTTTACTCCGTTCAACCTTAGTTTTCTTTGACTTCTTCCTACCTGTGTTCTCTGGACTCAAAGAGGATTGGCTGTGAGATTGCCTTGTCATGTGAACGAGGTTATCCTCGTAATTAGAAGATTGCTGAGCTGCAAATCCACCTACACGCCCTTCGCTTTCGATGTTCTAAATAACGAAAAACAGAACAAAAGATAATAAACAACAAACAACAAACAAAACGACAAAATAAAAAAAAGTACTTATCAATCTTTCGTTTGTTAGTTTCGATTTTAAGTAAAAGTTTGAAAAGGTTTTTCAAAATAGACTGTTCTACAATGACTACAAAAACACGAACAAACTGCAGTTGGTGAACTGAATGGAGAAGCAGTATTATAATTAAATAGAACATAATAAAAAACAAATCAATTGAAATGGAAGATTTACCTTTGAAATTAGAAAGTCTAAAGGTTAAAATCTAGGCACAACTCTCTGATTAAAGGAGACGAACCTCTTTCACTGCAACATCAAGGTCGTTCATTTCTTTCAAGGCTTCTTTCAGAACTGTTTCCTCGTAGCCTCGATTACAATGTTCATGGCGCTTTGAGCCTGGTTCAAAGTCCCTGTGGTTTACCATAGCAAGTGGGTCATTTGAATCAACTGCTGGTGAGTCCTGTGAATATATAACAACCACAGAAAAGAACCATGTGAGACCTATTGAATCCTATAAATTAAGAAAAAGAAGCTAAAGGACCACATTCTGACATTTAGAGAGGCCATGAGAGCTTTCGTAGGAAAGATGATCACGAAAGATCTCAAGGAAGATACTTTTCAATGAAAAAAAAGTCTTGGGTACTCTCGTATGGGAGAGGATCTTAAGATTAAAAGAGCCAGAATTGTTGCTTTGTCTTTTGTGATACGCCTCTTTGCATTGCCCCTATGGTTTTTCCAGCCAGTACTCTAATTTTTGCTTTCAATATTTTCACTGTCGTAGTTTATTTTTGAGCAAGAGTGAGTACAAATAAAGATTGTTGTTGTTGTTGTATGACATAAATGACTTACCTTACATCCTTTCCCTGGGCGCGGCGCTGTTACTTCGTTTCTCACGTAATTTGAGCGCTTGGAACTGGCTAGCAGGCACCATGATTGCCACTCATTAAAATGCGAATTAATTGATAGCCGTCTTTCCGTCTTATCTGACCTCTATACTGTTTTTCACTCGGACCATGTATTGGACATTGCCAAAGCCAAAGTTCTTCAGCTTCAATTTTTTACGCGATTTGGAGAATCAAAGTCACCAACTTAATAACATTTCTGTATGTGAAAATAACTTGTTGTAGTGTTCTTGGCCTCTTTTTGCCCTTCTTTTTGATGGATAATTCTTGGCTATTCTTGTTACTCTTTTGCAACTTGTCGCCATATCCATGGCCTTCTTTACCACAATTCTTTACTAGTCTTTTGCAAATTGGAACAATTTTGGTTGTTGTTGATATTGCAATGAAAATTCTTGTTACTTTTGCGAAATTTGCGGACCACTAGAGCGCCCTCTTTACCTTTATTCTTTTGCTAAATTTGTCATTCTTGCTATATTTTTAGCTTGCTTCTTTCTTACCAATGTCAATTTTTCGTTTTCGATTTTTGCGAAAATTTGTGGACTTTTTCTTTACCTTTGTTCTTTACAGGTATGAACGTTTGCAAAATTTGTTATTCTTGGTATTGATTCGATATTTATTAAAGTGTTTTTCTTAGTGCAACGAGAATTCTTTTAACTTTTGTTGCGATTTTTTCGAAATTTGCGGCCTTCTCGAGGCCCTTCTTAGCCTTTTCTCTTTCTAAGTGTAGAATTTCGTTAAATTTGTTATTCTTACTATTCTTGCCATATTTGTTACTCAGTCTTTTTGGATAGCAAGAAAGTCCTGTTACTTTTGCGATTCTTGCGAAATTTGAGGCTTTCTCGAGGGGCCCTTCTTGGCCTTTTCTCTTTAAGTCCAGAATTTTTTAAATTTTTTTTTACTCTTGCTATTCTTGCGATATCTTTAATACTCAGTATTTTTAGATACCAAGAAACGTTCTTATTACTTTTGCGATTTTTGCGAAATTTGCGGACCATTTTGCTACAGCTTGCAATCTCTGATCGTGCTTGCAACCCTGCGCACGCAACAGAACAGATGACGAATCACGTGACGTACCTGTTCTCTCCAGGGATTCTCCAGTCCATCAATGCTAAACTGACTTTCGTACATACGACCTCTCACCGAAGACGTTTCTTGAAGGTTCGAGGATGCTGCTCGAAGCTGCAACGTGAAGTTTTCTCGAATCGTGCTATCCTATATTTATCAACACACGAAGAATCAACGGTTAATAAGTAGAAAACTATTACTAAAAAATAATAATAATTATCTGTTAATTTGCATTATTGCAATGCTGGAATCCAAAGATGAAAGGTGTACTGTTGCCTTCTTGGTAAAACCTCTGGCTAAGGAGGAGTATCCTCAAAAAAGGGGACACTGTAGGAGTAACTATGCTTCGACGCAGGTAGTCTCTTTTTAGTGTTTGTAACGTTTGTTGGGTGAAGGAATTTCTAAAAGTAAAGTTCGTATTGTATATTTACAACACATATTGCCGAAAGGTACTTGTCTAAGATTAGGGAGCCTGAGTAACTACAACAACGACGGGCGGCAAAAGCCTCTCTTAAAAAGTGACCTCCAGCTCTTTCAAACTTCATCAGCCTTATTACACCACGTTCAATTTTTCATATTATGGCGAATTTTTCTGGAGTTCAGATCTATGGCTAAAACAACCTGTCGGTACTACTTACCAGAGAATTGTACTTGAATAGTGACTGGTAGTCATCTGTGCTGGGTTTGCGCCGGTCAGTGCGTCTTCTGACGAGCCACACGATAAGAATGATCAACATGGCAATGAATGCAGCTCCGGCAATAGTGATACCCACTATCAATCCCACTGACACACCAGTTGTGCGGGCTCCTGATGCTACAAATAAAACCGAGTTATCAGTCAAAACACTCAAATGGTTCTTGAGAAAGAAAACTTTCCTTCTTTGCCCATATCACAAAAAAATAATTGACCAAGATCAAGATGGCTGGATATTGGCCGCGTGCTTTTTGGCGTTTTATTGACTTCAACTCCTTCTCGTTCCTTAAACGCGCAATAAAGGACTTGGCCAATATCCAGGCTTATTATATGGAGGAATACGCGAGCGGGCAAGATGAAGCAAAAATAATAAATCCTTTATTGACCAGGCTTGTCAGGTCAACATGACTCAACATTGGCCTCCTTTTTTTTTGCGTTTTTATTACCTCGACTTTCGTCTCGGTTAATAACCTCAGGCTCGGACAATAACGAATTTTCCTTACAGGGATACTTACTCGGCTCAGTCCTTTCTACTGGAATAGAGGCACTGACAACAGTACTCTCGGTTCCACCAACAGAAGTATTAGCCATGATGAAGAAAAAATACTCTTGACCAGCGGATAGTCCAGTCACATGAAATGACATACTGGAGCCTTGGTAAATTACAGCGTAAGCTGACATGTTGCGCATGTGCAAAGAGTAGCTGATGATGACGCCATTAGGTTTGTCGGGCTCTGTCCAAGACGCGTTTAATGAAGAAAATCCCGTGGGTTCCAGGACAGGAGGGTGAACTCCTTCGGGTACTAATAATAGAAAACATGTTCGCAGATTTTGGAATAAATCTCCTCAATCTATCTCGTATTATCACACTCAGTTTTAAAGGCCTTCTTGCTCTCAGGAGAGAGGCAAGAAGGCGAATACATTGGCCTAGGTTAAGGATTAGCACTGAAAATCAGATGCGAAGGATGGGGATAAGTACTAGACAGTAGTTTTTTATGCCATTTAGTGAAAGCTTTATTTTCTAAATTAGCGATTAAGCTCACTTCTTTCCTTTTGGGACGTGTTGGAAGTTTGGGGTAAGTGTTGTTAATCTTTTCATTTCTTAATATATTCTCTCACCGTAAGGCCAGTTTTATTGACTTAACACCAACACATGACGTCCTCCCAAAAGTGAAAAATAATAAATACACCTGATTATAACTAAAAAATAATATTTATTGAAAACTAATCAACTGTAAGAAATTCTTGAGGAGAAGACAAAGATTACTATTGGAAAAGCAGCTAGAGCTCCATTGTACAGTTTGGTTTCCTTTAAAAAAGTTAAGACTAAGTGAAAGACTTTTCTTTATTTATAACAGTTCAGCAGACCCATTTGTTCAAAGTGTCAGTGCTATCCACTGGATAACGCATTTGATTACCCAACACTTATCCACTGGAAAACTATTTACTTTCCATACCTGATTCTAACGTTCGCACAGCTGCCCAGCCTGTCTCTCTCACTGGTAGGCCTGTGGTTTCTACTTTAACTGAGTAGTTTGTGTAGGGGTTGAGGCCAGACACGGTGTGTCTAGTCCCGCTCGCTTGGTGTGTGCGCACTTCACACGGTTTGTTTAGCACGGCGGAGTCACAAAGTCGCAGCGAAAGAATAAACGAAAAGTTTAGTCCTTTTCGAACATTTAAAAGCTTCCACGTTGCCAAAATCTTTGTCGCGTGAATTGGATCCAAGAAAAGATCGCTTTCAAGCAGAGGTACATCACTGCAGTTTGTGGACGCTAAGGAATTATTGAAGAAAGTGTACGGGTTGTAGCCGTTTACTCGTTGAACGCTGAAGCTTTTCCCACTCCCCAGGTCGAGCGTAGTGTTAAGAATGCCTTGATAGAGGGGTGGCTGAGTGTAAAGACCATTGACAAGCAGCGTTCTTGAGAAGTCAATCGATCCATCATTTAAAAAACCAACCTGAATGAACGATAATCCAAGATTAGAGTAGATCAGCGACGTGTTCAGTGAAGTCACAAAGGTTTTCTCTGCGCTGTTATATTCCGCTTGAATGATTCCGCCATTGACTCCTAGTCCTTTTTCTGCGGTGTACAATATTCCTTTCGTGAAAACACTCTCGAGTAAACTACTAGAAAAGTTTTTCTCAGAGTGCGAAACATCAAGGAAAATCTTTGTTTGGTTTGTACTTGATGGCGTTATACCCAGCTCTGCAGCAGGCAAAGAAATGGTCAAAAGACATTTGGACTTAGGATCTTCGACTGGGACAACTGAGATTTGAGGAAACAAAGGAATAGCATTGAGGTGCGCATTTAACAAAAGATTGACGTCATTTAAGGTCACTGAACCATCTCCATTCGCGTCCAAGAACTGTAGTTGTTGCTCTGTGATTGAATTCTGAATCTGCTGTCCTTTGGCACGACTGAAGTTGAACTGTTTTTCCGTCATGTAAGTCAGAGTGAATTTTACATCTCTTATATCAAAAATACAGTTGCCATCGGTATCTCCAGGCTCTCTTCCGTCCGGACAGCTTGAACAAGGAGGACTGGGGCAAGGAACCACAGAGCGCTTTGTGCGTGAGGTACTAGAAAATTGCTTATGCGCCGATCTTAAAGATCTGCGGAGGGGTTCCACGCCATTGCCAGCCTCTATTTCGATATCTCCAGCGACTATTGCCCTTGGCACAGACAACCCAATCACGCTACCAATGAGATCATCAGCAGCAATCATGAGCGCATTTCCTTTGAGACGCGCTTTCCCGCCAGAAATTACTCGAAATTTGATATCAGCAACATGGCGCAGCTGATGTTCCTGAGTCTCTAAGCTCAGTGCCCCAGCGATTCGCACTTTTCCGATTTCACTAAAAATATTAGTAATAAAGAAACCAACCATGTCTGTACCCTCGCTTACGCTAACAACCTCCAACAATTCATTGTTGTATACTATTTCGACATCGAAGCTTCCTAAAATCATATTTCCAGCGTTAATGCGTACAGCGGCAGTAAAGCTTTCTCCTATAGAGACAGGCTTCAGCGGGACACCTGTGACGTTACCGATATCCACGTCACCAACATCCGGGGATAAATTGCAAGCGAAGGCGAGGGTGTCTTTTATTGACGGAGATTCCACTGTAGTCACTGTTACACGTACTTCGTGCGGTGAATTGCTTTTTAGTGTTACCAAGCCGCTTGTCTCGTTTACTGAAATTTTTGTCGTGTCTTCAGTACTGAACGTAACCAGATTATATAAAGTTGTATTCACTGAACTAAAAAGGCCAAGGATTTTGAAATTGTCGCTGAATTCAACATTGATGGATAGTTGCAACGTAGCATTATCTCTAAAACCACTTAGCGTTAAATTCGGAGCCAAGGTAAATTCTACAAATGTGACTGTTAGAGGAGTTGGTTCGACTTGAAGGTTATATACATGACTAGATACGCCCTTGAAACTTGCACTGATCGACAGCTGGCCACGCCTACTACTCCACCACACTGAAACCACGTGATATCCGTCTAGACCCTTAATAGAGCTGTTCTGCGCAAGTTCAGCAGGTTGAGTGGATCTGATGTCAAAGCGCGCGCTTGCATGTCTTGTGACATCAGACGTTGTACCATTTGAAAGAACGAGAAGAAGATCCAATCGCGCCTGTTGATACGTTCCTGAATTTCCGATCGGATATAAATGAGTAACGTTCTGACCCACGGACGAGTTATAGACTGGGTACGGACTCGCATATAAACGAAGTTCCTTGGCACCAATGACATCCAGTGTTACCTGACCACTTGCCTTGAAATGGCTGATCTTTACCGACAATTCAACTTGACCAAACCCATTACCGGATGCGGAAATGATCACCCCGCGTTCTCCTACAGTTAAGTTAGCTAAATTCGCGCCAATCTCCAAGTTATAAATGGTCCAGTTTTTTCGTGACACATCAATACGCTGCTGTAGACCACTACTGTTATAAACAAGAAAAACTGTTATTTCCGCGAACAAAGCAACTCCAACAGCTCCAGCAGGGTCATCATGGGGTGTTAATTGTCTTGAGGTTGAAGTGATGAAAACAAAATCAGGTTCCTGGAAACGGACGTCAACGTTAACAATGGAGCTAATGGTTGGTTGTTGAGAACAGGGACCTGAATGCATTACTACTTGAAGTGTATTACCACTGCTATTTATTACCGCTGAGACGCGTCCACCTTGCACCGTGATAGCACTAGTGTCGGTAGTGTTAGCAAAGACACCAGACAGGTCCCCAAAAGTGTTTACTGCTCCATCGCTATACTGAACCGATACTACCAGGCTGCCTTCATCTTCCGGGATGGAAAACCTCTCATTTATGTCAGTAATCACGTTATATTCCAGTGATTTATTAAGTGACTTTGGAAGTGTGGCGACAATGCGGGTAGTAATGATTGCCTCGAGAAGGTAAACTCGTGTATCCTCACTAGAAACTTCAATGACAACCTGTCCGATATTTAGATTCACTTCAGAAATGTAAACGGAGATAGCGGTCTGTCCTACATTTTTGCCATAAACTGTGGAACCAACGATTTCGGCAACAGAAGTGTTCGAACTTTTCAAGTTATCTTTAACATATTGGGTGACATTAACACCAGTGTAAGATTGCTTTCCATTGCCAAAATCTGCACGCGCTGTCACGCGGGCTTGCTGGTAGCGTGACTTGCAAGAATCATCGGGATCGTACCAGTCACGTATTCTCCTAAGTTTGGCAAGAGTGACACTCAAGGAAACAGGAGTTGTTGGTGTCCATACGATGAAGGAATGGTTCACTGTAATATCGTGATGTAAAACTTCAATCACTGCCTCCGATGAACTTTTCGTTTCACTGCCATTTACGTAAACACGAGAGCAGTCACTTGCAACTTTCAAAGTAGCACTATCGAGACTGCGGCAGGCTACATCTGTCACGTTCACGATTCTTCCTAACGCAGTCACGCCATATACTACCATAGCAACATCTATCCGTTTTCCATTCAACAACGCAGTGTTGAAAATGACAGAGTGATCAGGGACGATAAATAGAGCTTTAACCTCATGTGGAACAACAACAAACTGCCCTTTCTCGTGTCTTCCAAATCTGTCTTCAAAAACAGCTTTCATTGGCGCGGCAATAATTTGATTTCCTTCTCGATCGCTTACTTGGCTCACAATACACTCCATGTATTCTGGGCTTACCATATTGGCAATTTCTATTACTCCGACGTTAATGGTTAAGTACAGGTAGATACGGTCTCCAGTTTCTTCACTCTGAAGATCTCTCCTGACACCAAACACAACAAATTGACTAACGCCATTAAAAGTTGTCTGAATTTTCCACGAAGGCGCAGCTTCCACCTGCCTTATCTTTAATCCAGACGAAAGCGTAAACATAAGCGTATAATACCGGACAAATTTAGGGTAATGTCCAAACACCTGGAGCGAAAATTCTTCACCTACATTAAGCAAATATAGCGGCGCCACGATCACAAAGTTTCCCTCAACTTTAGGTTTACGTTGCCCAGTAAGACGAATCTGATTCAGTTCGACCATCTGGGAGGGCTCTAGGCCATATTGTACAGAGACCATCTGAGAGAATAGAGTGGTATTAAGCCATTCCTGTGGTATTTGCCAACTTCCCACGCAGATTCCAGTGTCAGCTAAAGGAATGCAGCTGATATTAACCTCTGAGTTTGTACCCATATTTACAGCCTTAAAGTACACTTTTGCTTCATCGGTCTTGACATTAAAGCTCCGGTCAAATATCTGTGTTGCGATTCTTATCACTTGATAGTCTGGCCAACTGCTAACGAGGGCTGCTTTCACGTGCATTGCAGGTTCATGGAGTAATTCAAATTTATTTGTCAACTGGACAGTTCCCACGCTAACTTGAAATGAGCCTGACAGTTGAGAAAAGAGCCCAATCTTAGTCTTTGCGCGAAGACGGCTCAGCATAATAGGTGAACCAACCTGAAACGCCCCTCGAAGCAAGAAAGACAAAGGGCTTGTTTCGTTGAAATTGAAAGATACGTTATAGTCTATTTTCACGCTTAAAATCACGGAGCTATTCAACATTGGCGAACCTCCATCAGATGCAATAACTGATAATTCGATGGTTAAATAATTTGCGTCTCTCAGGGAAGAATTAGTTCTTATTTCACCAGTAGACCCATGGATAACAAACATATCCTCGGCTGAGCTTGGTGGTAGAATTGTAAAAGAAATCACTGCATTTTCGCCTGCATCTTGATCCGTTGCATTGACTCGAGTAATGAGAGATCCTGGTTGAAGGTTCTCACTGATTACAACAGAATAAAAATCTTTTAAAAACTTCGGTTGATTATCATTGACGTCTAACACTGTCAAGGAAAGGTTCGCATAACTGAAAAGCGACGTCGAGGAATTAGAGCTATTTGCCGCACCAATAAAATCAACACTGTTATTGGGAAGAAAAATGTCATTTGCTTTCACAACAATTAAATACTCTTTAACCTCTTCAAAATCCAGTTCTCGAGCGAGCTTTAGTTCCCCAGAGGAAGAACTCAAAAAGAACGTGCCATTTTGATTTCCTCTTTCTATACTGTAGACTATACCACCTGCTGTGCTACTGTCCAGATCGCGGGCGTGCACGCGCAGGACTGTTGCATTCAGTGTGAAGTTTTCGTACACGCTTGCTTCATACAAATCTTGGCTAAAGATGGGGCGGTGATCGTTCACATCAACAACGTAAATCTGCAGAATAGTATTTGAAGACAGAGGCGGATTTCCATTATCGGTGACAGAAATGTTTAATCTGTATTCAGAAACGTTTTCATGGTCCAGAGCATGCGTTGTTGTTATTAACCCGCTGGTCTCGTTGATGGTAAAATCCGACGCCAAATTACCTATGATGGATTTGAGAGACAAAAGAGACATTACATAAAAATAGTCCTTTTACGAAGAGAGATAATCAAAGCCTTCGTTACAGAAGAACACCAAAACCCTACAATGGTACAAAGGCAAAGTTTTAACGTCAACATGATCGAGGTCAATAAAGGGAGTAATCTAAAAGGAAATAACATTAATCAAAAGTCTCGATACTCCGACCAAACTTGAAACGTTGTAATTTTCAAGGGAGAAGAGAAACTACTACAAAATAGAAGAAAGAAGTTCTTTTAAGTACAGTTGAGAAGCAGCCTACGGTAAGGAATAAAAGATCGGCGCTTAGGGCTCAATGGTGAAACAGTTCGAGCGCTTCCTATGCCCCACTGGATGCCAGACCAGTAGATGAAGGGTTCGTCTTACTTTAACTAACGTTTACTTATCAAGAGATTTTACTAATGCAAAACGAAAAGTTTAAGCCAATTGTATTTGGAATAACTTGAGGGCAAGGAAACTGAAGCGCATTACCAGACACGAGAAACACAGTTTACTTACCAGAGATTATACTGAAGTTCATAACAGCATTCAACCCCGAATCCCCGTCGGTCGCATTGACACGTGCAATAACTGTATCAATAGCGACATTTTCTCTAACGTACACAGGAGACAAAGGGTTAATGACGGGTGCCATATCATTCACGTCAATCACTTCAATATGCAACAGCACGCTGCTTATCAGGGGAGGAGTCCCATGGTCTTCGACAGTTACGTTTAAAGAGTAATACTTTACTCTTTCAAAATCAAGCAATGAAGCCGTGGAAATGAGCCCGTTGAATGAATTTATACCAAAAGCATCGTTTATGTTTCCATCAACAATTGAGAAGGATAAATTGGAGTTTGCTCCGCTGTCCGCATCGGTAGCGTTAATTTTTACAACACGTGACCCTTGAGATACGTCTTCCCGTAAGGTCAGGTTCTGAGTTAAGTCACTGTCAAAAACAGGCGTATTATCGTTAATATCCCGGATGTTAATCACAACAGATGCGTTGTCGTCGAGAGGAGGAATCCCATGATCTTTGGCCTGCACGGTTAAATTCAACTGATGCACTAACTCGTAGTCAAGAGATACCAACACTGTAATCTCACCACTTGTGCTGTTAATGTTGAAAACGCTCTCGTTTCCAGAAATGATAGAGTACGACACCAAAGCGTTCAATCCTTTGTCGCTGTCATTAGCGTGAACTAATACCAACTCTGCACCAGGAGGATTTTCTTCTGTTAACTCTACCTCGTAGACTCTTTGCTTAAATCGAGGACTTCCATCATTAACATCTAGGACATGTACATATACGGTTGCGTTGTCAAAATATTTCTTTCTTGTAAGCGGCGAGATCTTGTACACAATAATTTCAAAATGGTAAACGTCTTTGCTCTCTCGATCAAGTTCTAGTAGCGTTATTACTCTCCCAGAGGTTGAATTGACCTCAAAGATGGAAGACAAGCTTGCAAAATTGGAAGATATGTTGTAAAAGAGCGGATCTCCGTTGGGATCTGAAGCAAATACAGCGACAACTTCACTTCCAGGCGGGGTGTTTTCCGACAAAGAAACGTTGTAGAATGTTCGATTAAAACGAGGGGAGCTGCGTTCGTCCTCAACTGTAATATTGATCTGAGAAGTATTGTATAGCATTGGAGATCCGTGGTCAGATACGTTGATGGTCAAAGAGAAGAATGGTATGTTGCCGTAAAGGAGGAAAGCGTTTAAACGTAGAAAACCGAACTCATCTATAACAAATATACTTAGCTCGTTACCGGAGGTGATATTGTACTGCAGTTGCGCATTAAGACCTTCGTCTAAATCAGTGGCGTTCACTTGCACCAATAGATATCCCACGTGAGCAGTGTTCTTGATCGTGATTGGTTCTATAGCCTCCAAATATGGCGCATTATCATTTACATCAAGCACAACGATATTGAGTAATAGTTGTGTCGCTTGAATTTCTGCGAATTGTTTCACAGCGAAGTTCCATGCCATAATGGATAACGAATAGAAGCCTCTCTGTTCTTTATCCAAACTTTCTCGTACAAACACCTCTCCACTGATATTTCGTATGGAGAATTTGTCGTCAAAGTTGCCGTTTGATATGATAAAATACGTATCTATGTCTTGATAAGAGATATTTCTTGGTGCGAATGTATATATAACAGTTCCCGTTGAGATATCTTCTGGTGTGGTGACGTTTGAAAATTGGTGCGAAAATCGTGGTGGAAAGAAGACTGATATGTTAACTGTAACGATACTTGACAACCGAGGCAGGCCTGAATCGGAAACTTCAAAGAGCAGCTGCTGAAAAGTTTCGTTTGAATTAAAAAGCGACGAATTAAGGAGAATCACTCCACTTTCTTTATCAATTACAAAATATTTAGAGACGTTTCCGAGAAAAGTGAACTTCAGGGCAGCGTTTTCCCCGACGTCTCTGTCGGAGGCATTTATTCGATAGACTTCCCTGCCAACGGGAAGGTTATACGGGACGAGCAACAATGGTACGGGATAATGGACGGGAGCGTTGTCGTTTTGATCCAAAATGGTGATATTCAATGTAGCGTTAGTGCTGATGTTACTTCCATAAAGAGCAGTTACGGTGAGAGAGAAGAACGAGTCGAGTTCTCGATCAACAGTCGTATTTACCATAACATGACCATCACCTGAGTCAACTTTAAACGGCGAGATCTCCTGTAAGAAATATACAATGAAAGCTGCAGGGAGTCCTGGGACGTATGCTTGTACCTGAACAACACTGGTATTTTCCAAGCTGTTTTCTGTAACATTCGCTTCGTAAAATTCAGATGTGAAAAAAATTTCAACATCTGTAGCGTAGGTGACGTGAATTTCAACAGTCGAATTGGTAGCTAACGAGGGAACAAAATAATCTGAAACCAACACTACGATTTTATAGATGTTTCCAACTTTTCCTTGAAGCGAACTGTTGAGTAACAATTCACCAGTTGTTGAATTCACTGAAAAAGTTCCATTCCAAGAAGAGTTGCCATAGAAGCTGAAAACAAATACGGCGTTTTCTCCGACGTCCCTATCAGACGCGATTATTCTGGCCAGCGGACTTCCTATGACAGAATTTTCGGGAATTTTTAACACATGATTTGGTATGATGTCAAGCACAACTGGAGCGTTGTCGTTTACATCACCGATAATAATAATAACGTGTGCTTGTGCAAACTTCTCTCGTCCCGGGGTTCCGCCGTCAGTGGCTCTTACTGTAAGATTGTACCTCGCCTTTTGTTCACGGTCCAGAGATCGTGCAACGCGAAGGACGCCCGATGTGGCATTCACAGCGAAAGGTAACGTTTCACCGCGGGTTACCAGACTGTACCATATTCTACCGCTGTTTCCTGAGTCCTTGTCTGTCGCATTTACCGTAACAACTGAAGAGTTAACGGTTGCATTCTCAAAGATACTGGCGTGATACACAAGCTGTTCAAACTGTGGCGTGAAGTTATTTTTACAAGCAGCGGAGCTCAGCGTGTTGTTAAACAAAAGAAAAGGGTTGTAATTGTTGCTCGTGGTCAGCCTTACGCTTTCTTTCGCAACGTCCAGGACTAATGATAACCTGAAAGGAAACATGAACGGTGGTCGCGGGTTACCAAGCAGAGCTGACGACCTTATCACACTCGTGCGGTTGTTAGAGTCAAGTGTCACATGAAACACGACAAGTCCCATACCTTCTTGCACAGACTCCATTGGTGCCTGGACAGTAAAACTCCCGTTACCATTACTAACAGCCCGGATGAGGTTTCCATAGAAACCAACACCACGTTGTAGTCCCCTGGTCCCTGCATAGTCAACAGGGCTCCCACTATAGATAACGTCAAAGAATACAAAAGTATTCCTATCAGGAGCCGGACCATTCTTTGCCGATAATGTAACGCTGAACGAGAGTTTGCAATCCGAGCTAAGCAGCTGTACTGGAACCACGCTTACACCAGAGACAAGTCGAACCAGATCCATGAGCACACGTACTAGATAATATGCATCAGCTGGGTTCACAATGGTGTTTCGATCTACGTCAAGATCACGTGATTGATTGGCTGAGAGTGATTGGACGAACTGTTTGCCAGTAACACTTGAAAAATTAAAGGAAAAGTAAGCGTAGTATTTGAGTACAAACAGAACATCAGTGAGGTCAAACAGGCAGTCTCTGTTAACGTCCCCAGGCGGGGGAGGGCTGTCACACTGGCAAGGAGGACTTGCACAAAACAACACACTACGCCTGCGCCGTGTATGAGCAACAAATACATCACGTCTATCATTACCATCGAGGCTGCGCCTTCTTCGTTTACCGCTGACAACAATTTCTTGATAGACTTCTCCAGCGACTATCGATGAACTTCCGAGATCAGTAGTTACAGAACCGAGAATGGCAGCCGAGCCAGTGCTTGTGGCATTAAAAGAGATTTCCCCTATGTCAACGGTACCAGTCAACAACGAGTCACTGTCACAGTCAAGAGAAACTTGACCAGGAGTGTTTAGGTTTGCAACACAGCTCCAAACCCTTCTTATTGTCACAGAAATTGCCGCAAGTTTTGTATGATCGTAACTAAGAGTTAAGTCCATCTTTTTCAGTCCTGGACTTTCACCGGCATTCAAACGCACTTTCATTTGAAATGAAGATCCCACGGGTTTTGGAGGAAGGGGTAGCCCACTTTCTTCTCCAACATCAACATCCCCAATTCCTGGCTGAAGATTGCAACTGACTGATATTGATGAAGTCACCATAGAAAGCGAGGCAGCGGCGGTAAGAGAGAGCCTTTGGTGGTAATTTCTTCGAAGGGTGACTTGGCCAGTGGTGGAGTCAACAGTAAACACCTGGTTACTTTCGCTGGTCAAAGTTATTAATCCAGGGAATAACGCGGTACTTCTCTCGTAAAAATGCTCTAGGCGCCTTGCGTTATTAAAAGTTAAAGACAATTGAACCTGTGCAACAATGGAATTTTCGACGCCAGACAAAGTTTGGTTGTTTAGAGGTGATATTTCGAGATTTGTAATGCTAGTAACATTTACAGGAGAATTTCTCACATACATCACCAAATCCATTTTTCCAACATCACTGAAGTGACCCTCAAGAACTGCCGTGACCTGCGATGTGACACCTGGTCTAACTGTTACGCGGTTAGCATCGCTTTGTCCTACAATCACATCCGCAGAAAGGGAGGAAAATGACGTATACTCATGCTGCGTGACATCAAAGTTGATGCCATCACTCATCACCATGAAGAGTTCCAGTGAAGCCATCTCATGGGAACTTGTGTCAGCAACGCGGCTCAACGAATTGATCAAAGACGACCCAGGGAAGGGAGGATAAGGTTTGGCATGTAAAGCAAAGTTTACATATTTTACAACGTTGACTTTCACGGAATCCGAAATTACAAAATGAGTAAAGCGAACCACGAGATCTTTTTTACCGAATTTCCCTTGCGTATTTGCGTTGATTACGGGCAGGTTGTTTTCAACGCGGTCCACAGTGAAGAAGCCTTCAGACAGGCTCAAGTCGAACACAGTCCTGGGGTCCGAACTCATGTCTACACGATGTCCGTTCTCGAAAACTAATGTTACCACAACTGGACTTGAAGTTGGTATCCCTGCAACAGTGGACGGGTCGCCTGGAACAGTGATTTGTGGGCTAATGCCGGTTATTTCAAGCACAGTAGGAGGCGATAGACTCACATTCGTCATCTCATAGCCTACAGCAAGACTAAAACCATTTGGATAGCATACACTGGGAGCTAACCACCAATTAGCTTGGAGCACGCCAGCCCCGGAGCCAAAAGATATTGCCTCTGTTTGGCTAGTAATCTGCAGCACTTGATCATTAAGTGATTTGAAAGTGAGGCCGAGTTCAGAGGTTAATTTTTGCCGTCGGTCGTCACTAAACGTGACGTGAGCAACAAGAGCACCACGTGTGAGATCACGCCGGAGATCCTGGTAAACGGAAGTCATAGCAATTTGAGTTGACAGCCTATGGTAGGGTGGGGCAGGGATGCTTATAGTCAGGTTCGTTACCATGACGGTGTCAATCAACTGGACTTCGACAATCCTATGGGATGAGACCGAGACCTCAGCACTTCCTAAAACGGCACCATTCAAGGGACTGACAACTGTAATAATCGTTCGACCTGGAGAGATCCCATTAACATTACCAAATTTGTCTACAGATACAATAGACTTGTTTTCACTTGTGAGGAGGTCACGAACATAACTTGTCATCGAGACGTTTTCAAAATGAACTCCATTGTGAGAAAACAACGCTTCAGATTGAACTTCACTCCACTGATACCGCTGGATACATTTCCCACTAGAGGCGTTGAATTCCAACCAACCAGAGACTTGCGCCAGGTCTGGATACTTGAGAGTCAGGTTCAAAGGCAGAACCGGAAACCACACGCGGAATGATACAAACGCTGTGAGGTTGTGACATTGAACTCGGACCCGTGCATCGGACGATCCCTCAGGCTCACTACCGTTTAGGAACACTTTGGAACAATTTCTAGTCACCTGAATAGCTTTTGACATACTCGTACAATTTGCAAAGGACAGCAGAATGATGTCACCCGAACTTTGAACAGCCAGGAGCATCATGTTTGTCCACACCATCTGTCCGTTGATGACAGCCGTATTAACCAGCTCAGGAAGTTTGGCGTATGGTATAAGTTCTGTGACGACATTAGTGGTCAACCTTATTATTCCTTGCGTGTGTCGTGATTGATCGGATCTATCAACCATGGCCGCCATAACAGGAAGTAACTGGCCACCAATTTGAACTTCCTCATTGTTGATATTGCTGAGATACACAACCTGTCGTTTAAACGTAAACAGAAGCTGAGGAAATATTACTATTGCTAATGAACTAAGCAGTTCTAATAACTATTTTTTTACCTATGATATATTCATTGATTCATCTTCGCCCTCTCACTTCTTTATATCAAACCAACTGAATGACCAGCTTCCAGTTGGCTTGTCAGCTCGAAGAGTTAGAGGGTTGCACCGGTATAGCGGAGGTCAAGGCTTCCAATCTCGTTCAAGACTAAATTTTTTAGGCTTTCTTTTCGCAGCTGTAATAGTCTTTTTACTACTGGGATTGTGTTTTTACATTTCATAGAAATATGCTTCACTTGCTGACATATCAAAGTCTTTTCAATCTCAACCCCAATAGGATAAAAATCTTACGACTTTTAATTTGAAGCCGATGCGACCCTCGCTGTGATGTATTTAACTTATTTGCCTTAAAAGAGAGCTAAAAAGCAACAGAGAGCAGACCAGAATTGGACCTCCTCATAGCTGCCAGCTAAAACAATAAAAGTTTTTTTGTGTGTACAGCCGCCTCCTCCCCTTAAAAAATCGGAGAGAGAGGGAGTCCATCTGCTCGATTTTGATTGAGGGGAGAGGCTATTTGAGCTCCGATTTATCTTAAAACGATTCAGTCCACTCCGAACGACTCAGAACATTACATCCTATTTGGTGGAATTTTCTAATGTGTTTTTTCTTTTCGTATTTGAAATTTAAGCCCCTTTTGCCAGTGAAAGACTTTACTGACGGGAATACAAATACCTACCTCAACAGCAAGTGTTGCGTTAGTATCCACGTCAGCGGTGTCCTTGACCTTCACGTCAAAGCTGACCAGCTTTGCTTTCTTTACAACTCCTTGAGGAGCTGACTCAGGATTTGCCAAGGTACCACTTACCATCCACTCAGTAGAGCTATGGTTAACAGAAACGGATAGCCAGCGCTGTTTATCAACTGCAAGGCCAATAACCTCAAGTGAGGGTCCAATCACGAGCTTGATGGCAAAAGAGGCAATGGCATACGACGAATCGCAGTAAACTGAAAAAGAAAATGTCCCTCCGACAAAAACGGGCTCAAAAGGCAAAACACCATAAACATCATTTGAGAACAACTGTGTGTTGGGTCCCGGATGAATTGTAGCGTTGCCTAGCAACACGGGGGGTAAGCCAGAGTTGCGAAGTCGGTAAGTGACGGATACCATTTCTGGCTTTACAAGAGAGGGGTCTGAGAACCACTGAGTAGGCAAAGGCACCTGAACTGTAGCAATACCATCTGCTGCATTTGGTTTAACAATCACCTAGGAAGAGAACATGAATATCTCAATCAATGGGTCAATGGGTTTCTTAAGTTGCTACTGTTTGTGTTCCCATTGCACATTACATGCATGATGTACAGGGTCTAGATGTAGGGTCTACATCAGGCACGAAAGTTCAAAGGGTGTGACTAACGATATCCAGTGGATAAATGTCTATCCAGCGGACAACCCGATTGTTTTCCCCTAATACTTATCTGCTAAACGGGGTCGAGTTCTTGACTTCAAAGCCGGGTTAAGAAAATTTGAATTCAGATGTGAAACGGCTTAAAAAGCACATTCAATGATTGGCTACTCTAAAAAGAATGTAGAGAAAATTGTCCGAGAAAATGCTTTTGGTGAAAAGAAAAAGAGACCCGGGTTAAGAGTTAACCGTGGGTTAGCGCTAACCGGCCTTCGAACAACGTAACTGGGCCCTGTAGCTTACCCGGTGGATAACGCTATCGGTAATTTTGAGTCACCAGTAAGGGTTAAGAGTTAACCGTGGGTTAGCGCTAACCGGCCTTCGAACAACGTAACTGGGCCCTGTAGCTTACCCGGTGGATAACACTATCGGTAATTTTGAGTCACCAGTAAGGGTTAAGAGTTAACCGTGGGTTAGCGCTAACCGGCCTTCTAACAACGTAACTGGGCCCTGTAGCTTACCCGGTGGATAACGCTATCGGTAATTTTGAGTCACCAGTAAGGGTTAAGAGTTAACCGTGGGTTAGCGCTAACCGGCCTTCTAACAACGTAACGAACAACCCGGTGGATAACGCTATCGGTAATTTTGAGTCACCAGTAAGGGTTAAGAGTTAACCGTGGGTTAGCGCTAACCGGCCTTCTAACAACGTAACTGGGCCCTGTAGCTTACCCGGTGGATAACGCTATCGGTAATTTTGAGTCACCAGTAAGGGTTAAGAGTTAACCGTGGGTTAGCGCTAACCGGCCTTCTAACAACGTAACTGGGCCCTGTAGCTTACCCGGTGGATAACGCTATCGGTAATTTTGAGTCACCAGTACACCTTACAGCCTGGGACCAGGCTCCACATTGGGGGAAAAAGAAAAAAAATCGGCGAGCGACGCAAGCCGAGAGGTAATCTGGGGAAGGGAAAGGGTGGCGCCCTTTCCCCCTCCCCAGGACAATGTTGGGCCCCACTCGCTCTTTTTTTCCCTATTTGACCCTGTTTTTTGCCTTTTTCCCCAACTGCGGAGCCTGGTCCCAGGCTACGAAATAAGGAACACACAAACAACGCCCGGAGGTCTAAATAATAAACGACTTGAACTTACCTGTAAGAGACTGCCATCAATCTTTGTCAAGTTAGCACTTGGTATGACTTTAACAACAACTTCACTTTCATCCACCAATGTACGTACGTGAAAAGAAGGGTCCTGTACCTGCGCAATAACACGCACCGCTGGCCGATCGCAGTACACATCTTTGCTAACCAATACAGCTCTGACCAAAGTAGCTCGCTCTCTTGTTGTCGTGTAATTCTCTTCAGCGCTTATGTGTCCTACAGACGCCCGTAAGCTTCCCTCAATGTCTTGGTAACCATTTACAAAGAATCCAAACTGCCGCATGACGTTAGATGTTTGTTTGCCTTGAATAAACCCCAGTTTCCTAGTTTCAAAGTCAACCGTTGCTCGCGATGCCAACGTGGAGCGTGCAACAACATTTACAACGACCAGCGCTGACGAATTTCCCGTAGATAAACCATTTCGAAGACGAGCTCCAATCAAGAAAAGAAAAGTACTATTGACAGGCACATACGAGCGTAGATTAAGGACCCCTGTCGAGTTATCGATTTGGAAAGATCCGCTGTCATTTCTTTCAATAATGGAGTAATAAACAGGCGTTGATCTAGTGCACAGACTTGAAGCATGAACTGTTTAGAAAAGATCATATAGAAAATATTTGAACAGAAGACTTCCACAAGGACATATATTACATAGAAACCCCTTGGCTACGAGTCGGGTCAGTTCGGGTCAAAATGGAACGATGCAGAATATTCATTTTTTAAACGACTTGAGAAGGATAGAATTCGAGAAGGATAGATATTTGCACAGATATCTAAGTTTGGAAATTCTGACAAACCCAGCCAATCAGCCGACTAGCCACGCCAATCAGGCGCTGCGTTCGCTGACGAACGCAGGTTTTCAAAATCGAGGGGTTTGTCTGCAAGCGTTTCCTTTCTTCCCCTCCCGCTTCCCCTCTCTTTCATTTTTTGGCTCTCGTTTCATTTCTCGCGCGGTCAAAACCGAAAATTCCGTTCCTCGGTCGTTTTTTGCTCCGAAACTAAACAGAAACACTTGCTACGCAGGCTAACAACGAGAGGTAAGTGAAACAGGTGTTCAAAATTCTGTGTTCCAACGGTTCAATAACAACAGCGTAGATTGAAGTAAAATTGCTGCAAACAAACCACACGACTGCATAAGTATATTATTTAGCCGTTTTTCACACACGCCGTCAACTTCTTTCTTCAGCCCTCCTGCCCCTTTGGTTGGATCATTTCGGATCATCAGTAGTTAGAATGACAACTCCAAGGAGACTGGCATAAAAGGAATTGGCGCTTTATAAAATGACAGCTAATTAATTCATGTTTGTTATATTCTTTCTGAGAAGCATAGAACGAGGCCTTTGGTTGCGTGATCAACAATGCGGTGCATTTGCTACCGTTCTCCACCAAACGTAACCTTCCCCAACCCATAATTTTTTCTGGAAGGCGATAACGAAAATATTGTAAAACACGACCAGCACAGAACTACCCGTTTTTAAAGCCCGAACAATGCGGCTTGTCGTGTTATAATATTCAGAAATTATTTTCTTAATTATAAAATCAGTCGTTTTTCAACAAACCAATCTTATGGCGTTTTACGCAACCTTACCTTGAAGCACAGGAACACCAGGGGGCGTTTGATGAAATATATTTCTTGTGTAACGATCCCTGTTGAATGTCAACACCTCGCTACAGTTTGGCGGCCTAGTAATGCTTCCATTACACTCGCAAGAAGAAACATTTTCAAAATTTGGGCAAATACAATTTCGACCATAAACTTCCAGTTCCGAAACTGCAAAATAATCTGTCTTTTGTGATAAATTTCCCAGAAAGGAAACCATTGATAGTCTAACGTGAGTAGAAAAAGAAAATTGTTGAAGAGTTTTGTTCGTTGAAAAACTATCAGCTCCAGGCCTTGTGGCTTCCAATAAATAAAATGAAACAGTTTCTCCCTGAACGGGAACTGAAGATCCTTCAACGCAATTTACGCTGTCAGGAAAGCTTAGTTTTCCCTGGTTTTCCAAGTTGTAGATAGTTCTACAGTCTTTAGCATAATACTGCCACGGTGTCCATGTTGAGCCGTTGTCGGCAGATTTTAAAAGAATGAATGTTTCAGGCGGCCACCATTTGAAAAATATTTTAACATGTAATACTTGCTTCAAACCGCCAAGGGACACTGTAATATTCACCGGTGCTCGAGTTCTCTTAGATTGCCACCAAGTATCAATATTACCATCATTAGCGAAGGCTCCAAAATGTGCCCTTTCGTTCAAACGTTTTACTGAAATGTTTGTTTTATGACTGACACAGTATATACCATCAACATCTGCAGAGATGTATGGGTACTTCACGTGACATCTGCAGTGTTGGGCCAGGCGGGGCTGATAGACGCTCTGCCCAGTAGCCAGTGCTTTAATTTCCGATGGGAGGAGAGGCCCCGTATAAAGATGGGCTGAACCAAGCTGACCTGCCAAAAAAAGGAAAGGAAACGGTCTAAAAAGGAAGATGTTTAAAACCCTGCAAGATCACCGCTACTTTCAGGTGAAGAGATACTCCCTTCTTAGCAGAGGATCATTTAGTATTTGTGTTCCCATGCTGACCATTTCATTAACAATATTTTCGCCTAATGAATCCATTACTACTACACCAATATTCTGCATATATATAACTGTACATGAGCCTGTATACTGGTATGTAAGCATCTCGTGCAATGGCTGAGTGTCTCGTTATCTTCGCGCCACCCACCGCCTCAAGTTTCTTTAACTGAGGTACCGCTCTGTCTACAGTTATTATCTACAAAATGGTCGTGACCAGACATGGCTGGATAAGGCGCAGATCTAACATAAATACTGACTGTTTTCGTAAACGAGCGCTGAGCGAAGGCGTCAAGCTTCTACTGGGGTCCAGGGCCTGCACCCCTGTGATTTTGGATTTTTACCCTTGTCCATTGGACAAGTGAAGTTCAAATTTTTTTTCTAACTCTGCTTACAACACTGTTCCAACATTGCAACGTTGTGTTGCGCTAAAAATCGCCGTTGCGAATCGTCCCGTGTAACATCACCCTTAACCCATCTCGTTCAATTTTCCAAATTTTTCTAGAGCTGAAATCTATGACTCACTGTACCTAAGTTTACAAAGAGAAAAAGAATCGAAAAAGAAAATCGTTGTCTTGTGTTCACGTACTCCATAAAACGTGAAATTAGGAAGTTTCACGTGGTCGTAGACGTGCAACGACGACCTTTAAAGCGTGAAGCGTGTGTAAAGTAATTGTTCTCGTTTTCGTTGCCGTCGCCTTCACCGATGCTTAAGCTCCCGATAAATAACGGAAGAAGTTTTGTTTACTACCTACCTATAAAGTAGTCATCGGCAGAACCACTTGGTACACCACCTATAAAAATATTGCCACTTATGTTCCAGAGATTTCTTAACGTTGTTTCTTCAGCTACAACAGTTCCATCAGCAAATAGCTGAACTGTCGAGTTAAACACAACAAGGGCCAGGTGATGACAGATACCATCAGATAAATTAACGTTCAGGAATACAGCACTTATAAGTCCAGTTGAATTTACATATTCCATGGATAGTTGTCGGTTGATGCTGTTGGCAGCGAGTTTTAGGACAAGACGACTACTGTTATCTTGTATCGTTACGACGTGACTAAAAAAAAATTGAAAAAAGTTCATTCTTTTTAGTAAGAAATAGTAGTATAGTATATAATCTACAAAAGTCGACAAAATAAAACAAATGAAACAAAGTTCGAGATAAGGTAAATTAAAATTTTAATATTACATGTAATGTATGTTAAGGAAAAACAGAGCCGCCGTGTGCATGTAAAGCCGGGGCTGATGTAAGGTGATGTGACGCGAGACAATAAGCAACAACAATTTTCAGCACAACACAGCGTTGCAACATTGTTGTGACATTGTTTGGAATAGTTACAACATTGTTCCGACATCGCAACACTCCGTTGCGCTAAAAATCGCCGTTGCGAATCGTACCTAGACTTATTGTTCAGTTCTTATCTCACCCAGCGCGATTGCAAACCACGATGATATTATTTAGGGATTAAGACGAACACCAAGCATAGTTTTACACGGACCCTTAAAATCAATAAAACTACAGTTTTGTTCTGAAAACCAGTACAACCAGCAGGGTTCTCAATAGATTTTTAAGTAGGAGGTGATCACTGATAAAGTAGGAGGCTCTTCAGCAAAGCCAGAGGTGTCAAAACAAAGCAAAGAAAAGCGACTTAAACACAAAGTAAGCGGCTATAAATCCCAAAGTAAGCGGCGATCAATCGCCGGGTGCCGCCTTCTATTGAGAACCCTGAACCAGATGGTATTAGGAAGAGTAAACTGAAACCTCAAAAGGTAAATCTACGTATTCAGTGCCGGATCCGGACCTTGAGATAAGCGGAAGGGAGGGGGTCAACCACACCCTGAGATAAGGGGGGCCCGGTCTCCCAAAAAAGTTTTTCGGCCCTTCGGGACTCAGTTTGGATCCCTACTGGTATTAGTCACGTATTAGTCTTAAGTATTATTCTCTCACTCTAATCTCCCCATGTAAGGCAATCCATATTCGGAATCCAGAATTATATCTTGTGGAATAGAGACTCTTGTGCTTTGGAATCCGGAATCCGGAATCCAGCCGTAGGAATCGAGAATAACGCTCGAGATGCTTGAAGTCCAGCAAAGACTACTAACAAGGAATACAGAATCCCGTACTCAGAAATACGGAATCCGGAGTATGGTCGTTTCGCTACAAGTCGATTCGCTGCAAAGTTGTAAAGTCGTTTCGCTAACTTAACTCGTTATTACCCGTTTGTAGTTCATTCTAAATTGTTTTAAACTGTTTGATACAAGAAGTTGGTTGCAGTGAATCCACTTTATAATGCAGCGAAACAACTTAAAGTGAAACGACTTCATTATGTAGCGAAACAACTTGTAGCGAAACGACCGTAATTCTGGAATCCAAAGTCTGAAATCAGAATCAAAGACTGTCTCGGATTACTAGCTTACATGGGGAGAAACGTATGTTTGTTTTACCCTTTGTCTGGACGTTTCTGGCTGAGATGAAGAGTGAGAGTAAATCCTTGAGAGTCACTGAACAAGGCTGAGCCGTCAAAAGACTTAGAGATAAATCCACTTGTGCCATTTAACTGAACAGTACTTTTCCTGAGAGAATAACATGCTGAGCTAGATTGATTTGTCAGCATCACCTGCAGACAAATAATATTTAAATAAGGTTATCACATTAATTAAGAATTAAGTAACATAGTGCAGTTTTACTACCAATTTTACTTTTCATAAAAATTAATGCCTGCTTATTAACACTTCCTCCAATCTGTTCTATGTGGAAAATGAAGCCAGCAGTTTGGCTCTTACAACAAGGGAAATAAAAAATAAAGGATCCTAGACTGTATGTCAAGGATTGTGGACTGTGCTTCTAGGTATAAACTAGTAATTATTGTAGGCTCCACATCTTCACTGACGAACACTGATCACTACTAGACTGTAGATGTTGATTAATAGTTAGTATCGCAAGGGTAAGCAATAGTGGGGTCAACTGAGGATCAATGGGCTGCGGTCCTCTGAGGAAGTCCTCTAAAGGAGGTAGGAGTGCAGTTCTTATTTGGCCTTGGCCTATAATGGGGTATGCCTCTGGACAGGGAATACAGTTAAAATTCAGCAAAATTGTCTCAAACTGGGAGATAAACTAGCATAACATACAGTATAATTTGCCATTTTGAAAGATAAGTTATTTGACATGTTATTTCTAGGATGATAATGACGCCTGTAAGGGTAAAATGCAGACAAGTGACTTGGCCTCGAAACAGCGAGATTAGACCAGATAAGATGGCGACAAACAACATAAAGATGGGTCATCGACAGGGACATTGGCAATGCCTACTCCTCAAAAAGCAATGACCATAAATTATTTGAAATTCAGACAAGGGACAAACATAACCTCCCCCCCTTCTAAGAGGACATCTACAATGTGTGTAGTCCCATGTTGTCAGTTAAAGTTCTTCCGAATACTTTGAGTAGCACAGGACATAATACAGAAATCAGACCAGGCATCAAATAATGGTCACATACATGGGGTTAAAACATTGGAAAATTATAAAAATGACGTCCCAAAAGAGACCTGTCAAAGACAGTTATTTGGGGTTGGTTATTTACAAGAGGTTCCAGTAAGTTATAGAGTTATTTTAGTGCTTTGGACATAGCATGTAAAGAGAGTAGTGTCCAATAGCCCTGAGCCAAGTTGTTCAAAGCTGGGTTAAAATAACCCAGGTTAGTCCGAAAAAATTATTTGAATTCAGATAATGAAAGCTTAAAAAGCAAATTCAGTTTATTTCTTTTTGTCAACAATTTGATGATTGGCTACTCTAAAAAGAATAGAGAAAATTGTCCGAGAAAATGCTTTTGATGAAAAGAAAAAGAGACCCTGGTTAAAATTTAACCCTGGGTTAGCACTAATCGGCCTTCGAACGACTGGGCCCAGAACTACTGGATTTTGCAATCGAACAAGTGAATTCTGTTTTTAACTTGCAAGACTGGCAAGTAAGGTTGTTTTGGGGAATTCAGATAACAGAAGAACTGTAATCAATCCTGTTCATCAAAAAAATATATTTTTCAGGCTACTGGAAATGTAGGCTCGATTACCAGCCGCTGTTCAGGAAAATGAGCCCGCACTCATCCCCCGAAAGAGCGGCTGGACACGTGCGAGTTCCTTTGTTGGTTTAAGCCAATCATGTTACCACCATCAGATTTTCGTCTGGCAAAGATTGTCGCAGAAATTATCACATCAAAACAGAGAGTCCTCCCTTGATCCATCACATGGCGAAGCGATTTCGACGGCCTGGACAAACTAGGCGAAATTCTAGAGTCCGAAGGAACACAACATTTTGTTCGATTGTTTGTAGTGAACTTTGTTTTTAATGATTGTTGTTGGAGAGATTTTGCATCTTCAAGGATCTTTTCATGACACTTTAGGTCTCGATAACTGCGTTCGTTACAGATGTAACCGTCCACATTTATATTCGACAGAGGAACATTCAATACGCTGGAAATTCTGTCTGGTAAATCAGAAACTTTTCCATTTAAATTGGTCCGCTTCCGAGAGTGAGTCACTAAGGACCCACAGAAGATGCAACCAATATTCGAAGATCAAAGAAAATAAACTACATGTCGCCGTGTACAAAAATGTAGCGAAGAATATTTTTCACAATGTACGGAAATGTACCGAGAAAGCTATTTTGAAAGTTATTTGGGTGGGTAAGGGAGCTCTTGATGCAATTTTGAGCCAAATAAATAAGAAAATTGGAGACCGGTTTCACTTCCAATGACATCGGAGATGCCTAAATCATCACTTTTCCAGTTACGTCACAGACAAGGTCAACGGGTCACGCATCCAGCCGTCTCTCTTCGGGGAGGATCAAAGACCGCACCCTGGAGATGGCGGAAATCGAGCCTAGTGGAAATGTCACTGTGCGGTTAGTGCATGCTAGGCACTGTTTGACCAAATGGCAAGGACCTACCCCATTATAGTCTATTCTGTGGCCACTTATAGACCCCATCTTTGTCACTTTTGGGCAAATATGTAATTTTCACAATCCCAAGTCTGAACTTTCTATTTTTATGAATGGACCCATTTTTTAGATTGAATGAAGAGCACTTTACTTTTCTTCTACAGTACAAAAATTCTCCAAAAAATCCCAACATGTGCGACCCCCCTAGTAACTGACCCTGATCGAAAATGCGTCCCCATTATAGTCAATCCAGTTGTGAAAAAGCGACCCCATCCAGTGGCACATCCCCATTAGCCTCATATCATAGTTAATTGAGTGGAATGGTTATGAAACCCATCAGACTCCTTTGCTATATGTTTTTGTGGGCCTGAAAGTGCACAACACTCAAAAGCATTCCTTTCATTTTGATTGTATTGACCAATAAAAACGTTGCATTAATTCATTCCACAACGATCTGCCAACAGAAAGCAAAGGAGTTGTACACTTTCAGGGTGCTTCCAACATAAACTGCAGCACTGTTGTTTTTATCATTGATGTTTGCCACTTTTCATAACCATTCTCCTCTTATAACTATGCTCATATAAGGAAGTAACCCCCTCCCCCACCCAAGCTGTAAACCGAATAAATGGCCCCAAATGACTACTGATGGGTTAGCAAACAAGCGATAAGCTTACTGCATATTACGAATTTTAAATTTGAGCTATCATTGAAAATATAACAAAACATTGTTTGTAAGCGGAATTAATAAAGTACTTGTTTTGTTTCAGAGGAATTCACATGTAAATTAGCATGATTATAATCAGGCAATTATTTAATATAGCCTTCTACATCAACCGTACTGGATAATGCACCATAAATAAATAAATGTTTTACACTGGGAAGTATTAGGCATTATGTTTTTATACGTTACCTCGCCGTGAGATATCCCCGTAGCAACAAGATCCAATTTCCCGGGACTGGTATCCGCAAAGAAACATCGCGTGATACAGAGGTCAAACTGCCGACAGTTTCGACGCTGGTCGATCGCGACGCAGAATTCGTCTTCCTCTTGCAAACCACAAGTGTTATTGGACGAAACAGTTATTTCTTGGTTAAGTGCGAAATTTGACTGCGCATTCGTGGGCGAAGCACTTTGCTGAATTAAGATAACCGCAATTGCAATTGATAACAGTGACTGTATATATATATCTATACACAAAGGCATCGTTAATAATACAGCTGTGTTTGGAACACATCCATTGTATTTTTTGTTCAGTTTCCAAGCCGGCAATTAAGTTATGAGGCCATCATCTGAGAATGCTGATGAAACCATGCACGATTGCAGAACTAACGAAGCTTCAGTGGCTTTGCGCTTTTCATCTGTTTCCAAGACAGCCAAATCGCAAGAGGTTGGAAAAGTTCCCAAAACTCAGTAATCGAAGACCAATCCAAGCCTGAGCATTGCAAGAAATTTCCCCCTACAGAGACCAATTTCAGTGATTCCAGACTCGAGTTTGCATACTGCCAAGATTTTTACACATGAAATGTCAAATTTTGTCAATAATTAAAAAGTTCGATGTTTATAAAAAGTCACTTGAGTTGACTGTCGTCCTGCGGTGTCTGTCAATAAAATACCCATAAACCTCCAGAGCGCGGATTTCAAAAACAAAATGGCGGACGTGGGATCTGTGAAAACACTACACAACTTTGGTCCTTTAAAACCATTTACAGCTTCTACAATACAGGCAGTAACCCTAGCTAAGCGCAGAAAGATATTACTACTATCTAATGGCAGCCAGTTTCTTCATTTGGTAGAGGATGATACGCTAATCGTAAGTAATTAAGAGATTCTCGATTTTACTCAGTGTACCACATACAAGAGATCATTTACACTGCAAAGGGAAGCAAAGACGACTTATTAGTCTCCACGCAAGCTGCATCATATCAGTGCAATATTCACGAAACCAAATGAGTTACTTTGTCTTTCTGAATTATTTTTGACAACTTACATACTCGTTGAAACTTGTTGTTCATTTGCTTCATCTGCAGCACACTTTTCGTTTTCCCGCGTCAGTTGTCAATTTTAGCGTTCATGATTTTGATGGAAAGAGACGTTTGTTCACAGCAACAAGGGATGGTAATGTTTTTGCAGTTGGATTACCAGAGAACCTGACTAAAAGCAAGAGGTAAGGACAACAGTCTGCAAACAGATATAGTCTCCCTCAGTAGATTATATTATAAGGGGCTGTCAACATATTCACTTGTCCCCCGCTTAACGTCAAATGGTCTTCTAGGGGGTAAGGGATAATGCATTGGACATTGGTTTTTGGACAAAAGCAAACTGATGCATTTTCATAAATTTTATGTCATGTGTGGAACAGTGCTCATGACAATATTTAAGAGAAAGCAGGACCAATTAAAGAATAGCCTGCAAAGCAGGCATATTTTGCTGTGGGATTGATTTGGACGTTCAAAATGACTGATGGTTGGGGCGAGTCGACAGAAAATTCCTAGGGGGAGGTTGACGTGTCAATATAGGGAGGGGGAGGGGACAAAATAAACCTGCATGCAGCCATTGTTTGTTTGGCAAACACTGTACATTTGATAGACAGGAGCTCTGATTGGTATGGTTTCGGATGTTTGATTGCTAGTAGCCAGTCAAAGTCACATAGGAACGTACACTTTCTGGGCCTTCCGTGTGGTTATTAATTTTTAATACCCTGATTCATCCGAATTTTGAAAATTTTGATTTTGCCCTGGAGGAAGCTCTTTCGGTTGTTAGGGTTATGCATATCGCTTATCGATTGGAACAAAAGCAAGCGGTTATTACTCCATTGTCGAGGTGAGATGTATAATTTGGCCTCATCTTTCAGTTTTTGGTTGCAGTGAAGGAAATCTTGAAGAGTAAACTTGCATGTGGGATCTTTGTTTGACCTCTGAAAAGTTATGTGCACAATCAGTTGTCCGAAGCCTTTCTGACGTGACCATCACCCCTATGATAGCAACTGACGAGGAACACTTTAGTTCCAAAAGTGCAGTGTTACTTAGTGTTACTGCTCCAATCCAAAGGTTCACTCATCTCAAGAAAAACAATCAGTTGTATCAGTGCCTAAAGAATGATATTGACTGCTGACTTACAGCACAATTGTCCAAAGTTAATTTGCTTTAGCTTCAGTTTAAGCTCCAGTTTGGATCTGTAGATCATTATCTGTGAGAATTCAAGATCCTGCAAATGATGCTAAAGAGCTTGGCCTAGGGCAAAACAAAGAAGAGAAGAGAATCAACACGTTCCCTGACCATAAAGCTACACTACACGCCTATAGTCATTCAAGTCCAGGCATTACGGAAAAAACTAAAGAAACTAAAACCTTTATTTAAAGGTTACGTGTATTTAGTCGCAACAAAAAGGCTTTAAGAGGGGTCAAAGAAAATAGTTACTAAGCTGCATAAAGATAAAATCCTGTCAAAAAGTAAAAATACCTACATGAAACACGAAACATCAATTACAGGAAAAAAATTTAATCAATATGCGCAGATCAGACCAGTTTCAGATCCTCTTAATGTGAGACTAGTGGCAAACATAAGATTTTCACGCTCAAAATTTACACACTCTATTCATTATACAATTTGCCTGCTAAAAAGAAGGAAAACCTGTAATTCAATTTAGCAAACTCTTTGGTCACGTTTCACACTATCACTAGCTTATGGGTCATTTCCATTATTGTTGAACTAAATTTGTGGCTGAACAATACATGAACTAGATTTTCATTGGCTACAAATGCATTTCTGGAAAAGCAGTCAGTCGCAACTAATCAGGGGGCATTCGGCAGATTCATAGGCTCTGCAGGCAGGTGTTTTTTCCTTTTTCTCCCCTCCCCTCCCCTGGCCTGCCCTCCTCCATGTACCTCTGGGGTGCACTACTCTGCGGGCTAATTAAAGAAAAGAGACTCTGCTCTTAATTACTAGCAAATTGTTCAGTAAATTTTGTTGATACTGTTTACATCTTCATGTAAGTGCATTTCAGTATTCTTTCTGAAATGCAGTGACTTTTGGGGCAGGAAAATTTCAAGTAGACATTAAGGAGGGAGGAGGGTAAGGGAGTCTGACCGAAACATCCAGTTGACATTAAGCGGGAAAAAGTGAATATGTCGATGGCTCCTAATATAATTCATTAGCTTTACCCTTAATATAATTTATTAGCTTTATCCATTTATGAGCTCACTGTAACCAACCCATCCCTTGATAGGAGTGATGCTTGGGATGAGTCACTGCTCCAACTTAATCCTTAGCTTTCACTGATCTGTTTTGTATTAATTGGTATTCCATTGCTTTTTACTTAATAGATCAATGAAGAAAACTGCTAATATAAATCTGGATGTCAGTGATGACAGTTCAAAACAGAGACATAATGTTGGTGATGATGATATATTCACAGAACTTCTTGCTGGTGCAAAGAGGTCAGATGCAGCACCCAATCAGAAGCCTAAACAAGCATGCCATGCTTCAAACTGTGTGACAGTGATTGACAGAGGAAATGCAGTTTTGTATCAACCAGGGTTAAAAACATTTTCACCCATTGGAAACAAGATTCTGTGTTGCAGAACTTCAGATCAAGGCTATGTCTTGTCTATGTTTCATCAAACTGCACTAAAAAGTGATCTTGATACTTTGACATATGAAGCACTTCCAAGATTTACTATCGCTGTTGAAGTGACAACACCAGCTGTGTCTTTAAACAGTGCGATACAAAGTTGTAACTGGAGTTATATCCCTCAGTTATTGTTTGTACAGCCTGGCAGTAGTACATCACATCTAGTGCCTTGTGCAACTGTTAAAAGAAGGTTATTCAACATACTCTTCAATGGTGATGCCTCCTTAGTAGACTCACCTGTTGTGATTTTTGGAGCCCAAGATGGTCAAATGCTCTTTTGGCCTCTCAACAGCTTCGCCCTGACAAGCAAAAGCACTGAAGTAGTAGAAACCAGTCAGAGCTTTACACCGCAGTTGCTGTATCATCTTGAGCAAGGCGTTTCTGCGATTTATTCCACAAATCTTGTCTTTCAAGGTGATTTGAATGATCAGGGGGATTCCTTAAAAACTAGTGAGAGAGCAGGTAGTGACAAGCTACAGAGAGAAGAGGGCAGCAGTGACTCAAATGCCATAATCTTTGTTGGAAAACGTGACAAAATTGTGATAGTCTGTGAAGAAAAGTCTATTTCAGGCAAAGGAAGAATTAGTCCCGTCAAGTTCAGTGAACATACAATAATTGGTCCAGTTATTTGTTCATGTTTGAACAATATTGGTGATACTTTGATACATTCCACAGGGAAAGAGATCTTTATCACCAAGTTTTGTATTTCTAGTGACAATGCTGCTAAGGCTACTGCAGTGTTGTCCTCGTTTACACCATCCATATTGACAACATCTAGCATACAGATACCAAATGTGAGAGCAGTTTGTTGTATTTTCAAAAAGAGTAAGGCAGACGGTGGAAAGAGGCTTGAAAAGGTTTATTCTCTTACGCTGAATGGAAAACTGCTGATGTTTCTTTTGCCTGAATCTCAAGATGGATGTTCACTCACCAACATCTCACCGCAAGCAGCTGGCGAGAAAGTAAAGGCCTACTTAAGCGAAATTGAAGCTCAATCTGCAGAGCTTGCAAGAGTGAACTCAACAATAGAGTCAGAGGATAAGATTTTGAAAGAACTCAATAACGCTATCCACATTGGCTGCCAACTGAGCCAAGTTACACAAGTTTGTAACCCTAGAAGGACAGATTTCGGTAACGTTTCTGTCCCAATAGCCTGCACATTTACGCCTTCATTTTCAAGCCACGACAGCAATGGAATTAGCTCTGTGTCTGTGCATTGTAAAATTGTAAACCAAGGTAATTTGCCTGTACCATCTTGTTGGTCCTTGATGGTTCAAATACAGGGCAAAGACCCTTGGCTTCACCACACCACACATGAATCTTGTATTCTAGGACAATCTGTGCCTTTGAAGTCTTTAAATCCAGGATCCTTTCTCGAGTTAGACATTCCCCTTAGCAAGAGTTTGTGCTCTTCTTTTCACATTGTTGCAGAAGCACACTTGTTCTGTGACTTGAAACAATTACTTGCTGATCTAGGTGACGATTCAGGGACTTTGAATAGTGTTGAAGATGTCGTTTTTCCAATCAGAAGGCAAGTGATGGATGTCTTGCATTTTGTGAGGCCAAATCCAATAGGTTCACGACTGTCTGTGCCAAATGTTATGCCAGATTCCAAGGAAGAACTGAAACAAACTTTAGACAGGCTTAACCTAGAAAACCAGCGACACTGTATCTATGTGCACGATTTGTCACGAGACGGCGAGATCACAAGTACAGAGGAAATCTCTCACGGAAGCTTTGTGTATTCAGCAACTTTTCAAATTTCCCAGGACGCTGTGGACTTCATGAAGCGTACGATTCAGAGCGAGGTTGTCCCGGAATCAACTCAGATAATAACAAATCAGACCACAGTTTTACGTTTTATCTTCGAAGACTCAAGTATCCTGGAACAACAGATTAATACTGGATATTCATGTATGGACGTGCTCTCTGTGAATGGAAGCCGTGTAACTGTACAGGTAAAGCCTTTATCTGGAGGTATATCTTCAGCCGATAACCCTCCTCTGGAATTGGCAATCCACTGTTCGTCGGTTCATCTCCTATGCCGTATGCATGAAGCAGTTTTAACACGATTAAAGGTAAGCTAGCTTTAGTTTTTGAGTCAGCTATGTAGTGTGACTATTGATCATGATCCTTTTAGTCTTGAATATCAAATCATTTTGTGCTCGAACCATCTTCAACCAAGTAACCGCCTTTTTTAGAATTCAAGCAAATGGCCGAAAACTGAACTGGCTTTTGTTGTTGATGTTGTTGTTTTTTTGCTATATTAAGCGGATCCTAGAAAGGGTGTCGTAAATAGCTTACTGAAGTAGAAGTTCATAAACAATGGATCAGTACTATTTAACAATTATTCCTCGACCCTGAATGGGCTCTGAGTTAATAGCCCATAAGGCCGAAGGCCGAATGGGCTATTAACTCAGAGGCCATGAGGGCGAGCGGAATAATTGTTTTAGTAAAATCCAACTAGTTGGTCAAAAATATCTAGAGTAAAAAAATTTTAGCAAGTTAAAGCTAGACTTTAATCCTTTTTTGCCGCCAAAAAGCCCGCGCTTTTCGCTACTAGAGGGCTATAACATATAGCCTAGTAGTAGCTCAACCAATCAGAACGCAGCATTGATATTAGACCACTAGTTGGATTTTACTAAAGTGTATTATCCTCCCGTTTCAGACGACCCTTTCTTATAGCAGTATCTACTGACCTACACTTTTCGACAGACTAGTCCTTGGTCTTTAAGGTTGTTTTCCAAGCAATCTAGTTATTGTCGGTGTTTGCTTTCAAAGTAGACCTGTCTGATCTTTACTTAGCTCATAGTTAATTGAGTGGCATGGTTATGAAACCCGTCAGACTCCTTTGTTATATGTTTTTGTGGACCTGAAAGTGCACAACGTTCAAAAGAATTCCTATCATTTTGATTGTATTGACCAATAAAAACGTTGCATTAATTTATTCCGTAACAATTTGCCAACAGAAAACAAAGGATTGTGCACTTTCACGGTGCTTTGAACATAAACTGCAGCACTGTTGTTTTTATCGTTGATGTTTGCCGCTTTTCATAACCAGTCTCCTCTAATAACTATGCTTAGCTTTAACAACCACACTGCTTTATCCGTGCTAAAATAAACCCTGAAAGGTTACAAATCTCTTTTAAGAGGTTGCAGTTTATTGTTTTGTTTTAGAAATCGAAGCGTTTTTCGAGGTGTTGTTAAATTTTGACGAAATTTCTTAATTTTATTTTAGCCTGTGATAACACGCGCGACAAGAACGACTCAACTGCGAGTAAATGATCTTCAGAAGGCACTGGAAAAATTACAGGTACAGTTATAACAGAAAACGAATAAATGGATTTAGTGCAGTGTGAAAAAAAAACTTTCATGTGCGAAGTGATTATGGCTGGATATTGGTGAAAATTTAATTTTTAGGAAACAACGAGGGTAATCCTGAGCGGGGACAAAAGACCCATTTTACGCGTTCGGGAAGACAGTCATACACCTTATTGGAGCAAAACAGAGCACATATTCAAACCTTAGGTCATCCTTGAGACCCAGGGGCAGTCAGTTGGGAAGGGACTCCGAAGGTGAACGTTGGTCTACTTTCGAGTACCTAGAGGGGAGGTTTCACCAGTAAGGTCTCCGTCATTCATTGCGTTTGACCGGAGAAAAGTCTTGAGTAGAGCTCTGATGTAGGGAAGTTAAACTCAGCAAGGGTTAAGTAAAAATCCGAAACTGAAGAAAATTGGGAGTAGCCAGGCTGTTGTTATAAATAACTGATGAATGAAGGGTTAAGTTTCAAATGAAACTGTGGTGTCGCGTCAGTGGGGGACTGAAATACAAAGATTTGGTTTTATGGACGAGTTGACGAAGCTTTAGCCCTCGAAACACGTGAGCTTTTCAATCCCCCAAAGGTGGCCAATCTGCATTATTAACTTAGTCATAAAACCCAAATCTTTATGATAATTGAGCTTCCATTTTGTGGAAATTGCCATATGTGTCAAAGCATTTCAGTGTAATCTTATTTCGTTATTACTGTATGAAACTACTTGTTATTCCTTTTCTTCTTGACACAAGAAGAATCCTTTCTAATTTAAGTTTTACACACCTAAAAAAATGTGCTGTTTGTTATAGACATTATTTTTTTATTAGACATATGATCAATTTCTTTTTTCTACAGAACCTGCAAGAAAAGATCATGTCACTAGAGGATGCCTTTGTAATGAAGCAAGACAAATTGCACGGGCCAGAATTGAAAGATAATCTGTGGACATTGTACAATGAACTTCGGAAGATCGTCTTTTTAATATAGGGGCTTTGGTTGTAGTGTAATTTACAATGCAGCCAAGTATTGTAGGAAATCTTAAAAGGAACTCTTGTCAGGAGCTTTTTATTCTGTGTTAGCTGACAGATTCCGTTTTCATTGCACTAAAGTCATGTATAGTCATGTAAAAAAGAACGTTTGTAAAAAGAACTAAAATGTATATGAAAATCAGATTTAGTTTATGTGATAACTTACTTAGCCTACTTATCGACTTGTGTCAAGTCTGTTATTTTGTGTTTCTTACTTATTTATGAAAATAATGAGAAGGGGTACAAAAACAGTGTCCCTTTACAGGTTTAACTTGATTAAGCCTTTTCAGTGCCAAAAGTCAGCAAAAATTAACGATAATCGTTTAATGCTTAATTCTAGTACATCATCAACTTACGTAGCACAATAAAATTTTGAGGACAAGGCGCTGACAACTCTAGTTTGCCCCAAACATTGTTGCTCGGTATAGGCACCGCTAAAGTAAGCATTTACGCAGGTGTTCCATAACACTGTCAAACCAGCAGTTGTTTTTTTGAGAGACTGAATTCCCTTTGCTGAAATAAAAACTCTTCGATGAGCGGAGTGTTTTTTATGGAAAATGTACTTTCGTAATCACTTCAACGACCAGAGTGGTAAAAAATTTGACTGGTGAATTCATATATGGACATAAATGTTTGCTGAATTTTTTTAAAATAAATTACAAAATTAACTGGCATGTGGAAATAGAATTCTGCAAAATTACTGATTTTACTCTGAAAAAGACCCCGTTTGAAAATGCCCCCTCTTAAACTTTTAATTAAAACCTTCCTGCTTGAAATTAGAAAATGAAAAGTCCGTTTCTAAGCTTGAATAATCTTGAGATTCAAAAAATGCCAAGAATCTGATCTGATGAATCTAACCTAATATTTTTGCCTCTAAAGAAATTCGGGGAATGAGAATGGGGTACGCGCATTGCCATTGTTTTAAAGATAATGTTCCTTCGCAGTTTTCGGTTTAATGAAGGGGTAAATTAAAATAAAATTATCCTTTTTGATAATGAAAAATGAAAAGGAGCAAAGCAGCGATTTTCTTAAGACTTTTAATTACCCGCTGAAATTACCCCATTTGTCCGAAATGTCTCCGTTTGTTTGAATGATTTGAAATTTGTCCGTTGAAAGTGAAATGTGCCTGAATTATGTACTATGCGTCTGGTTAATTAAGATCAAATGTTTGTTCTTTCTCTAAATGAGAAGAAACATGTATGAGAGCATCCAGGCTCGGGTGGATGCCGTCATTTCTTTCATACCATTTCTGTACAAAAACAAATTACGTGGGATTTCAAGACTCTAATTACCTGAAACTGAGATTCGGAACCGAGGCCGGACTTTGTGGAAGAAAATCGAGAGTAAGAGAACTATACAAGCGTTTGAAAAAACGAGACGGCGAGAACCTTTAAGTTCGAAAATTTGGCGAGTCTCTAATTTGTTCCCATTTGTGAGCAAGAAAGAGCTTTTCCACCTGTCTAAATCAGCGGATTGATGTAGTTTCAGTTCCCTCTTTTATTTTTATGATGGTAACACAAATAGGTAGCTTTGAATTGATGCACTTAACGAAAACACTTGGCTCCAACTTTGTTTGCAGTTAAGCCCCGTTAAAATGAGGCTGGGCAGGATACTGCATGTTTGTAAACTTCCCCCCAACTTCCAGCTAATTCGTTATAATATAGTTTTCACATTGGTGAACGGCAGCGCCCATCGCCGCTTTTCATCATCACAATATTATAATCCTAACGGATACTGTTTTTTGCTTCTTTTTGTCTACGAGTTGTAGCTAAAAAAAACTCATACTGTGGCACTGTCTTTTTCTCGCAGATTGAAAGATGGATGTTATGAAAACAATTGTAACTGTTCTTTTTATGTTCCATGCGCTCTCAAAAGAACAAATGGCTCTGAGCCTTGAAGGTAATGACTGAGCAAATTTTCTTCTGTACAGTGATACCTCGCCAGTATAACGAAGGGTTGAAGGGACTGGCAAAATTTGTCCGCTATAACGAGGTTTTGTTATCGAGGTTCTTTTTCATATATTTTACTATTACTGGGGTAAAGAAAATCATTCGTTGTACCGAGGACTTAGTTATATAGAGGTTTGGTAGATAGAGGTTCCACTGTAAACGGAAGCAAATTAAAAATGTGGTCGTTTGAATTCTAATAAATGATTGCAGATTCCTCCAATTACATAAACCAAAAAAAGATCGAAATAAACAGAAAGCAGGAAAGAGCCAGGATATTAATGGATGAATTTGTTAGAGAAGCTGAGGCCACTTGCCAAGGTAAGAACAAGGACATCTTAAGAGACCCAGGAGCAGCAACTGGGTCGGTAAGACCGAATTAATTCAAGTCAGTACTTGTTGCAAACTTTCACCCATGAAAATCCTGTGGTCTTGACTAAAGTCGCTCTTGAGTTTCCAGGGATGGGATGAAGACTAAAATAAGTGCAACAGAACCCTGGTAACTAGAAATCGAAAGGAAGGAAAGAACTGAACAAAATAGTTCTGTCTAGATATGCCGATTGCACCGCCGATGATAGTCTATTTTCTCGTTAGAGATCAAGTCGAGATCCAAGCGTATCAGACAAAAACCCGGCGCGGGGGATTTATTGAACGCAAGCTCCAGCACAAAACGAAAAAGAAAAACGTTGGCTGTGGGCATGCTAAGATTTCACATAATTTTTTTTTATCGTTACTTTTAATGGGATATCGCACTTTCTCTTCTAGTGCTTGCTCTTGGCGTTTTCCAGCCGGTTTCATCATATTATAGCTGTCAGTACTTAAGTGCAAAGTGAAATTTTTAAATGAATTATTTTGAATGAATAATGAATGCACTTGACATATGAACTGAAATGCATATATTACAGGGGCACCCAACGAGAACATAGTTCAAAACCACTTAAACATAGCATTGTTAAACGTATTTTAGTATTTAAACGGTGTAGATGGTTTTCACAGCGACGTCATCAAATTGTAAAGTCAAAATAGCGAGGTTTCACGAATTCTTATTTACACTAGGTTGAAGATAACCAAAAAGTACATCTTTGTCCAAGTTTCCAGTCCCATAGCTTGTTTCATTTCGAAAATACAGCAATTTGAACTTCCGAGTTTTCACAGTGCGTGACACCAAGACAGGAATGTTGTCTTTGCTGAAAAAGAGTCTCTCGTCTTGATTTTCAGCAGTATAACCATTTCAAGTATTAGAAGATATGTTTATGCGTACGTATGCTAGTTCTTGACTGAAAAGAAGGAGCTGCAATTTATAGAAAAAGTGAACTCCAGATGTTTTTGTTGATTTCCGGCGGCCATATGGGTGCACCAACTGACTTTAATCACATGCCCTCACTTGAGCGCTATTTTTTTGTTTAATGGTCTTTTCAAAGTGAGCATTGGTTATCCAACTTGGCATAAAGGCAAACGCTTATTTTTAAGCTTCGCACGTTGCATTATGTCTTTTCTAAGGCAAGAAAGGATCCTCTCCTTCGTTACCGGGTCTGTCATGCAAAGACATCAAGGACAGCGGAGAATTTAACCGTGGAATTTACTGGATAAGGCCTGAAGGCTCAAGTGACAGTTTCCAGGGATACTGTGACATGTCAGCGGTTGGACGTGAGTTTCGTTCTTAAAAAAGTAACTTTAGCAGGAAAATGATAGTGTTTAACTTTTTATTGCGTCAGGTAAAGAACAGTAACTGTTAATCGTTTTCATAAGACCAAAGCGGTAGAGAAAAAAATGCGTTTCATATTCAGTATATCTAAGTCGGATTAGGATAATCTAATCTTGCTTTGCTGTTATATATACAAATACCATTGTATTTATTCTTGACATTGAGTTGAATCTGAACGTTGCAAATTAAAGGTTTTTTTAAATCAGCTTGGTAAAAGCTAGTAATCTTAACTACTTACTTTTGTAAGTATTTTTAATCCAGACCTATTCTGTTGTGCTGTATCATCTGTGGCATCTGGCTGGCTGTCTACCCTGGTCCAAGAGGCTTTTCTTGATTTGTACCTCTGAGACCAGGGTATTTTTTTCTTTTTTAATTTCAGGTAAATAAATTTTTAGTTCTCAATTATATAGTTTTTTTTTTTGAATAATTAGAATGGAAAAAAGTCACGGCTCAAGCATACACTTTTCGTGGGGGAGTGACGATTACCTACAGTGATGAAAACAACGGGCTCGCCATATCTGGTAAAGCGACGTCATATGGATGCGGCGGGAAACAGTCAGGAGCTTTAACGCTGATCGAAGGATACTGGAGGAAAATTAAGTACACACAAGAATTCCGTGGTGTTGCGTCATGCTGGAGCATATTTGGGGATAACTGGTAGTTTTTTTTATATAATCAGGGAGACCTTGGAAATCTCAATGATAGGAGGCTATCAGAGAAATATTATTTTGTCACTAAAATAACATAGTTCTCTAGTGTTGATATAACTTTCAGGAACGGTTATAGATCAATGAACCTTCAGAGTTATTTATTAATGTTTTTATTAGCCTTTTCTACACTCCCGCTTAACACTGGATTTTCAGAGAGAGGTGGGGAAGGGGTAACGGGCAACGAGTACAGGGAACGACAAAATGAAAAAAAAAAAGAAAAAAAAGAAAGGATGGAAACCTACCTTAAACCCTAGCCTCATTCTCTGCTTCGTTCACCGTGCTCGTTCGTCCCCTCTTCCCGTTGGTCGTTTTTTACTATCACCCCTTGACACTGCCCGTAAGCAGTTCTTAAATGTACGGGAAAGCCAAGTGAAAACTCGTGGTTTCGCTTGACACTGGCTAAAATCTGTTTTAAATAACCTGCCTGTTTTCTGCCTAAGCAGACTGGCTCACAGACTAGGTTTTCTAACGAGACTGTGACTGATCGATCACCTTTCTTCTCAAGATCCCTTTATTCTGAACAAAATATTGCTTAGACTTGCTAAATTTGAAAACTTGTACATGATTTTGTAATGATTAGGCAGTGACTGTGGTTTGCCTCTATGCCTTTCACAGTTTTTTTTTTTTTTGTAACGATTTAAGGTATGGTCGAGATTCTGTGAGTAATCATCCAACAGGTGTACATCCTTTTAACGCCTCTGAAGGAGATTTCATCACTAATCAGTACTACATGGGAGGAGACTGTGAGTAACTGATCATACATACAATGAATCAAACTTCCTTAAGGCTGCGTGCAAACGGACGCAACAACTCTCAACATTGTTGCGCCAACAATGTTGGGAGTTGTTGCGTGCATGTTGGCAGTGGTGTGCAAACGGATGCAATAACTCAGTCCCAACAATGTTGGGACCTGCAGTGCATCGTGGGAAGGATACAACCCATAAGTCTTTGTAAACTATGCGTAATTAGCGTGCGTGGCCCCAACAATGTTGGAAGAGCCGTGCAACGGATCCAACATTGTTGCGCTACGCTTCGGCGATCACGGAACAAAACAAATGTTGGGAGTTGCTGGCTGAAAAGTTTGACCGGTTTCAAACTTTGCGCAACAACACGCAACAACATCCAACAACATGCAACAGGTTGTGCAAACGGACGCTACATGTAACATCCAACAATGTTGGGAGTTGCTGGCCAACAATGTTGCGTCCGTTTGCACAGGGCTCAACACGACGACAAAAAGGACAGAGCTAAATGATCCGCTTTAAAGGCTTAAGGAAAAAACTAGGCAATTGTCAATCAGATCTACGTAACGAGAACTGACGACCTAATGGGAAAACCTTTTACCTTATTACAAGAAATTTTCGAGACAGGTTCGATTTTGCAAAAACTTTGGAACGAGAGTCCTTTTAATTTCTCGTTTTTGAGTAAGACAAAATTAATTTAACTTTTTATTTAATCAAATATAACGATAACCTGCAATTGTTATTATGTCAAAACTAAAAAAAAATATGCATCGGCGTGAATTATCCACGATACCCACTATAAGTAAGCCTCACAAGTTATTTATACAATGTCTTCAGAAAGATCAACTAGAGGTAACACTCTACTCCCAGGTAACTGCCACTTGTAATTCCCTTTTTCTCTCATCTTTTCACATAATTTTGGCGTCTCGTTATTCGCGACAAAAAAAATTAAAGTGACGCGAAAATTTCATTTTAAGGTACATAGACTGGTTTATTCTGACATCGTAATGCGGCCCTGCCTCTTTACCACTACCGCCAATGGAGAGATTGAGCTTCACGTATACTGTAAAGGGCAAACGTCAGATTCAAGTTGAGAATTTTTCAAAATAGAAAATGAGCAGATAAAATCAGCTCACAACAATTCTTGTGGATAAAAAAATTGCGTAATAAACTACTAATTTATGTGTAGAAATAATGAACAGTAAACGACAAGTAAAGCGGGAAACTTGGTCACGTGGTACAAATTCGCGTTTGACGTTTGACGTAAACGTGATGGTTAACCTCTCTAATGTTTTAGCCTGATATTAACAGCTGTTAGCTAAAAGCGTATATTATTCACTCGCAAAAACATTAATTTTATGAAACGTAGAAATTTAACAAAACTCTCAATTATACCACAGCACACTCATTTGATGGCGATCCGAGAAGATGTGACAACGATCGAACGAATTTTTGGGACAACCCTGATCGAAGAGTACGTTACGCCACGGTTGTCCTGAGAAGAAATTTGACGGAACAGAAGGCGGGGATTTTTACTGGCACCTCATGTGGAAAACCATGGTACAAAATCAGGGACATTTTCGTATATTTTTAGATCAAGTACCGCTAATTAAAAGCTGGGCTACCGCCGCTGCAGCTGCTTCATCAATCGATGGCAAGGGTCTTTTCTTTTTCGCCTAACTTTTACTTGGTCCTTTAGTGTCCATAAAATAGTAATCGAGCTGTCCGTTAATGTTCAGCTTCGATCAACACCAGAGCTGACCAATATGGGCGGACTTAATTGTGAATATGTTACGTAAAGTTTTTTTCTTTTTTTCTTATATAGTTAATAATAGGGAGCTTTAGCAACGACGAAGGCAAAGAGGATGTTAAAAAAGCAGTAGGTTTATGATGCAAAACAACAAGTTTGCACGTGCAAAACCCCCTATTTTGTACATTTCTTTACCGTCCTTGCACGACTACGACGTAAAAATGCCTAATTGCAAGTTTTATGGAGGACGTTAACAAGCGACGATGAATCTCTTTGTCTCTCTCTAAAATTGAGAGCGGTCCTAAAGAAATCAACTCCAGGGAAATTCGCCTACACTTGCCATTTTCAGCAAATTGGAATAAACGCGACAAAGATTGAAAAAACGGTAATTCATTTTAAAACTGACGTTTTCGCTGCAGTTGCCATCGTCGATGCTAAAGCTCCCTACTGCTATTAAATGTCTTGCATTTTAAATCTCTTAAGTATTTTAGCATCATGGCAACTATTCGCTTTGTCTTAACATTTTAGTATTTACACAAGGTTTATCTGGTGTTCCCAATTAGCCCCATTCGGGCTAAATACTTTTTAATTTGCTTTAGTTGCAAAAACTTTTCTTTGTTCTCGTAGACAACCGCTCTGCAGCGAAAATTTTAGTCAACAGTAAGTTGATTTGTGTAGTAATACATTTAAACGTCAAGGACTTCATTACGGTTTCATGCATTCATATCTACCTTGTCTATTGGAAGGAAGCATTAAGCACCGCCTGGTTAGCTCAGTTGGGAGAGCGCCTGTCTGCTGAGCGGGAGGTCGCGTGTTCAAACCCTGGCAGGAACAACACTCAGGGTCTTTAAGTGCTGCCTTGTAATGACATCTGCAAACGGTTCTTCTCGGATAAGGACGAAAAACTGTAGGTCCCCAGCGTCTCACGGCAATTTCACTTGTCTGGCTCTCGTGGGATGTAAAACACCACTGTGAAAGGTTTGAACCCAGGAGTCATTTCAAAAAAATCGTCCGGGTGGTTGAGGTTGATCGTCCTGTTGTTGTTGAACGTAGTCGTTTGAACAACCTGTTGTTGTCGACAGTGAAAGACGTTTCGACAACCTGTCTCTGTCAGTCACTTTCACTCTGACAAATGACTCTGAAGCAGGTTGTCGAAAGGTCAGTAACTGTCAACAACAACAGTCCTATTCATGACTAGGTTCACCCGGACGATCAAACTCAACCTACTTTTAAAACACCACTCTTTGAAAAGAGTAGGGGAGATAGACCCAGGTGCTGTGGCTAACCTTTCCTGACCTCCGTGGGTTATCTGTAAGGAGAGATCTTAATAAGGAGATAACCATATGATCCTCCTTTAGCCGCAGCTTGGAAGGTGAATGTTTCAAACTACGAAGCGTTTACTTTGTAAATCAGAATCAGATTCCACAGAAAAACGCTGAAGCTTACAAAAATACATCGGACCGCAGTTCCTAGTATAGGAAGGCAATACGAGGATTCCATGTTTCGTTTCCATGTAATTAAACATTTCTGACAACGGATGATTTGCAAAATGTGAGTCCACGACGTTAACGTTTAGTTGTTTGCTACCTGAACAAAGCGACAAAACGTCGTCAATAACTCCATCATTCTCAATAGATGACATCGAGCAAGTAGAATATACCACTGTCCCACCAGGGATCACAGTTTGTACAGCTGACATAAGCAGTTTTTTCTGGAGATTTGCGTTCGCCCGAGCACTCACATCAGACCACATACTGAACTCAAAATTTGTTTGCAAATTGTGGCGTTCAGATGAACAGGGCGCATCCACCAATACTCTGTCATATGTTGCTGGTTCATACTCGCCAAATTTGAAGCCAGACAGATTTCTGACGTGCACTAATTCCTTAGTTTTGGAAATCTTGGGTATGTAGTCTTTTATTACCTAGAATGAAAGAATGAAGAGAAAATAAATGTGATATCGTATATCAGTCACCGTTACTACTACTACTACTAATAATAATAATAATAACTAAAATACTTATATAGCACTCTTTACATAGAATGATCAGCAGCGCTTTACAATCATTCACTTACTTAAAAATCTTATCCAAATGATATGAACAATACAATATAAAATACAACTGATACAACTGATACAAATTGATTAATTAATTATAATTAATAAATAAATATAAAAATAAAAAAATTGTCTAACCTGCCTGAAAAAGTACTTAATGATTGAATATCACCCAATTCAGTGTGCAAACTAGTCCACAAATATGGCGCAGCAGCATAAAAGGACCTGGCACCAAGCATAGAAAGCATTTTCTCCTTCGGCGACTTGAGTGAAAGACTACTATTTGATATGAGATTGTAAAAGGACTTCGGCCTAACACTAATGAAATCACTAATATATTGTGGCGCAAGTCCGTGAATAGCCTTAAAAACTAAAATTAATATCTTAAAATGAATACGAGCTAAAAATATTAAATAAAAACAATAATAATAAAAATCACCATTCATTTTAGAAGCCTGTGCTCTTGAAGTTATCTAATAAACTTAGGTTCAATTTGAATAAGCCTTAGGCCACTCAGCATCCAGGAAGGTTCGCTTTTAGCCTTAGCAAAATCTATAATTGCATCAGTCTCAAATCAGAGATATATAGTCACTTATCATATCTGTTACTGAACAATAATATTCAGGATAATAGGATCAAAGAAAAAAAATAGAATGGAGAGCCTTACTTTATAATTCAACACATTTCCAGAAAACAACTATTTGCATCTTTTGTCATGAAGTACAGAAATGCCATACTGGAGAGTGCCTGTTTCCTGCTCTATAGAGCATGGAGTTTTCATCATATGACTAATCAGCTGAGATAAGCTTGCTCACCTTAACTAAATTTGCTCGTCGTGTGTTTGACACTTCACTACTGACAAGGGCACCTTGATTTGAAAGAAACTGTGAAATAAGAACACTTTTCCCTCCAGGAGCAGCACACATGTCAAGAACTGTGCTGTGAGGATGGAGATCAAGAGCAAGGACTGGCAGGATTGAAGAAGCATCCAGAAGATAGTAATCAAAATATCCATTGTTTGTTTTGTCTTGCTTTGCAAATCGCATATGGTTTTCTGAATTTGGGAAGTAACAATCCAGTTGGAACTGATTTTTAGCACATTCAGAGTTACTGTAAAAGAGAGATAGGTTATGAAGCTGTGCCTCAGTTGAGGATAGCTTTTGACGAACATCTTCCAAAGCTGCAAACTTGTTGACCACTGCACAGTGCTGGATTGGAAGTTTTAGTGCCTCAAATATTGATGGCCAGTCTTCACCAAATTGATTAGAATAGAAAGCATGGAAGTTCTCCAACGAATTTTCCTTTTTCCTCTGCATCTAAAAATCAAATGTTACAAAAAAAGGGATGGAAATCAAAATAATAATCTTGTAATAAAGAAATGTAAATAAGGAAATAAAGGGAGAAAAAGAATCGACCATAAGAGGGCACAGAAAAAATCTGAGCCCGAGATGGGATTTGAACCCACGACCCTCCGTGTTCTAGATCAGATGCTCTAACCTCTGAACTACTGAGGACTCGTTGGCAAGCAAGGGTCACAATGTGTCACTTGTGATGGACTGCATGACCGCATGATGCGGTTCACAAGTTCAACCCACAAAAATGACCCTTGCTCACCAACGAGTCCTCAGTAGGTCAGAGGTTAGAGCATCCAATCTAGAACACCGAGGGTCATGGGTTCAAATCCCATCTGGGGCTCAGAATTTTTCTGTGTCCTCTTATGGTCGATTCTTTACATTTCCCTTTTAATTTCCTTTATAATACTAATATCAGGGGAATAAAGAAATATCTTGAAATATGATTGATAATTAATTGAAATAGTAAGTTCCAAAGTCAGACATCTTTGTTAAGGGGTCTCCCCAGTAGAAAAACAGTTGGTTGCAAAATTGTAAGGATTGGAAGCAGACTAACCATGAAAAGCTCTCCCGAATAACAGGTTCAAAAGCATATGTCTTTGTATTTAATCCAATAACACACAATTACGAAACATGCAATTAATGTCTGAATACTCTTTCTAGTAAAAAGCATTATAATATTTTTGAATTCAATTTTTTAAAAAAATTCTTGACACTTTTTATAAGCAATTTCAGAATACCTGGCCACTTAGAAGCTGTACTACAGTAATCTTGACACTGTGGTCTTGTAGTCATTGAATGTACATGTAGCCTGCGACTGCAGACATATTTTGAGTTGTCATTTCTCTCCACGACAGGAAATACGTCTGCAGTAGCAAGCTATTGAATGAGGATTAAAAAAAGCAGTTAAATTGAAATGGAGTGCTACCTCAGTATGTCGTCCCATAGTGAATGAATAGGAATGTTATAAACAAGTAGTCAAATGGACTACTGTACCAGACTGTAGTTTCCAGTCCCACAATCAATGAATAAGAATGTTAAAAATGAACAGTTGATGGACTGCCACTAAAGTCTGCAGTCCCATATAGTCGCTGAATAACACACTTTTAGTAGATGGGATGCTATATTTTAAACCAGCTTGATTTGGATTTGTCGATTAAAGAGCGAGGTAAACTACAGTTTACATGAGTAGTGCAGTGCTTGTTTTGCTTCATTGTATAACAAACTAAATTGGATGTTACTTAGAATAAGTAAACTGTAGACTACTCTGGGACTGTGGTGGCAGCTTTTTGAGGTTCAACGCAGGTGGACAGGTATTCTGTAATCTCGGGGGATGGCAAGGGAAATTGACAATGTGTTCCAACTGATTTGTCAGGAGTTGGAGGCTTGCTCTAAGGGCCTGTTTACAAAGAGAGAGGGTTACCCTTGTGCTAGGGTTACCCTAGCAAGCAGGTTAAAGTTAGCTCTGGTTTACAAGCAAATTTCGCAGATGGGGTTACCCTATCACCTTGGTCAATTTTACCAGCTTTGCTGACATGTTTCCTCATGCGTGACATTCTTTGAAATGGTCCAAAATTTGAAATAACCTTGAAGTTCTCTATGGAAAAGACATTAAATTCACAAAAAAGGGAAAATATTATCATCATAGACAGAAAATAAATTTTTAGTTTTCAGATGTTTATAATTAAGCTCAGAAATTGGATAATACCGTTCAAATTGGCACGATTACTGGTCACGCATGACGGTAGAAAGTTGACCTGGGTAGGTGAGGTGAGCTATCCCTAGCTGAGTGTTTACAAGGCAGATAGGGTAACCCTCCTGCTAGGGTAACCCTAGCACTCAGGTAGGGTAACCCTATAGCTTCCTGCCTTGTAAACACATTGTGTGAAAAAAGAAGAAAACTGCGAGTGCTAGGGTAACTCTCTTGCTAGGGTAACCCTAACACTGTTACATGTATCTCTGAAATACCACAAGTCTCATGATACAAGATTACAAGATCTCAGTTGCCTTATTGGCTTCCTATTCCAAGTACCAATAGTATGAAGTGGATGTTCTTTTACAATGCAGTGAACTGTGGAACAAATGGTTGTCTTTACACTAGGCTGTTAAGTAAGACTTAAGAGCTGCCTAGGCAAAATCTCAAGTAACTTTACTTTGCATCTTGTTAAGGTCGGAAAGTTGAAATGATTCAAGAAAGTTTCAAGTGACTTGAAAACCATCCTTAAAACCAACTTAACGAACTTGCGGTTTCCAACCTTTGAGAAAGGCAAAGCATGTCAAGCAATCTTAATTAAGTTGCATGGGAAAATAGGCTCGAGTAAACCTAAAGTGAAAAAGATAGGTTGTGTGTGAAGCTTTCTTTTACTTGAAGAATTTAAAATTTACTTGTCTTGAAATATTTCTTAGCTTATTTAGGCTCTAGTGTAAAGACTACCAATGTCAGTGAAATTGCTTTAGTCCACTCTTCTGATGTAAAGAAGTTCAGAAGAAATTTCTTGGATTCAGTCACGTGTAAATTCATGCCTGGCAGTTTTAAAATTGACAGATTTTTTTAACTTTTTTAAATGACTGAATATTTTCTTATTTAGTAGTCCCAGATGGGATATGAACCCACAACCCTCCGTGATCTAGTCGGATGCTCTAACCACTTGAGCTTTTTTGAGCAAGGGCCAATTTGTGGGTCCATGTAATGACTGGCACACAAGAAATCACTAACAGCAAATTTGCATAGTAAATTTTGATATTCAAAGTCCTCCTTATATCATGTTGTTGTTGTTTCATCTTTAATATAGTACTTATTAAGTTTTTTTTATCCATGTGTAAATTCGAGTAAATTTTGATATTCAAATTATTTCTTACCTTAGTATTCTAGTTTTTTAGGATTTTTTTTGAAATGTTAGTAGTTTCATAGGGCCATAAGGGAGAGTACAGTTGGTCTCTAATTATACACCCTATTGAAATTAAAATGTTCATTCATTCATTCACACCAGGGTTACCCTCCCTCTTTGTAAACAGGGCCTAAATCTTTAACATGCTTATATAAATGGTTTAAGGCCTTGTTGCTCGAAAGTCATCTCGCCCGAATTTTCATTGCCTGAAATCAGAGTGAGGTTGCCCGAAATTTTATGAAGCTCAACAACATCGTAACAAGTTTTTACCACACCTATTTCGTTTCATCAGTCCTTAAAGAACGAAAATTATATTACAAATTTATCCTGATTGTTTCGTTTCATCAGTTTGTCTCATCAAAGCTTAAAGAAGGATACCCTGCTAGCAGAGTCGCTTCGATCTTTCCTAGATAAGTCGGGAAAGAGGAAGCCACTCTGCCGACATCTTCAAGTTCCTTTGATTTGCCGATCATCCAGCTTTTTGGATGAGTCAGACAAGTTTTATACTGGATAAACCAGTTTTATCTGTGCACGCACGCATATTTTGGAGTTTTGCTGACTCTTACTGCGCCCACGCTCCATAACAAAACAATTACAAATAGCTGCAGCTTCAACTTCATGCAGGAATTTTGAGAAAATTATAGATTGAACGTTCAGTTTTCGAAAAATTGGAAAATGTACCCAAATTTGAGATGGATTTTGTTTTGGATTTAACCATGTACTTAGGCGAATTTACTTAAGTGAACGTATCCACAAATTATCTAGTAAGTGTTACGCGAAGTTCTTGGAAGGAGAAACAAATGGGTTTTGAATAAGAATATTTAAGAAACAAATATCTCTGCTTATTCTTTTGTGTTTGCTATAACATTAATTCAAAATAAGATCATGAGACTACAGAATCCACGTTGCGTTTAAATGATCAATGCTTTTACAGCTGTTTGTGGATAACACCCGACCTGAGATGCCAAAAACGTCTTTGGATTTTGTGTTTTTCTATGACGTCAATCAAAATCTGAAGAAGCGGCGCTTTCTTCACTTTCTCACCTTCACATCTTAGTGAACCTCTTAGGAAACAAAAGGTCGTAGTTTGTGATTTGTGATTGGTGGATTTCGATCCGTTTTGTGTGTTTCTGTGCTTCAAGGTTAGATGCTTTATTTCTGAATAGCACGGTAAGGTTTACCTTAGCTGTAAGATTTTTTTAACTTCTTTACACTGAAACATCACAAGTTTAGATTCCAAAGGTGAAATTGTTCCTATAGAGCTTCCAAATCCAGAGGAAACACGGCTACGGAAGGGTGAAAACGAACCAGTACGTTCCTGCTAACATTTACATTTGCTGACAAACACAGTGGATGCTACGGTAACCGTTTGATTGACATCACAGAAAAATTTGAATTTGGAGCATGCTCAATATGAATTGTCGAGGATGTCGGCAGAGGTTCCTTTCTCTTCCTGACTTATCTAGGAAGATCGAAGGAGACTCTGTTCGCAGGGTAAAAGAAGGAGATATGTTACACATTAATCCCATTTGTTTGGTCTCATCTTCGCTTGAAGAACTTACTACATATGCTCTTGATGAAATTTCGGGTGACATAATTTTGGTTTCGGGAGACATAATTTTCGGCGAGATGACTAACTGGAAAAAGTGACGAACAGCGCTAGCTACCTAAGGGAAAGTTCATTTAATATGACAAGGGGAGGGGGGGGATGAAGATATTGAGGGGGGCTCAAAATTTTTAGACACCGAAGGGGGCTCTGAAAAAATTGTTGCGCTAGGAGAGGGGCTCGAAAATTTGTACACTTCAAAACCAACACATGACATCATCATACAGATCGGATGGTTTTCAACTCAACAATTTAATGACCTGTGCAACTCAGCTATATCACATGGTTTACAGATATAACAAATGTAGTCTCAGTAATCATTACACTCTTGTTCATCCCAAAAATGCTTTAGAAAATTGTATCACAACTGTATCTCAAGTTTGTCATAGTATAAACCATTGAAGACAATAACGGTAAATATATTTCATACAGTCTAGCGATCTTTTTTCAGGGGAGCAAAGGAATTGAAGGAGGAGGGGGGGGGGCTCTGAAATTTTTCGACTACCAAGGAGGGGGCTCCTAAAAAATTGAACCTCTAGCGAGGGGGGCTGCTAAAATTTCAAGCTTCGAGTTTCAGTATCTTCATCCCCCCCCTTTGTCATATTAAATGAACTTTCCCTAAACACTCTAAATTCGAGATTGCTTCGAATCTCTCAATTTAAGACGTTTTCTTACTTTACGAGAAAAATTAAAAAAAAAATCATAGGATGAGAACTCTTTTCCCCTTAATTTAAACAGGCAGTTTGAATTTACGAGAACGGAAATCTTATTTTATGAGTTGTTTTTTCCTAAAATAAGAAATCCAAGAAATCTCGAATTTTCTGTATAATAGAGTGTAAACACAGTCCGGCGGTGCACTGTCGGTAATCAGTTTCAGCTATACATGTACCTTCCATGACTTTTTCTTGTAATGTCTCCTGCCAAAGGCAGCCACAAAAGGGACCACAATGCTACTTTTAAAAGAATTAATTCGCCGAAACATCAATTCCTCGTGATCGCAAGCCCAGTGAACATAGAAAATGACCAGGCTATGTTCGCGAGGCGCGAAATGTGAGCATTTGAGAGAGCTGAGCACTATAGCAAGCGTTAGTTTCAAGAAAGACTGGAAACGAATGAGGTCATTCACTGGAAGAAGAAACGTTGTAGAAGGAAAGATTCCAAGGAAATCTAGAGTTGTGAATGGTCTAGATCGGGTTTTCTGTATCTTAAAATGAACTACACTCCAGATACGTTTAGTATAGGTGTGACTGGAAACAGAGGAGTGAATTTTGTGAGCGGTAACGCGGATCTTAGCGGAGCACTGATCATTAAAGCTCGTCTTGGTGACGATATAAGATGCATTCCGATCCACAACGAAGATTTGACGTACGATGATTTGCTCTTGATGATGCAACGCGTTTTCAGAGGCAAACTCAGTAGTACAGATGATATTACAATTAAATATAAAGACGAAGGTAAGTATTAGTTTATTTGTGGCTTGTTAGAAATGAGACGAAAGTGATTCACAACAGCTTGTGGACAATGATGATTCTAATTGAAGTATTTGAACGTGACACTTGTCTCGATTTGTTGTAGATGGGGATCTCGTTACAATTTTCGATAGCTCCGATCTTGGTTTTGCAAAAACTGTCAGTAGGATGTTGAAGATAACATTATTTGGTGAGTTGCCTTCTTATTTAACAATTAAACCACAGGTAGCCCAAGCTCGAAATATGAGCATCGGCGAGCATCGTCATTGTTGCGTACCATTCAAAATATAAGGATTTGTATGGGAAAAAAACCTACCGTTTCTGCAACCTACGAAAATGAAAGGATTTCAATAAAAAACAGCTTACCTTACTTAAAACTTGTGTTACATCTCTCCTGTGTGGTCCACGGGCCAATTTTTGGCCGTTTTATGGGTTTTTATGTAAACGGTTTTCTCTCTATATAAAGGTCTACCAAGGTTGGGCACTCCAGCGAAGCGGCCCGACTGATCCACCGCAGGAAAGTGGCCGGAAATTCGCTCCAACTGCTCCAATCGCCTCCAAATTCCGCCTGGGTAACACACGATAGTTCTCCTTTCTATCCGTTATCTTGCTTCAAGACTCCTTTGCACCGAGAGTGAATCAAAGGCCACAAATCTCTGCAACCTTTCCTGTCTGAAGCCATCGACTGAGGCTCGGCCTGAACTCCGCATTACCGTTGACAAATAGCGACACGGCCTGAGACACAAATTACTCACACTCGGGGTGGGAGACAATCTCTTGCTCCCGTTGTCTGGCAACAGGGCAAGGACTGTCTCCCTGGTGAGTGAGTAATTTGAGTCTCAGGCAGGTAACTATCTGTCAGCTGCGCGGGTTCAGGCCAACTCAGTCGATGGCTTCAGACGGGAAAGGTTGGAGAGATTTGCGGCCTTTGATTCGCTTTCGGTGCAAAGAAGTCTTGAGGCAAGATAACGAATGGAAAGAAGAACTATCGTGTGTTACCTAGGCGGAATTTGGACGCGATTGGAGCAGTTGGAGCGAATTTCCGGCCGTTTTCCTTCGGTGGATCAGTTGAGCCGCTTCTCTGGAGTGCCCAACCTTGGTAAACCTTTATCTAGAGAGAAAACCATTTACATAAAAACCCATAAAACGGCCATAAATCGGTCCGAGGACCACACAGGAGAGACGTAACACACATTTTAAGTAAGGTAAGCTGTTTTTTATTGAAATCCTTTCATTTTCGTAGGTTGCAGAAACGGTAGGTTTTTTTCCCATATAATCCTTATATTTTGAATGTTACATAACAATGCCGATGCTCGCCGATTCTCATAATTATTTTGAGCTTGGGCTACCTGTGAGTAAAAGTGCATAATTATCATTGCGGTCAGTATAAAACACGGACTGCAGACCACGGACTGTGGACTGGGTATAAAACATCGACTAGATAGCCTGGAACATGAACAGGCTTTGCCTGATTGGGCAGAAATTATTTCATCATTACCAGATTAGAGTGCAAACAGAAAAATTCTTCAAATGCTCTTTGAATTTGCATATTTCTGGTTCATTCTTATTCATTTGGAATTGAAACCATGAATACGTTCATACTGATGTACGCTCCCGTAGTTTCCTTGAAACCCATACCTGATTCCAGTGTTTTCAGGCCAAAAAGACCCAAAAAACCCTACGCTCCCCGGGTCCTAATCCCTTTCATGATTGTTAGAGACCGAGACCAGGTCTAAAAATGGGTGTAGAAAGTATCAGTTTTGACGTCAGGCTCATGACTCAGAGAACTGGGCAGCACGAGTTTCTAAGAGTATTTATAACTTAAACCCACATGTCTTGCTATTTAGCAATCTTTTTGGCCTTATTTTTACCTAGAGCAATTAGCACCGCTTTTACCAACGTAGTCCGTAGTCCATATTTTATACCCAGTCCGCAGTCCACAGTCCGCGTTTTATACCTAGTCCATGTTTTATACCCAGTCCGTATTTTCCAGACCGTGCTTTATACCTAGTCTGTATTTTATGCCCAGTCCGCAGTCCGTAGTTCACGGTCCGCAGTTCATGTTTCATACTGACCAATTATCATTTCTTTAACATTACTGTCCTCACACATGCACCTTCAACCCACAGGCTAAACAGACAGGCGAAGAAGATCTTTCTTTCATATGAAAGTCCAGTTATTGACCTGATTGGTCAATTAAGATGAGATGTTGTTAGTGGTTTGACAGTTAGGCCATGACGTTATTGGCTACATGTATGATGACTCGTAATGTCATTGGTGCGTTTCGATCTGTCTATTGTCAAAGTTAAACAGTTGTTTATTGTCAATCAAATTAATATTGTCTGTTGTCCAATCATTCTCTCATAGTTAGTTTACAGCTCACTTTGACTCTGAAAATGACTACTGCACAGGTTATCAAAACGTCAGTCACTTTCAACAACAGTCCTATTAAGGACTATGTTCACTTGGGCCGAGTTGTTCAAAGCTGGGTTAAAATAACCCAGGGTTACTGCAAGATTTGAATTCAGATTTGAAGGATTGAAAAGCATTTCAATTTTAATTTTTTTTGTCTACAATTTGATGATTGGGAGCTCTAAAAATAACAGAGAAAATTACCTGAGAAAATGCTTGTGAACACAAGAAAAAGAAACTTGGGTTAAATTTAACCCCATGTTAAGTGCTAATCGGCCTTCCAACAACTGTGCCCTGGGCGATCGCTAGTATTTGCAGGCAGGAGGAAAAGAGCTTGCCAAATACCATGGAAAAGAGGCCTCTGCTAGCAAGGAATTTACATCCACTTGGAAAAATAACATTTCTTTGTCTCTGTGCTGTTAATTTGTTTGTGTGCCACCCTCATTTATTACAAGTTCCTACATTTATGTTATGCATTTATTGTTTTACTCAGTTAATGGAATTCCAAGACCCCCTGAGCATATGCTTGTTGCAGAATTTAGGAGAGAATTAACACAGCTTAGAGACAGAGTAAACTACTTACTGAATAGACTGGACACTAGTGACGACAGTGAATCACCCAAGGGGGAACAACAACAGCCAGTAGAAAAGAGAAATGTACAAGGTTTGTTTCCTGTTAATAATGATGATATCATATAATATGTGAGGATGTTTGAATGATTTTTTTTCAACATGGTGACATCATTGTTTACTGGTAAAAATTACATATTTATCTATTTATACAGGAGCATCTGGTTTAGCATAGCTAATTTAAACAGAGTCCTGTGTAAAAAGAAAAAAAACTACTATCATTAATTACCACTAATCGATAAAAATGCCACTATCTAATTAATACAAAACAATTATGAAAAGAAAGTAGTACACTAAAAGTGAGTAAGCATACGACGATGGAAGGATTTAAGGGAAAGCTGCCTGGGACTTGAAATACTTTTTCACAATTTGTTGAAGTCTTTAATGGCTCTAATATTGGAGGGGAGGGAATTGTAGGCCAGCGCACCATTACAACCCTCCAAGTTAACATTTTTGTTTAGTGGCCATTTTGTGACCAACTCTTTGGGTTTAGTCACCAGGGGAAATTTTAGGCACCAAATTATATTAATAAATTAATATATCAAAAATTGTCATTAACAAAAGCAGTTAGCAAGTTTAACTTAAAATGCTGCCAGGACTGTTTACAAATTACTCATTTATTGTGCAAGGCATTCTTTACTGATATTCTGAGAACAAGATTTGCAGATTCATCTCCTTGATTCAATACTGAAGCGGAATTGTAAAGACAATTACCATTTCCAGTTGTCTTTAGGGCTTTCAATCCTTCTGAGTGTATAATCCTCAGTTGGTATATGAAACCAGAACTTCACTCATCCTCTGTTAATGTGTTCAAAACTTCCCAGTCGCAACTTGAAGGTTGATTTATTTTTTCTGATATTTGTTTCGCATTTCTTCTACGACTTTTGTTGATGATGGACTTGTTTCCCCAACTATCAAATATTTTTGGCAATTTAAAAGGTTGTTTTTAATTTCACTAGACATTGCAAAAACCTCACAAATGCAGGAGAGTATACAAAGATCAACAAGTCTTAAATCAATTTATTGCTTAAACAGAGACAACATTGCGCACAAGAAAATCTTGCAATGAGTTGCACTGGGCAGGCCATCTGATATTATGCGATGGTGTGATTTCGCACAATTGACCTCAAATCGCATCTGATCGCACAATTTGAGGAAAATTACATAATCCGTAAAAAAAATGCTAAATTCGAGTAAAGTAAACTATGAATTCCAACTTTAATTAAACATTTTCCCAATCTTGATGTTATTTGAGGTGATTTACCACTAAAGAAAGCCTTGCAAGACATCTGAAGCTTTCGATCACGGTATCTGGGCAGCCATTTTGATTTCAGAGACAAGCAATGTGGTCAGCGGTGTAACGGCATCATGTAATATTAAACAAGTGTCTGTTGTCTTTTCTGCGTCAAGAAATTCGGACAGATTTGACTATTTTGCCTTAAAATAAAATAAATGTTTTATTATTCCTTTACATTCAAATTGCCTGTTAAACAACATTAAAGTGGTTTTTCGCCTTTGAAACTTGGTAAAACAATGTAAATTAGCCCTGAAAAAAATCGCATAGATTTAATATATCGCATAACAGTCCTATCTTATCGCACAATCTACCCTGAAAATATCGCACAATTTCTGATTTTTTACCGCACCCTATCAGATGGCCTGACTGGGAAAACATTTTCTTCCCAATTCAATAAAAGGGAACCCAAACAAAAATCTGCTTTTGAAATAACAGATTTTCTTTTTCCTTCATCATCACTACAGGTGTTCAACAAATAAATTTGTTACAACAACCATAAGCTGTTGGTTTTTGCGATTGCTTAGAATTATCGCTTCTATTTACAAAACCGCGATTCAACTCACTATTCGGCTCTCATGTTACTGTTATTACACAATTTTCTGTGTTGTCTTTACACCAGTTAAGCTTTCCCTCTTTTTGTCATTAGATTATTTATGGATTCAAAAACATTTAAAATATGTAGTCCAGTTAAAAAACCACCAAGCTTGGCCAGACAAGCATTCCGAAGATATTGAAAAAATCGACACTGTCAACAAGCAAGGCACTTTGATTGCGTGCTAATTGTCATGTGGCAGAAGGTTAAAATGCCACGTGCAAGGTGAACGAATGCAGGTCAAGTTTCAATGATGTTCATTTCAAAATGCTTGGCTCTGAAACTTTTTTAAGCTCTCAATTTAGCATGTTTTTCAACGGAAAAGTAATAATAATAATAATAATAACATGTTTAAACAGGATGACCATTTCAGTTATAAAAACTGCTATCAATATGGGTCCTGTAAAAGTAAAAAAGTAAAAAAGTAATAGTAATCAAATCAGCTAGAATAAATGTTCTTCATATTTTGGCAGAAGTGATTACCATTTTTGTTTCTTTATGAACCTATTCTTCACGGTCGCCAATTTGGGGACTACTTTCCAAATCAAGTCGCCAGTTCTAAAATTTAAGGCGCCATAGTGACTAAAATGGTCGCAACTTGGAGGGTTGTGTTAATGCCAAAACTGTCCTGGTACATGGTGGTTTTAGCCAGAGGCAGCCGTAGCTGATCACATTGTCTTGTGAAATGGGAGTGGAGTTGGTGCGTGCAAAAATATTGCTCAAACCATTCCATTCTGGAATGCTAATTTCACACTGAAATGAGTGGTTGTTCTTCATTTACATGAACAACTTTGCAAGATTTTGCACTGGGAAGAAAATGATTCTAACCCCAGAGGAACAACTGGGGTGAACTTGAACCAGTTTTACTCATTCCAGTATGACAAACTTATAATAATAACAATTATTATTATTATTATTAAATTACCGGTATTATTATTATTATTATTTTATCATTTACAAGGAAATGTACATGTAGAGCCATGAAAGGGAACTAGGGTACAGTGTAAACTTGCACTGGCAGAGAAGTTGCCCCTGTATTGTGTAAACACCCCCCCCCCCCCCCCCCACCCAAGAGTTGAACACTGTAAAAAAAGATTAGTTGTGAAGAATTGGATGGGGATTTGCAGCCAATCAGAAAAGGGGAAATATTTTGAAGTGTCATATTATGGAATGTAATGTTATGAATAAAAATGCAACCTGCAGGTGTTAAAATACATTTATTTTATAGCTAAGTTTGTTTGCCCTGTGATGGGTCAATTTGCAGTCCATAACTTACTGTATCGATTTATGATCTATTTATAGCCCGTGCACTTCGCACTTGGGCCATAAATCAATTAAAAAAACTTGTTCTGTAATTTACAGTACAGACCTCAATTTCACCTAACAACAGGTACATCAGTAGTATGTACAGCTGTACATAGTGTAAAATTGAAGGAGTACCTTAATTAGTAACCTGATTAACTGCTAAATTCTCCTTTCAATTTGCCATATTTATGCTTTCAAATTCAAGGGATCTATTTTATGTTTTATTAGTAGTCACTTCAAGCCTTATTCACTCATGCTTTAATTGTCAAATGTTTTAGTTTCTTCTCAAGAGAGATTACCTTCTGCCCATGTACCGCCTCTCAAGCCTACCCCAGAGGTGACCATGTTTGATCCCCTTGCTCCAGATAAACAGCAGGCAGACAGCTCTACAGGGACTGTACCACAGCAATTGTACCCAAGTACCGATGCAGGTGAAGCCTTTTACTGCACTTTTTGATAACATGCAAACTCTAAAATTTACTTGTAATAGCCAGCTCACAATAAATAATAATTATTTATTCTGAGCTGGCTATTACATGTAAATTTTGTCTTTTTCACCACTGTCAGTCATAATAATTATTGCCATCACAAGCAGTGGACCCTGACACACAGAAACACACAGAATGGATTGAAATCCAACGATCACAAATCACAAGCCATGAACATTTGAACTCATTGAAGTGAAGTTCTGTTTCCTGAGATGTCTGATAAGTTGATTGATGAGTGTGAAAGATAATGTTAGTTTGCTTTTGATCTTTTGAGTTCGCATATCATTGAAAAGCATGGTAACATTCAAGCAAAACTTCTCTGTACACCCATGTCTTGCCTTATTGGCAAAGAAAAAAAGCATTCTAAGATCTCTGCTTCCAGCCATGGCCATGTGGTGTAAGAGATTGTGACTTTGGGAGGGGTAACCTTTCTTAGACTGGCTTTTAATAAGTTGAACATTTGATGTTGTTTTAATGATGTATCTAAGGATAACAGTGGGACTCATCAAAGTATTGACAGTATAAAGTGTTGTCAAGGAAATAATTTATTATTTGTCTCTGTGCCAGAATAATGGTATGATGATATACGTGCACATGTACTTTTTCAGTCTGGTTTATCTCACGGTTAGTTTTACTCTGATCTCACACTCTGAAACAAAAAGGTCTATAATAGTATGTAAACTTTAATATTGTTTTTTTTATTGCAGGTGTAAAGCCTCAAGGAGATCTTAGTTCCCAAGGATATCCAAGTTCAACCTCCCCATCACAGTCAATGCAGCTTCCACTTCAACAGAACGTTGCACCATCAGCCCCTTCAAGCAAAGTACCTGCGGGGACGTCATACACACAGCAACCTCAGTATCCCCCACAGGGCACCCAACCTAGTCAAGCTCCAGCACAATCTTATGCCCCGACGTCAACCCAGACACAGTCTGGGTACCCAGGTGGCAGCACAGCAGCTGCATATCCCACCAGCCAGCAGTCTTACAGTCAGACCAGTCAGCCAGGCTACACACCACAAAGCCAGAGCTATTCAGCAGCTGGGGTAACACCATACTCCAGTACAGGACAGTCGCAGATGCAGTATCAAGGTGGTTATGCACAGCAACAGACACAACCACAGGCTCAGGCTCAACAGCAACCTGCGGCACAGAGTGGTTATGGTGGCGCTCAAGGGTATCCTAGCAACCAGCAGTATCCACAGCAAGCAGCTTATAACCAGTATTATAACTATCAACAGCAACAGCCTTATCCAAATTACTGATGACTGAACTTGTAATGGTAGACTCTTCTTGTTCTGAACTTGGGAAGAGTTAATAGAAGTTTGTATTTTTTCAGATTTCAATATAAAATCAACACTTTGGCTAAATATTTAGTGAACCTCTCGTAAGCTACTAGCCTAATTTGGCACTTGCTTATCAGAGATGGTTGCCTATGAGAGGTTCCATCTATGGTGTTTGTACTGGGAAATTAACAAATTGAAAACAGTTTTCTATTGTCTACAATAATTCTATACTGTTATTTTAATTTAGCTTTGAAATTAATGACAACAAAATGTTAAAATATTTTAAGAGAGTGGTTTTGCCACAAAGTTTTTAACATTTTGATGTCATTTCTTTGGCCACAAGATTATAGACCGCGGGAAATTGTTGTCAATTTTTTTCACAAGAACATTGACAATCTTTGAGAGCCATTTCTGCTGAAGTTTCATAGAAAATTGTGCACAAGGGAAAGAAAAAAACAAATCGTACTACTATCATCCTGTCAATTCAATGGTCTATACTCTCATGGACCGCAGCTCTGAGTTTAAGCTTTTGAAAGTTGATTCTGGCGCATGAAAATAGAGTTTGGTTTCCAGAGGAGGAAAATGCTTTTGTTCTTGACCAACAACGTGGCTGCCGTGACGTCACTTGCCATCGACCAATTGTAAAACTGGTTTGGAAATCTTGATTGGTGGTTGCTTCTGAGAGTTGGGGTCCCTAATGATTGAGGCTTCTGTGCCTCAGTTATGAGTCAATTCAGCATCTAGAGTTTCGATGTTCTTATTGAAAGAATTAACGTAGTAGGTGTCGATGTTTATAAGAAAACTCTAAACTTGGAAAAGTAGCTAAGTTGTCTGATTGCAGCCTTGAAATGGCCATGCCATAGTTTGATTTTTTTTGTGCCAAATGGTATATTGTACTCGAAGGAAGAACTGTTTAGAATTTTAGGTAAATGATCTCACATTGAATGGAACTTAAAAGAAAACTAGTGCCACATAACAAGGTCTTTGTTGGAAGTCGCTGTATCAAGATACATGTATTTGTCACTTAAGACTGTTTTCGTAGAGGCTTCCTGGCTTAGCGCTAGATGAGAACACCCCTTATCCACCGCTGATCCATTGGTCACGTGCGAAGTGAGAACTTAATATATGTCCTGGAGTCTCCGATCAATTATACAGGGAGCGTCTGGGCTTCGTTCGTGTTAGCTGAGTTGGTCAGATTTTTTTTGGTTCATTCTGGTGATATAAAGGAGGTTTGGGGTGAGCTTCTTGTTTGAAATCTAAATCCGGATATTTAATTGAAAAACGCCGGAAATGTCGTTTCTTTTCCAAAATCCAGAGAGGGGTTATTAATTTATCCAAATTTATGACCCTTGCCAATGGTGGATTCTTAATATCCGGCTGATTAACGTATCACTTATTTGTTTCACTTGGTCCAGGTGAAATCATAACATAAAGAGGACTTCCATTCTTATAGTTCACCATTTTGATGGCGACAACTGGAAGCGAGGTAGTCTCCCTTTAAACTTTATCCAGACCGGGGGGGTGGGGGGGCTTTTTAGGTTCAAAAACGCCTTTGCTTTCAGCGCGTCTCCACAAGGGTAGATTTTTGTTACCTAGAGTACCAAAGAGTCCCAAAATGCATCTTAGCATGGTCTGGAATTACCTAAGTAGTTACTGGGTACCTCTCCAGGGAGTTATGGTTCCGCAGCAGCTTCTTGGGTACAAATAAAAAAAATACCTTTTTCCCTACAATTGCCTGCTACATAGTGCTGTAAAATATATTTTTGGTCAGTTCTGTATAAATATATCCATGAACTGAGCGATGAGATTGAATCTGTTGTGTGCTTCATTCACTCTATTGTTCGTTAAAGAATATCCTTGCCACAGTCATGGTCTTGTTCTCCCCCATGCTGGTCGTCTCAGGGAAATTTGGCCCCTTGTCTTTTAATAATAAATTATGCGTATATATGCACGTTAATTACTGGGCACCAGAGGTTTTTTCTCGCGTGTGGCGAGGAGCTCCGGCCGAGGAGTATGTGCAGACTTGGCCGAAACCGGAAACCGCGTTTGAAAAGCCTTCGGCATTCAGCCTTCAGTTGAGTAAGACAAAATTTGAAAGAAACAGTTCTCAAGAGTATTATGATATCACCTACATTGGGAAAACATACAAGCAAAGCAGGTCTGTATTTCCCTGTGAAATATTTGTGCTTAGTAAGCTGTCTTCCCTTTCCCATTTATCCTGAAGAGCGCCTGCTAGCCTTTCCAAGTTTCGTTAATAGTTATCCACAGTGCACAATGCGATTCGGTCATTTGGTCTAGTCAAAGACATTGCCCGTATTAACAACGGTTAATTAAGGCCCTTACCATTTACTCTGAAGCATCAGAAACCCATACCTGCCGCTATGTTTTCATTGTCAGGCTTTTCTTGGGAGTTTTCTGTTTTTGTTTTGTATTTTTAATCTCCCGCGTTTTTTTGTTGTTTATGCACAAAGCCATAGAAGAGGGGAGCCTAGGGAGTTGCTGGAGGAAATTTGACTTTAAAATACTATCTATAACTTTGGTTTTAGAATTGAACCAGTCGACCGAATTTTTTTTTTGCAAGTCGAAAGAACATTTTTTGTACGCCATGAAAACCAAAATTTAGCTTTCTTAACGCACTTTGATCGCATATTCCTGCATTCAAAATATATCCATGGCAAGTAATTTAAGGGGCCATAAAAAAACAAAACAAAACAAAAATAACAGAACAAAATTCACCTACGTTCGCTTAACTTGATTTTTTGGCCTTCGATAGCATCGGTAAAAACCTAGAATCGAGCTTAAGAAGGCAAACAGATCAATAAACACTCGGAACGTTTAGTTTGCATTGAGACCTTATTTTCTTCCCGAAAATTACATCACAAAGTAAAACCGGCCGGACCAAGGACTACATGCTTGACAAGCCGCTACAAGCCGCACAAATGGCACGAGCCGCACAAATGGCTCCTCTTCAGGTTGTGGCTTGATAATTGTTCTTGTAAAGTCGAAAAGATGACTCGCATGGCGGCAGATTCTTTAGCTCGACTTTCATGCCCTGCGGTGGATCTCACAACGCAGCACATCCATTCTGTGACAGTACAAGCACCATTCACACGGATGCTTCCGAATATTGAATTCTCAGGTAAATTAAGGCATGGGTCCCCAATGATTCAGTCCAAAAGTGATTGGGGGTGGTCTATCTCTGAGCGCTTAAGCAGTAAAAAGATGAGACTTTGCCAGATACATACATGTGTGGTTTCTGTCAATTAGGTGATTTTCAATTATGCAAATGTTGTCACGTGACTCCACGCGGCCAGAAATTAAACAAAAATGGCAACACTTTTTGTTGTGCATTATAGTTAAACCGGACTGGTTTAGGACAATGTGTAATGCAAGCATCTAGAAAACTGTGCTTGGCCTCTTTCGAATTTTTAACTGTTTTAGAAAATAAACGGCTTTTTCAACTAGACCCAGTCCCCCAAAGCAATTGTATCCCATCTCAACGCCTTCGATTTGAAATATCTAAAAAAGGCCAAGCACAGAAGTGACATATTAAAACGACTTAACATTATGCAACCGGTAAAATAATGGAGGACATACGAAAAAGTGTTGCCGTTTTAAGAACAAGCTTTTTCAGCCGATGGAGGTCACGTGACCTAATTTGCATAATTTTAAAGCACGAAATTGACGCAAACTAAAAGTGTGGGTAGCTGGCAAAGTTTTATGTCTCTTCATTCAAAGCTCTTAGATATAGACCACCCCCTCACTTTTCAAGAGAGCAAATTAAGGCAAATTGAGGCCCATGCCTTAATTTACCTGAGTTTAAAGGTCTCAGATACGGCCAGCTCTTTACCAATACTCACCACAGGTCGTTCGTACCCTCCATTCTTTTGGAGAAGCTGGACTGCTTTCCACTTCCCTTTACCAAAGAAGGCAGAGATGGCAGAGATGATCAAGGCCCGTGATCAGACGAGTTAACACCGATAAGGGCTCTCATGAAGTAGTGGTCAACATTCCCTGAATTGCCTAAATTTCTGCTATTCTGGACCGCCTCTCTTCCCTTTTTCACGAGGCTTTTTTTAATTTCAAAGTCAAGGTTTTGCTACGAGCAAGAAGTAGGACAAAGACATCTGTTTCACCAGAGTGCATCACGTACGTGATTTCCGCGCAAGTGCCAGTACGGGTATCATCCTCTTTGTGACTGAACTGAACCTCAGAAACAGGGTCTCACTATAGTCACTAGCACTGGTTTTCGGTCATCACTCGTACATGATCCGGTTGCCAGGTCGATCTGCTTTTAAATGCTTCGGTTTTGCCTTGTAGCCTCAGCTTATTTTGGTGTCACTAGCAGCTCGTCCCATGACCTCACTGTGCAGTATATAGACTAAGCTACCACACAGAAAAAAAGGCTCCAGAGGAGAACTACAACTTCTGCAAGACTGCCATTTCATCGGAACTACTGGTAACTTTCTCTGAGTATTTCGTACTGCTGGTAATACTTCGCTCTAGCTGTTGGGAATCAGACAGTCAATCAATCAATCAATCAATCAATTTATTAACGTCAATACGTGGGATGGGGTTGCCCCGATCATCCGAGCCAGAGGCTCATGTATAAAACGCATGACAATAAAAATAGTAAGTTAATAAAGATACAATACATTTGAATAAAAAATAATTTAAAAAGATCATAAACGTATGAAAACAAATAACAATATTATATCCGTGAATGCTCAAAGCTACACCCTCCCGCATCCCACCGAATAAATTAAAATCTAAAAACCGTATGAATAAGTCTAAAACCCAAAGGAAAAAAAAAAGCAGATTTAGTAAAACCCTAAGATATACAAAAATTACATTTACAACTGGCTCTCAAGATTGTAAGATTAAAAGATCTTAAATGCTTGCGATATTCACTCAACTCAGTCGATCTCTTAATGTAAGAAGAAAGTTGATTCCACAAATGCGAAGCCTTGTAAGTGAAAGAATTGTGATAATATCGATTTTTATGGGATGGTTGAGTGAGATTGTGATCGCTGTTTCTTAAATTGTAGCGCAGTCATTTAAAAAGGAGGACAAGAGATTGATAGTATCGTCTATGTTCCTGTGATTGCATGTTTACAGCAGACAATATCGAATCATAATCTAAGCTGTTTCCGAAATTTAAGAGCGCTGTTAAAGCATAATAGTTTGCAGATTCAAGTTTCTTGTTCAAAGAAACATGGATGGATGGATGGGTAAGAGAACAAGGGAGAGCTTGAGGACCCTTAAAGTTGTTTTCAATGTGAAAGCTGCTTTAATATCATTGTAATGAAACTTTTCCAAAAGTGCGTTGCAAAATGAGAGATGTGCGGGGTATTCACATTCAGCTGAAACTTCGGAAACTGAATCTGGATCATGGAAGCACGATATAAAGTAATTTCCAGCAAGAAATTATTTTCGAGGGGGGAATCTCTTCAACACACTAGCAATGTGTTTTTTTCTGAAACAATTTTGTGAACCTCACAATTTTTTCTTGTTATTATACATGTACAAAGTGCCAACTACCGATCTTATTGCGTGAGCCGAATAACATGCGATGTTAGGGAGCTTAAGCAAAAACGACGACGACGGATGAGAACGACACTTGACTGCAAAGAAATGCACAAAAAAGTGTAATGCACGTGCAAAGTTGTTGTTTTGCTGATCTAAACCTATTGTTTTTTGACGCTCTCGTTGCCGTCGCCGTCGACGTTCCTAAGCTCCCTGTTGTTTCCCACGAGACCTCAGATAGTTATAATTTATGCACCAGAATAAACAGAAGTTTTGATTTTAATTCCAATATGCTTTATATTTACGTTTAAAACCCGATTTGTTTACGTTAAAAGAATATGAGCAACTTAGCCTTCCTCGAAGTCCAAGGTGGCGGCTAAAAAGAGATTATTGTTAGGAAATTTAAATTTCGATTTACAGAGTGAAAGCTACCGTTTATCCTTGCTATCATGTATTTTTGTGATGCTTAATAGTCAAAGATTAGACATGTTTCGGCTCAAGTGAGCCATAAACCCAAATTTTGGGATCTCAGCTGAGACTAAATTTCGTTGAATGAAAAACATGAAAAACTTATAGCGGCGCTGAGAAAATGAGAAATGTTAGCGGCCACCAAATAAGCCGCAGTGAATAAAAAAAAGCGAAAGGGAACACATAGTACGACATTTCCTCCAGTGAAGGTGTAACTAGGAAGTTTCACGTTGTAGTCGTGCAAAACAACGACCGGAAAAGAAATGTACAAAAAGGTGTGCTGCACGTGCTTGATGTTTGCGTAAGCCAATCATGATTATTACAAAACGACCACAACCAAAATAATTTTCGTTTGTAATAATTTTAATGCGGAGGTAGGAAAGCCAGTAAAACCAAGCATAATTTAATAATAGTAAAAAAACTAATCGTGGGTGATGTTCGTACAAGTCCTTGTTGGAACAGTATATGGCAAACACGGTTGAGTGACATAAGTTTGCATCGCTGCGGAAAAGGAAGATCTAGCTTAAATGTAGAATTGGAATAGAAAAAAAATTTCTGGAGAGAACGTCTTAGCATTGATATCTTATTGTAGTTCGACTAGCAACCTCGTTTGCACAAGTACAGTGCTTGAGAACTTTTTATTAAAATTAGAGTCGTCTGATACTCGTCAACTGTTCACTGCATGCTCGTCACAGACGAGGGGGATAGATGCCTGTGTATCCGGTATTGGGCAGAAACTCCTTAGTAAAGCTATCTAAATATTTGTGAAGGTTCAATTTAAAAATCGGCCTGTACCTCCCGCACTGAACAATATACAACCAGTAAGGGGAAAAAATTAACAGATCAAATTTAACATTTTCAGCTAATTGAAACCCACCTGAAGATTTAAATGCGGTATAAAAAATGAATAAATAAATAAAATAAAATAAAAAATCTTCAAAAATCGCGTGATTTTTTAAAGGTTTGGTACAAAGATCTCTATGAACAAATAAATAAAGATGATAATAAAAATGCAATAAGTCAAGAGAGGATGCATAAGTAAAATAAAATGCTGTAGTGCTAATTAATATAAATGAACCAGTCCACGATTTACAGAAATTACAATCTGAAATTAAAATGAGATATTTTATTAATTAGTGCAACGAAGAAAACACGAACTTTTTAAGGTTTATTCAAAATTAGACTTAAGCAATCACGAGGGAAGTTAAAAACTTAGCAAAAGCTCCCATGGCCTCCATGAAGTTGTTTGTTTTCGTTGTGTGGATTTCTTATGGACTTTGTGCTGTGGTATATGCTAGTAAGTGCAAGTTTTTTTAACTTTAAATTGATTCTTAGTGTCTCAAAAGTAGTAAAAAAGGCGTAGATCTATAGTGTTTAACTATAAGCAAAAGAAAATGACTGATTTTTTCTAGAACTAATAAAATGTAGAATGCAATGCAAGTTCGCAGTGCATTAAAGTGGTTTTAAGTGCGGCAAAGAAAAAGAAAAGTTAACTACCGCCTAGTTGAAGCTGAAATGAATAATTTTGTTTCTACATTCTCCTCATCTCCTTGTCCATCATTTCTGAAGAAAAAAGTCTATATTTACTATTCGTCTCCGACAGGCTTTTCTCGGTATTCCATATACTTTGTCAAACAGTTACACGTTAAGTGGTTAAACCAGATTCAATGACCCTCGAAATTTCTTGATGTCAAACACACTGACTGAGGCAACTTTGCCTTTTTTCGAGACGCTGCAACGTAAGGCACCTTTCAACTTACAGCATATAAGGTCTAGAGAACGTTTTCTGGTAATAAATCCTGTGGGCAAAACATTGCGGATTTATTAGTCCGAGGGTTTATGTTGTATATGATGCAGACATTTATTTAATGCTTGGTTACGTTTTGTTATGTTATGTTTTCTTTTGAGTCAGTGTTGTTTTATTCTTCAGGGGATCTTTTTTCCCCCCAATAGTTTTGTTCTTGAAGCTTTAATATACGTGCAGTTCGTATTATATTCCGGCATTGAGATTCAAACAAGGATACTAGCGTGGCTAAGGTCGTGGCGACACTGGTTTCTCCAAAGAACCAAATATGGGGCAAAGATAGTAAATGCCATATTTGCATACGGAAAAACAGGGGGTTTAAATATTACTAAGAAAAATGGGCATTTACCATCTTTGCAGATTTACTTCTCGGTCTTAACAATTTTGCAACATATTTACAGGGGGCAAATTTGTGAAAATCCAATTTTTCGTCCAGGGAACAAGCATTACGTCATTATTGCTTGCTGTGAGGACATCTACAGTCACCACTGTATCCAAAAAAGTAACAATGATCACTTCCTCCTATTATCTGCTATTATCACCTTTAAGATGAAAAGCTCTTTATTTTTGGTTGTCTAGAATAAACAAACGCGACCTCAATATCTTGCATTTGCAAATTATTTTCACTTGTTTGCCACCCGTAAAACCACGTGACATTGCGTTTATTTCATCAATCCTTATGGGCGTACAAAGATGGCAGGTATCGTGAATAAAGTGTACTTGCTGCCAGTACTCAGTAGGGTGAGTGGGGTGGGGGTGGTGGGCTGCGGCTGCGAGGATGGGTGTAGGGCCTTTTGCAAAAAAAAAGAAACCTCCATGGAGTCGGTTGGGATCCTGGGTGCCCTGTGGCAAGGAAAGCCAGGAATTGTAACGCAAGTGACAAACCACAACACCACGTTCCTTCGATCCCGCCATTGTTTAGTTATATTTAGTGTATTTATACTCTTATTCTAACTTGATTTTTTTAAATAATTATAATGTCTTTTTTATTTATTTTCTGCAGTTTTGGCAGCGGAATATAACCGAGTCATAATATTTAAGGGGCCCATAGCAGACAAGGTGCTTCGAGGTCACGTAATAAGAAGAGAAAAAGTAGCCAATGAAGGAGGATGTAGAGTGAAGTGTTTCCTTGAACCAAACTGTGTGTCTATCAACGTGGGTCCTGCAGTTGCGGGGAATAGATCTTGCGAACTAAACAATGACACTGATGAAAGCCAGTCTTTGCTGTGGAGAAAGAAAAACTTTGTTCACTACTCGGTTGAGGTAAAACCATATACGATAATTGTTATAGTGCCCAAGTTTGACATTTACTACGTAAATATATTAACACATCGAAAATTTGGATATAGACTCATTAACCTTCCACACACTTAGCGAGAAATAGTAATTTATCCTCCCTGCATACCTATTGTCGCATCCCGGCAAACTAGGTTACGGGACGAATCCTCTCCTGGCCTATCGTCAGTAATATTTTTCGCCGTTTGTCGCTAGTCGGTTATTCCCATTCACACCCCTAAGTCTCTCTATTAGTACGAATAAATTAATTCACGGCCAGTATCGCATATACTTATCTACTCTTATTAAAGTTAACCAGTTTTTAGACATCTGTTTTTAGTTATTTTAATTAATGATGTTTCCTACCACTCAGAGAAGCCTCACATGGTAATAACCAGCATTATTATTCATTCAAAACATTTCCCCGATTCTGATTGGTTGTGAAAACAAAAAATAGCCGACGTTTCATTCAGTGGTTTTTTAAATTTGTGTTGTTATAAGTACCGAGTCGACTGTTTTGGTTCGCTCCGGTTATTCTTTTGTTGCTGTTGAAGTGAAAGAACTGGAGAGCATGCGCTCTGAGGTTAGGCGAGAAAAAATGCTAAAACATGGCATAAAAAGAAAATTGATTTTATAATTTAGATGCTGATAGAACAAAACCAAGAAGATAAAAAGGGAAAGCAAAACTCGATGGGCGACATCTAGCTGCTATTTGGAGAATATTTGCGGAGCTGGACAAACCTAAACGTGCACTATCAAAGATGAACATAACATCGATGGATCGATGGAGGTAAGCATCTTTTAGCCATGTTTTTAAACTAGGAATTATTTTGAATGAATAATAAAACAATTATTGAATTCGGCTGTCGCATCACATGAAGAATTATGGAGATCTCGGAGGGTGTTATCCACCTCGGCCTACGGCCTCGACGGATAACACCTTCCTCGATCTCCATAATGCTTCATAAGCTAAGATACTCAGCCTCATTCATTAATTGTTCATTAATTGACATATTAAGTATTCAACAAGAAGGTAGCAGTTTTCGCGAGTTTTGATTGACACCTGTAATTCAGAAAATATCCTTTCAATTGGCTATTCACTGTTTTGAGACCGAAGTTCAACTGAATGTGGCGTCTCGTTTCGCGACAGTTTCGGACGTTTTCAATGCTACTCCAAAGCCTAGGTCAGACTAAGTCAGGTACCCTTAAGCTTTCCCCACGCAATCAGCTGTCCTTAACCTGTCTTTGTTTCTTTTGTCGGGCCGCCATGATCTTTTTACAGACGTCTACAACTTCACTCCCAGAACAACTCATTATCTAGTCTTCTACCTCTTCACCCTAAACTCTAATTTTGTCCTGCACTCGCCTTTCATTTATGCTCTCTTTACATGTGCATGGATGTATTCAAACGTGGATCTATGAAATCATCCTGCCATAATCAGTATCTTTTGGATGTGTTCTCATTTAGGTTTCTTTTCATATATTCTAAGTTTTCAAGTCTTATGTGTATGAGTTACCATCAGACTCCAATTCATTCTCCCTCTGTTTTTCCGATTACTGATAAGGAGGAAGAGGAAACCCGGCACAACACACAGCCTTTCTATTTATACATCATCCATGAGCATAGCACGATGCATATGATCCATGAGCTGCGTGCTTTTGTAGACAGAGTCAAATGCCTAAAAGTCACAACTGACACAAATTCATTACTTTATCTGGAATGTTCCTCAGTATAAAAAACTGCTCTGCAGCCTGTTCTTACCTGAGCAGTCCGTCTACTGCATTCATTTTAATTCCAGTTTTGACCATGAATCCCCTAGTAACTATAAGCAGTATCATGCACCCTTTTCCTTTCGGCCTTCACGCGGGCCTTTACGTTCACCTTTCTATATCCTTTGTCAAAATCTCTTGGACTGTCTCAGACGTCTGCGTTCTTTGGTTACTGCTTTCTTTAAACGATCTTCTTCCATGCGCATTTTCTCCTCACCAAGATTTATTTTTCATCTCTGAAAAACCCTCATATCTTTTCTTTTCTTTCATAACTTCAATTTGTCTCTGATCTCTTCATAGTATCCCGTGGTGTCCTGGTATTCTAACCTCTGTAGATCTATCTTTACTCGAATCTTTTCCCTTCTATCTATTACTGGATATGGCGAAATATACGAGGTGTCTCGCATCAGCCGAAGTCAGGCTGAGGTAGTGGATAATACGAACACCCTGGCCCAGCGAAGAGCAGTGATGACAGCGCGCACCTTCTACCAATGTGGTCAGTGTTTGAATCTTAGGAGCTGCACCATGATACTTACGTTGAGTTTGTTGTTGGTTCTAGTCCCCTCTCTTAAAAGAGAGGTTTTTCTCCGATTACTCTCGACCTTTATTCTTCTCAGAAACCAATATGTACTTATTCAAATTCGGTGCAGAATGCTAGACATAGAATCACATTTGGGATGTACTACTTCATTTTTTAAAATTATTTCAACTAGTTTTAGCAAACGGAAATTTTTTTTTCTCTGGCAAATTTTCTCTTAAAACAGTCAACGACCCTCCAGTGTCTTTTTTGTCTTCTTGCATCTTTTCCATTCAGTTATTCGCCAAATCGTCTTCGCCAAGCGTTTGAAATCGCAGAGAGGAAGTGAATTAATCATGAAAATGATAACGATAAATGATAATGATAATGATAATGACAATGACAATGATAATCAAGGCCCGGTTCCTGAAAGGCCGATTAGCGTTAATCCAGGATTAAAATTTTGTTCCGTTTCTGTATTTTTATTCCTATTCATTGCTTTGGGTAACATTTTGTGTTATCATTACTGTATCTCCTGGTAAAGGCTCAACAGTATTTTGTAACCCCGAGTTGCTTGTTCTTACACGAGAAAACTTTGGTTGAGGTTTGGGTTAATCCTGAGTTAAACTGAACCATCTTTCCATGAACCGGGCCCAAAGGTTTAGTAATGATAATGGTTAAAAAAATAATTATGACAACATAAAAAATAAAAATGTTTACCTTCAGAATATTTGTAAAATGAAAGGAGATCCTTGCCCTGCTACAGAGAATAAATCGTGTCAGGTAGGATTCACGGACAAACGCTACAGATGTGTCTGCCGTGATGGATACAGAAAGCGTCCTACTGATCAGTCTGATCAGTGTGTAGGTAAGATAAAGAGCTAGGAGACATGTACAATAACTCATTGTTTGTCAACTGTGATGCCCAAGCAACAACCGTGTGTTTATTTGTTTTTGTGTCTAAAGCCGTCATTCAAGTAAGCAGTGTCGTGTTAAACTGGCAGCTTGTCCCTCTTATTATAGCATCAACTGAAAACTAATATTGATGTAAACGTGATGAAAAATGATGGAAACTATCACCAGCCACATTAATTGAAGCTAACGATGACTTCTACGAACGATATATTTTAGTTCCAGAAAATATCCAAACCAACGGGCAACGGAAATTCTGATGGGATGGGGGGTCCAAGGGGAGGCAATTGCAGAGGAGAAGGGGTGGCTTTTCGAGGTCTTATTTGCGGATTGTTAAGCTATTAAAAAGTAACAGCTCCTCTGTTGAGCAAACTGCCATTTCTTTTACTGCAGTTAACCGGCGTTTCAAAGCAAGAATTGTTGTTTTAATTGAGGAACTTTGTAATACGGTCGGCTGAATGCTTTTTTTCACGGCATCGCCACCTGATCAGGTGGAATAATCGTCGAATAATTGTCCAGTTATCTAGCGGTTGCTTTATTACACTATTGTAATAATTTTACTTATCACCTCCACCATATGGTGCGGAACTCACAGAGCGGGGTTCCAATTTAAGTGTGTGCTTACAGATAGCCTACCCAGCCCAGGAGAGGTTAGCCACACCACCGGGGTCTACGTCCCGTCTTTTCGAACAGTGGTGTTGGTTCTTTTACGTCCCACAAGAACCAGATAAGTGACAGTACTGTGAGACGTGACCTAAGGTTTTTCTTGCTTGACCTAGAAGATTAGAAAGTCCAACCGTTTGCGGGTGTCATTGCAAAGGCAGCACATTTTACTCAGTTATCTTAAGACCCAGAGTTTTACATATCTTCTCCTGTCGCCTGTTTTCAGCTTTCCGCTTTATGTTCTTGATCAATTGCAGATATTGATGAATGCCATAACGATATCCTTGACTGCCAACAAGGTATTAGCTGAAAGCAAATGGAGAATGTGTGAATTATCTTGGCCTAACATTACTCTATCTAGTTTCTAAATTGGGTTGAAATTTTTGGGGAAATTCAGACGCCGTATCACACAAGAATTTAATTGTGAATTTTTGGGAGGGGGAAAAACCCCTTCTTATATAAATAATAGTATGAACTTTCTCATTTATTTGTGAGGGATATTTTAATTAAAATAAATATCATTAGAGTTATTTCAGGGCTGAAGGCTGAAATCAGAAAAGGAAAAAAAAAAACATTGCCAAATTTGCAGTATTCTCTCACGCTCTTACTAGTATACAGATTTAATACTAGTATTCTCATGGAGGAAGCTTTGTCGTTAGATGCATTGACAACTCGTCGAAACGGGCTAATTTTTTGTTGAAGGAGTAGTATCAAACTAATCGCAAGGAGTCGGCAAACGTAGCGCTCGATGGCCAAAGGAGTCGGGTTGAAGAGAATTATAAGATGAGATTCAAAACCTGGAAAAAAGGGTGGTAATGTACTTGCATGCCAAGTTGGAAACAGACGTTGTAACATATTAGCAACACTACATTTATCAAATGTTATTTGTTTTTCCTTCACTCTCATTCCAAACATTTCTTATACAGTACATTAGCTCTGTTGTTTATTTAGACACAGAAAACTGTGCTGCCCAGAAGTCACACCGTTGTCCGCCAAACTCAGAATGTGTGAATGAGCTTGGTTCTTACCGTTGCGACTGCAAAGATGGGTTTGTAAAGGTTGGAGCTACATGTAAAGGTAAAGATCGTGATTAAAAACAAAGTGGCTGTTTTCTTACAATGATAGAGAGAAGTCGCGTCATGTTGCCATGGTAGCAAAATTTTTGGATGACAACAAATCAGAAACGTCAAATAAAAAGGGAATTCGCACTGTTTCAAACTTCATCGATCTTACTCAGTTTCATTTGATTTGTTAAATCTTGGCGGAATTCTTTTGGGGTTGAAGTGGTTGCAAAAGTGCCGTATCAGAGTTTAGAAAAAGAAAAAGAAAATGTTTGTGCTGTGTTCACCAACTCCATAGAGCGGAAACGTGAAATTTTTAAGTTCAATGTTGGAAGAAAAAGAGCATGATGCACGCGCAACGTGGTTGTTTTGCTAATATAAACCTATCGATTTTCTGCCGTTCTCGTTGTTGTCGCCGTCGTCCTTGCTTTAAAAGCACGCTATCGTTGTGATCCAGAAATTTTGCTACCATGGCAACGTGACGTCACACTTCTTCTCTCTGTTAATATCTTAGTTTAATATTCCTTTAAACTATTAAGAAGCGTTTCCTTTATTCCTCACCAGATGTTGATGAATGTCAGTCCCATAATCGGTCGTGGTGGTGTACACCTGAACATAACAGTGAATGCATCAACACACCTGGCTCTTTTCGCTGTGGGTGTATTCTTGGGTTTGCTCCACATGGTAAACATTGGCAGTGTAAAGGTTAGGAAAGAGAGAGTTTCAATTCACATGTCTTTATAACAGGGCACACCTCACCTTTCCCAGCACCCTGATGAAAGACACAAAAATATAATAAAATGGAACTAGCTTACCGTGGAGTCTCTTGGAGGGAGATATTCGAAGATCCGGACTTGTTATTAATATGACTATAATTAGGTTTAGGGATATTCACTATCATTAGCTTCGACTAGAAGCTACAGTCGCGACAAAATTAGCTCGGACACTCCACCCGACGCCTCTTTTTCCTTCTGGGCGGTGTCCTCGTCCTCACAATGTTGGTTATCGCACTGTTAACTCACCAAATCTTGAACGCCAACATTGGGAGGGAAAGAAGACCGTATAAGTAAAGTGTCCCAAAATTTTAGACTGAGACTGAAACTATAGTTCTACATGCATCTTCATCAACTTTGGAGGCTCTGGATGGAAGGGGAAGGCTAAAAAATTAATGTCAGTTGTCAGTTGAGTATCTAAATTAACTAAGAGCCTTAAATGCCGGTTTTAAGTTATCTTTAAGTTATCGAATGAGTGCAAAATGGCTATATTAATAAACTTGTTCTCACTAAGCAGTTAAGCTAAGAGATAAACATGCTTAATAACAGAGTAATAATATTTGCCCTGCGATCTTCCCTTTAAAGGGATCAAGAAAAGAAGAGCACAACGTTCCGAGTGCGTATTGCTAGTATTACTTGCAATAAGGTCCACTGGATATACACGTAACCTTATAAAGCATAGCACAATGCCTTGCTATGATTCGTTGGTTTGACTTTCCTCAACCGTGAAAAGCGCAATTCCATCCCCTCTGTTTTGATGAGTTATTTCCTCGGTGGTCCTTTTTCGTACGGCTATCTGATGTTGCGGTTTTTCCTTTTATCATGGGCATCCGTGCCTTTGGAGTTTTTAAACCTCTTGTATTTAAAGTTGGGAAGGTATCGTGATATGACTCTCCTCTTCGATCCCTCAAATATGAAAATCATGATCACGAATAATAAAAGGTTTACGTATCTCCTAAGTTACGAATAGATTCCATTATTACAGACGATCAGGTCTTTTTACGAACCTCATCAATCCATGAAAATAGATGCAAGTATCTAGTGTCTATGTACTAATAGCGACCTTTTGATGACCTCCAGTCCTCTTCGTCACTGTCGAAGATGTCGGCTTTTGGGTCTGTTTCGTACCCATCTACATGAATCTGTGGTGGGTGAACCTCACCAACAGCCACAGCCACCGAGAAATCATGGGCAAATGTACTTCTGTCATCCGATGAACTTCTACTTCTTTACTAGCCCGCGAAAACAGCAATTTCTCCTCGTTCATTGGGCGTTGCGCCAGGAGAAACGTCTGCGCCTCATGCTCAGCGACAGAAATTCCAAACAGATGAGGGTAAAAGCTGTCGGGAATCTGGTTATGAGCTCTAACTGGTCTGTAATTGTTTACGAATGACAGACAAACGAAAAAAAGACCGCAAAGGTCAAATGTAAACGCAATAAATATATTACCAAGCAGTCACTATTAGCGGAATGTATTCTTCTTTAGAAGAAGCATTAGAGAATGTTTTGCTGGTGCTCGTTCGTAGAAAAACACAAAACCTCACGAAAATCGACCAGGAGAAAGTTAAAATCAAATAAATTTACATTTGGACCCCCATGTCTTCCGCATTAATTATGTAAATATTGCTAACGTCATTGGTTTGGAATTTCTATCACGGAGGCGCAGACTTCTCTCCCGACGAAATGTTACTAGAGGCGAGGAGCGAGGGGAGACGGCTCTTTTAGCCCAAGCTACTAACTTCACTGGGGTTGCATGTTGTTGGATTTCCCTCCTAATCAGTTGCGAGGGACTCTTTCGCACAGTTTGGATGAATGGAATATATGAAACTGATGGCGATAGAGCCTCTGCTCTGTCCTCGGTTGTATGAAAAGGACAAGTCCTTAGCCTAAAATGACGATTATCATACTTGTCCTCGAGAACTTTCAATGGCGTTTCTGTATCATCAGTCATAGTGCTGATTGGTGCAAACGCAAGACGCTGCATGAATCCACAACTAGTAAATTCCAAGCCACTTGTCTGTTCAGGATAAAAGGACTTGATGTGGGTGAAATATTTTGCCCCCCATTTAGTAATCCTTTTCGATGGCTACTTTGTCATCAATGCAAAATCTCGGGTATATAATACTGCAAGGCAATGAACGTTTCATGCTCAAAATGAGACACCACATGGAAACCGATCATGGATATTCTCTACACCTTTTGCGAGTTGGACCTCTTTTTAGGACTTCTTTTTCTCGTGCTGTTAGTAAAAAAATATTCCACTACGGCTATCGAGATCTATTGTTGACATTTAAAATATACATAGGTTATATTTTGCTGAGTCTTCATTGTATTCATGGCAATTTCTCTTCTGTGAAATCTTTAGAATGCAAAAATGCCCTGGGTATGGAAAGCTTCAACATTTCTGATGGACAGATAAGTGCCTCTTCTGAGTGGAATGCCCCTGACCATGCCGACCACTGCCGGGTTGCTACTACCTATTACGCTGACCAGTGGGATGCCATCCACTCTGCCCACCAGGGCAGACTGCAGTTCAAAGCAGACGGAGTCAGAGGGGGTGCTTGGTCAGCAGCCAAAAATGACTTTAATCCGTGGCTCCAGGTTGACCTGGGCAGTAATTTTACCAGAGTAACCGGTTTAGCTACCCAAGGACGAGATGACTATGACTGCTGGGTCACAGAATACAGACTACTATACAGCAGGGACCAAAATTCAACCTTCCAAAACTATAAAGAAAGAGGACAGACGGTAGCGAAGGTGAATACTCCTTTTCTATATTTTCTTAGTACTAGGGTCATGGATGAACTCTGTTAAAATCCAGATAATAGAAGCCGTATTTAAATGTATCCTTGTTTAATTTTGGCATGATTTCTCTTTAAAATTCAACAAGCTGAACGTCTAGTCTGGTTGGTACAGGAAAGGGGTTGGAGTGTTCCAAAAACTGGAGTGACACTGAACCATGATAAATTTAATTCATTAAAAAAAAAGCGATTTAACGACAATTACAATAGTCAGAGGGGAGCTTATTAGATGTGGCAGCTTCTTAGAAAGCTTATCGTGTGCCGGGCGTTATAACGCGAAAGCACTGTCCACACACGCAGTCCAACACCAGCAGAGTTTTTAAGCCTCTGATACAATCCAAAAAGGTAAGAGTTGGGGTACCAGCTTTATACAAGAAAAAAGAAAAGTATAGTGGTGCAATGTTCTGGAATAATCTTTCTTATGAAGTAAAAACAGCACAATTGCTTTCCCAATTTAAAAACCAATTTCCCTCTTTGGCTTCTGCTGGATCTCTCTGATTCATTAATTGGTATGTGCGTATATTTTAAACTTGTAGTAAATTCTCTTCAAAACTCCCTCCAACATAATTAACGATATTGTAAAACTAGCTATATTGTATAAATGTTAAGTACTTAATTGTTCTCTGAAATTTTGTTACTTTTGTGAACACCATACTGCTTCCATTTGTTTGTAATGCGCGATTGCCTACGCCCTACCTGGAAACCAGCTTTTGTTGTCTGTGGTTAGCGTTGTAAAGTAAATGTGTTAAAAAAAGGAACGCGGTTTATTACGTTAACCTGAGAAAAAGCCTTAAACCATTTTGGTAGACAAAACGTGCTTTTCCTTAAGTTTTCAGTTAATTTCGTAATTTCTTGACAAGTTGTTATCTTTTTTTTTTATACCAGCGTTTTCCACAACCAGTTATTGTAATGCAGGCAGAAACTATTTTATGAATGTTTTCCGTCATCGCTACTGTAGAAATGGATCAGCATTTGAAAATGTTAGGCCAGACGTTTTTCAAGTTTCCTTTTGACTTAGTAAATGAACTGCCTTTCCTGCCATATGCTTAAGTAGTCAGTTACAAGAGTTACAGTAAAGTCCTTTGGAAATTTCTGCCCTGACAGAAAGGTTTTATTCCAACACTTAAAGGAAGGCAGCCATTTAATACTTCAACCCCAGTCTGGAAGGTAATCGAAGACAGTCTTGGATTCTGGATTCCAAGCTGTAAATTCAGGATTCCTTGTCAGTGGAACTTGGAATGTGAATCCCAATCGTTGGCGGGATTCCGAATTCCTTTAGCTGAATTCCCACAAATATATGTATATAGTAAATACCAATAGAATATGTGATCCTTTCTCCGATATCGTGGATCTTATTTTTTTGCAGGTATTTGCTGGAAACAATGACCGTAACAGTGTTGTTCGTCATAACCTGACCAAGCTTATTACGTGTCGTTACATTCGTTTCAAGCCGACAAAATGGCACAACCACATATCAATGAGACTAGAGCTGTATGGTTGTTATGGTACTGCATCTTGTCATTGCATACTAATATAATATTTAAGGTGACATATTAACCAGGCCCGCATGCCACAGAAGGGGGGATTGGTTGGTCTTCATGAACACCCCTCCCCCACGGTCTGGAAAAGTCAAATTCAAAAGAGTTCAAAAAACACTCTTTCCGGGGTCATATGGAGGGATGTCATGCGCGAGCGGCACGCAAAAAGCAGACGCAGAAATTCTTAGGGCTCACCACGCAACGTTTACAGGACTCTCCGTTGATGGCCTAGGGAGAGCCTAGGGAGAGCCCTCTTTTCCTCCACCCTTGCTCGCGTATTCTCGCGCGGCCCCCTTCGCCAATTGAAAGGGTGAGCGTGCGATGCTTCATGCTCGATTTAAATGAATGTGAAAGGGCTTCCGTTTCTTAAACTGTTCAGAACTCAATTTCCTCTTTCTTCAGTTGTTCCCCGGACGAATGTATGCTGCCATTTAATGGGTTTTATTAGAACCGGGTTCTTTGTCTATCCTTTACAGAGAGCAAACCGGTCTCAATAAAATCCTTAAATTGGGCATAACTCGGCTCCGGGGAAAAACAAGAAAGGAGAAACACGCGTCGTAAGATAAACCGTTCTCTTTTCAAAGTTCAACACGCGTAAGTTACAGAAACAATCGTTGTATTTTGAAAGTTGAGCAACCATATTTTAAAAGGCCGACTGAAATTTTTTCCATTACCTAGGGGGCTCACGAAAGTGAAAACTTTCGTCTTAAGCCCCTGGGTTTACGAGGATGCATTTTTTCGAGTTTGACCGCGCACGTTTAATGCAATTTAGTAAAGTATCTTAAGTATTCTTAAGGTAAGGCAAAAAGGAGCTTTATCGATTAGGGTAAACTCATTTTTGTGCTCAAGTATATGCTCCCACAGCATTTTGTCCATTGTTGAAGTTGCCAACACAACAAAATTAAAGAGTGCTCGATGTAAAGCTAGAGAATCACCTTATTAAAAGAACTATCTAAGATTAAAGGCTAGTTGTTATGAAGCAAACAAAAAAAAGACTAACAACTGCACACTGATAAGAACAATTTTTTGCTCGGCCGTAACAATGCTGTGCCCTTGAGGCAGGAAATTAAATAACCAGGAAAATTGCTAAAATTCTTTGCGGCTTTCTTTGAGTCTCTTCGTTTGAAATTGGGCTCTTAGATGAAGGCCTTTACCTTTTTCTTTCAGATTTTGATGAGTGCAATAATGGTAGCCATGACTGTCACTCGAATGCCACCTGTATAAACACCGCTGGTTACTTTGAATGCAAGTGCAAAGACGGATACATCGGAGATGGACGCAACTGTACAGGTAAAGATCAGTTAAAACACATTGTCTTCAGCATTTATTTGAAGTATTTTTGACTATGCAAAGAAAAAAATATATATCTCTACTGTTATTTACAGTGCCACATGAAGCTAAACCTTATTGGAAAGGGCAAAAACTATTTAACTTTCAGAAAAAAATTATCTCGGTCTCAGGAAACCCATAATATTCCCCCCAAAAAAAAAAAAAAAAAAAAACAAGGCATATTTCTGCATAATTATTTTTAAAAAAATTTAAGAGTGTAATTTTGCCAGGAAAGTTTACTATTTTCTGTAATACAGTAGGAATATTTTTTTTTTCTACAATCTCTAAGCAAAACAGCCCAAATATGGGTCGAAAATTTTAGCGACTATGTCCGATTATGCAAATGAGGTAAGAGCTAATTAGCACAGTGAAATTAGATAGTTGAGCATCACCTCGTGGCCCCGATATTGGATGGTTATGCCTAAATGATACCGTCCAAAAGGACAGCCGAGGAGTACTAGGAACGAGTTTCCGATTCGGGCCGACTTCGGCAATTCTCCATTCTCTCTGGCGGTTCAAGTGTGGTGAACACTGACAGCCAAAGGAGCCGTTTTATCGCCAGAGAAGAGTGATTTACGATATTGTTGACGCAGTTTGCGTTTATTGTGAGTTTTGAAGTGTTCTTGGTCCTGTATAGTAAGCAATCTTTTGATAAATGTCTTATCAATTTGCCTTGTCCTGCTGGCCGGTGCTACCGAAGAAAATAGTACCGTCCAAAGGGACATCCTAAATTATAGCAACATTTGTTGGCATGTACATCACCTCTAGCTTTCATTGTTAAACTGTGTTGTAGGACTGGATTTCTGCAGGTTTTTCTACAAACCCAGGAAACTCTCTGCCCGGAGTAGTCAATCGATAAAAATCGATACCAATCAAATGATTTTTATCGATTGATAACGGAAATCGGTGAAAATCAATAAACTAAATTGCTGTGTCAAATTAGTACTGCTGAGAAAACATATACACGAGTAACAACTGATAGTGACCGAATTCATTTGAGAAGCCGGGAGAAACTCGTCACAGGCGGAATTCCGTCAGATTGAATACCGTCTAATATAAATTTAAGGACGGGAAACCGTCTAAAGTCGGGACCAATGTAAAATGTAAAATAAAGTAACAGGGAAAAAGCTTAGGACGATCAGGCCAGGTTGCGAAGAACAAAACATGGCTGCCATCATGTTTGCTCAAAACCTCTTATCAACAGCGAGAAAGCGGAAGGCTCAAAATAGCATAGAAAAGTTAAGAAGGAGAGATGAAGGTTCTAAAGCACGAAAAATTTTATTCGAGGAGGAGAATTCAATTCAAAATATTGCAGCCGCTGTAGTCTGCTCATCAACAAAACTGGAGCGGAAAGAAAAAGGTCCCGTGGAGCAGAGAGATTGTCTATGGTGGCAGCATGGATATCATAACTGGACAAACGAAGAGGTCAAAAAGAAGGTTTAGAGTAAATAGCGATACCTTTAATTTTATACTGAATGCTATGGAAGATCTTATCACAAAAGAAATCACTAAATTCAAAGAACCGGTATCGCCAGATATCGCCAGATCGCCAACTTAATTAACTATGTGAGCTTAAGTACCGTTTAGCTCATGGATGTTCCTATTCAACAGTCGGTGATCTTTTTAGGGTTGCCTCTTCTACAGCTTGCCAAATCAGTTCAACGAAGTCATTTGTGTTATCGTTCAAGTGTTTTATGATGAGTACGTGACTGAAAGTTGACCAACAATAATTTAAAATGCCCAGGCAGATTTTTTCGAGTGTGGCCGCGCACTTTTAATGCAAATTAGTAAAATGTCTTAAGTGCTCTTAAGGTTAGGCAAAAAGGATCTTTATCGATGAGGATAAACTTGTTTTTGTGCTCAAGTATATGCTCCCACAGCATTTTGTCCATACATTGTTGAAGTTGCCAACACAACAAAATTAAAGAGTGCTCGATGTAAAGCTAGGGAATCACCTTAAAAAGTTAAAAACACTATCTAAGATTAAAGGCTGCGGATGTTATTTAATTATTGTTATCAAGCAAACAAACAACAATTATTGAGAAAAGACTAACAACTACACACTGATAAGAAAAATTTTTTGCTCGGCCGGAAGAATGCTTTGCCCTTGAGCCAGGAAATTAAATAACGAAAGGAAAATTGCCAAAATTCTTTGCAGCTTTCTTTGAGTCTCTTCGTAAAATTGAAATTGGGCTCTTAGATGAAGGCCTTTACCTCTTTCTTTTAGATTTTGATGAGTGCAATAATGGTAGCCATGACTGTCTTTCGAATGCCACCTGTATAAACACCGCTGGTTACTTTGAATGCAAGTGCAAAGACGGATACATCGGAGATGGACGCAACTGTACAGGTAAAGATCAGTTAAAACACATTGTCTTCAGCATTTATTTTAAGTATTTTTGACCATGCAACTTCAAAAAAATTATATCTCAGCTGTTATTTATAGTGCCATATAAAGCTCTACCTTATTGGACAGGGCAAAAATTCAAATTTCAAAACAAAATTAGTTCAATCTCGGGAAACCCATAATATTATTCCCCCCTTCCAAAATAAAAAAAACAATGTATAGTTCTGCATAGAGTGTAATTTTGAAAGGAAAGTTGACTACTTTGTGTAATACAGTGGAAAATTTTTTTTCTACAATATCTAAGCAAAACAGCCCAAATATGGGTCGAAAATATAGAGCGACTATGTAAGATTATGCAAATGAGGTAAGAGCTTATTGGCATAGTGAAATTAGATAGTTGAACGTCACCTCGTGGCCCCGATATTGGCCGAATTCATATTAGAAGACGACAAACTCGTCACAGACGGAATTCCGTCAGACAGAATACCGTCTAATATAAAATCAAGGACGGAAAACCGTCTTAAAGTCGCGACCGATGTAAACTGTAAAACACAGTAAGACAGAAAAAGTTTCGGGCGATCAGGCCATATATGTTGCGAAGAACAAAACATGGCTGCCATCATGTTTGCTCAAAACCTCTTGTCAACAACGAGAAAGCGGAAGGCTCAAGATTTCATAGAGTAGTTAAGAAGGAGAGATGGAGGTTCTAAAGCACGAAATTTTATTTGAGGAGGAGAATTCAATTCAAAAGATTGCAGCTGCTGTAGTCTGCTCATCTACAAAAGAGCGAAAGAAAAAGGTCCCGTGGAGCAGAGAGATTGTCTATGGTGGCAGCATGGATACCTTAACTGGATAAAAGAACTGTTTAAAAGAAGGTTCAGAGTAAATCGCGATACCTTTAATTTTATACTGAATGCTATTGAAGATCTTATCACAAAGTAGGCAACTATTCAAAGAACCGGTATTGCCAGATCGCCAACTTGGATTAACTATGTAAACTTATGTACCGTTTAGCTCATGGATGTTCCTATTCAACAGTCTGTGATCTTTTTGGGGTTGCCTCTTATACAGCTTACCAAATCAGTTCAACGAAGTCCTTCGTGTTATCGTTCAAGTGGCGGAATTCCGTCAGATTGAATACCGTCTAATATAAATTTAAGGACGGGAAACCGTCTAAAGTCGGGACCAATGTAAAATGTAAAATAAAGTAACAGGGAAAAAGCTTAGGACGATCAGGCCAGGTTGCGAAGAACAAAACATGGCTACCATCATGTTTGCTCAAAACCTCTTATCAACAGCGAGAAAGCGGAAGGCTCAAAATAGCATAGAGTAGTTAAGAAGGAGAGATGAAGGTTCTAAAGCACGAAAAATTTTATTCGAGGAGGAGAATTCAATTCAAAATATTGCAGCCGCTGTAGTCTGCTCATCAACAAAACTGGAGCGGAAAGAAAAAGGTCCCGTGGAGCAGAGAGATTGTCTATGGTGGCAGCATGGATATCATAACTGGACAAACGAAGAGGTCAAAAAGAAGGTTTAGAGTAAATAGCGATACCTTTAATTTTATACTGAATGCTATGGAAGATCTTATCACAAAAGAAATCACTAAATTCAAAGAACCGGTATCGCCAGATATCGCCAGATCGCCAACTAAATTAACTATGTGAGCTTAAGTACCGTTTAGCTCATGGATGTTCCTATTCAACAGTCGGTGATCTTTTTAGGGTTGCCTCTTCTACAGCTTGCCAAATCAGTTCAACGAAGTCATTTGTGTTATCGTTCAAGTGTTTTATGATGAGTACGTGACTGAAAGTTGACCAACAATAATTTAAAATGCCGAGGCACATTTTTTTCGAGTGTGGCCGCGCACTTTTAATGCAAATTAGTAAAATGTCTTAAGTGCTCTTAAGGTTAGACAAAAAGGATCTTTATCGATGAGGATAAACTTGTTTTTGTGCTCAAGTATATGCTCCCACAGCATTTTGTCCATACATTGTTGAAGTTGCCAACACAACAAAATTAAAGAGTGCTCGATGTAAAACTAGGGAATCACCTTAAAAAGTTAAAAACACTATCTAAGATTAAAGGCTGCGGATGTTATTTAATTATTGTTATCAAGCAAACAAACAACAATTATTGAGAAAAGACTAACAACTGCTCACTGATGAGAACAATTTTTTGCTCGGCCGTTACAATGCTTTGCCCTTGAGCCAGGAAATGAAATAACGAAAGGAAAATTGCCAAAATTCTTTGCAGCTTTCTTTGAGTCTCTTCGTAAAATTGAAATTGGGCTCTTAGATGAAGGCCTTTACCTCTTTCTTTTAGATTTTGATGAGTGCAATAATGGTAGCCATGACTGTCTTTCGAATGCCACCTGTATAAACACCGCTGGTTACTTTGAATGCAAGTGCAAAGACGGATACATCGGAGATGGACGCAACTGTACAGGTAAAGATCAGTTAAAACACATTGTCTTCAGCATTTATTTTAAGTATTTTTGACCATGCAACTCAAAAAAAAATTATATCTCAGCTGTTATTTATAGTGCTATATAAAGCTATACCTTATTGGACAGGCAAAAATTCAAATTTCAAAAAAAAAATTAGTTCAGTCTCGGGAAACCCATAATATTCCCCCTTCCAAAAAAAAAAAAAGCAATGTATAGTTCTGCATAGAGTGTAATTTTGAAAGGAAAGTTGACTACTTTGTGTAATACAGTAGAAAATTTTTTTTCTACAATATCTAAGCAAAACAGCCCAAATATGGGTCGAAAATATAGAGCGACTATGTAAGATTATGCAAATGAGGTAAGAGCTTATTGGCATAGTGAAATTAGATAGTTGAACGTCACCTCGTGGCCCCGATATTGGCCGAATTCATATTAGAAGACGAGAAACTCGTCACAGACGGAATTCCGTCAGACAGAATACCGTCTAATATAAAATCAAGGACGGAAAACCGTCTTAAAGTCGCGACCGATGTAAACTGTAAAACACAGTAAGACAGAAAAAGTTTCGGGCGATCAGGCCATATATGTTGCGAAGAACAAAACATGGCTGCCATCATGTTTGCTCAAAACCTCTTGTCAACAACGAGAAAGCGGAAGGCTAAAGATTTCATAGAGTAGTTAAGAAGGAGAGATGGAGGTTCTAAAGCACGAAATTTTATTTGAGGAGGAGAATTCAATTCAAAAGATTGCAGCCGCTGTAGTCTGCTCATCTACAAAAGAGGGAAAAAAAAAAGGTCCCGTGGAGCAGAGAGATTGTCTATGGTGGCAGCATGGATACCTTAACTGGATAAACGAACAGTTTAAAAGAAGGTTCAGAGTAAATCGCGATACCTTTAATTTTATACTGAATGCTATTGAAGATCTTATCACAAAGGAAGTCACTATTCAAAGAACCGGTATTGCCAGATCGCCAACTTGGATTAACTATGTAAACTTGTGTACCGTTTAGCTCATGGATGTTCCTATTCAACAGTCAGTGATCTTTTTGGGGTTGCCTCTTATACAGCTTACCAAATCAGTTCAACGAAGTCCTTCGTGTTATCGTTCAAGTGGCGGAACTCCGTCAGATTGAATACCGTCTAATATAAATTTAAGGACGGGAAACCGTCTAAAGTCGGGACCAATGTAAAATGTAAAATAAAGTAACACGGAAAAAGCTTAGGACGATCAGGCCAGGTTGCGAAGAACAAAACATGGCTGCCATCATGTTTGCTCAAAACCTCTTATCAACAGCGAGAAAGCGGAAGGCTCAAAATAGCATAGAAAAGTTAAGAAGGAGAGATGAAGGTTCTAAAGCACGAAAAATTTTATTCGAGGAGGAGAATTCAATTCAAAATATTGCAGCCGCTGTAGTCTGCTCATCAACAAAACTGGAGCGGAAAGAAAAAGGTCCCGTGGAGCAGAGAGATTGTCTATGGTGGCAGCATGGATATCATAACTGGACAAACGAAGAGGTCAAAAAAAAGAAGGTTTAGAGTAAATAGCGATACCTTTAATTTTATACTGAATGCTATGGAAGATCTTATCACAAAAGAAATCACTAAATTCAAAGAACCGGTATCGCCAGATATCGCCAGATCGCCAACTTAATTAACTATGTGAGCTTAAGTACCGTTTAGCTCATGGATGTTCCTATTCAACAGTCGGTGATCTTTTAGGGTTGCCTCTTCTACAGCTTGCCAAATCAGTTCAACGAAGTCATTTGTGTTATCGTTCAAGTGTTTTATGATGAGTACGTGACTGAAAGTTGACCAACAATAATTTAAAATGCCGAGGCACATTTTTTTTCGAGTGTGGCCGCGCACTTTTAATGCAAATTAGTAAAATGTCTTAAGTGCTCTTAAGGTTAGACAAAAAGGATCTTTATCGATGAGGATAAACTTGTTTTTGTGCTCAAGTATATGCTCCCACAGCATTTTGTCCATACATTGTTGAAGTTGCCAACACAACAAAATTAAAGAGTGCTCGATGTAAAGCTAGGGAATCACCTTAAAAAGTTTAAAACACTATCTAAGATTAAAGGCTGCGGATGTTATTTAATTATTGTTATCAAGCAAACAAACAACAATTATTGAGAAAAGACTAACAACTGCACACTGATAAGAACAATTTTTTGCTCGGCCGTAACAATGCTTTGCCCTTGAGCCAGGAAATGAAATAACGAAAGGAAAATTGCCAAAATTCTTTGCAGCTTTCTTTGAGTCTCTTCGTAAAATTGAAATTGGGCTCTTAGATGAAGGCCTTTACCTCTTTCTTTTGGATTTTGATGAGTGCAATAATGGTAGCCATGACTGTCTTTCGAATGCCACCTGTATAAACACCGCTGGTTACTTTGAATGCAAGTGCAAAGACGGATACATCGGAGATGGACGCAACTGTACAGGTAAAGATCAGTTAAAACACATTGTCTTCAGCATTTATTTTAAGTATTTTTGACCATGCAACTTCAAAAAAAAATTATATCTCAGCTGTTATTTATAGTGCCATATAAAGCTATACCTTATTGGACAGGCAAAAATTCAAATTTCAAAAAAAAAAATTAGTTCAGTCTCGGGAAACCCATAATATTCCCCCTTCCAAAAAAAAAAAAAAACAATGTATAGTTCTGCATAGAGTGTAATTTTGAAAGGAAAGTTGACTACTTTGTGTAATACAGTAGAAATTTTTTTTTCTACAATATCTAAACAAAACAGCCCAAATATGGGTCGAAAATATAGAGCGACTATGTAAGATTATGCAAATGAGGTAAGAGCTTATTGGCATAGTGAAATTAGATAGTTGAACGTCACCTCGTGGCCCCGATATTGGCCGAATTCATATTAGAAGACGAGAAACTCGTCACAGACGGAATTCCGTCAGACAGAATACCGTCTAATATAAAATCAAGGACGGAAAACCGTCTTAAAGTCGCTACCGATGTAAACTGTAAAACACAGTAAGACAGAAAAAGTTTCGGGCGATCAGGCCATATATGTTGCGAAGAACAAAACATGGCTGCCATCATGTTTGCTCAAAACCTCTTGTCAACAACGAGAAAGCGAAAGGCTCAAGATTTCATAGAGTAGTTAAGAAGGAGAGATGGAGGTTCTAAAGCACGAAATTTTATTTGAGGAGGAGAATTCAATTCAAAAGATTGCAGCTGCTGTAGTCTGCTCATCTACAAAAGAGCGAAAGAAAAAGGTCCCGTCGAGCAGAGAGATTGTCTATGGTGGCAGCATGGATACCTTAACTGGATAAACGAACATTTTTAAAGAAGGTTCAGAGTAAATCGCGATACCTTTAATTTTATACTGAATGCTATTGAAGATCTTATCACAAAGGAAGTCACTATTCAAAGAACCGGTATTGCCAGATCGCCAACTTGGATTAACTATGTAAACTTATGTACCGTTTAGCTCATGGATGTTCCTATTCAACAGTCAGTGATCTTTTTGGGGTTGCCTCTTATACAGCTTACCAAATCAGTTCAACGAAGTCCTTCGTGTTATCGTTCAAGTGGCGGAATTCCGTCAGATTGAATACCGTCTAATATAAATTTAAGGACGGGAAACCGTCTAAAGTCGGGACCAATGTAAAATGTAAAATAAAGTAACAGGGAAAAAGCTTAGGACGATCAGGCCAGGTTGCGAAGAACAAAACATGGCTACCATCATGTTTGCTCAAAACCTCTTATCAACAGCGAGAAAGCGGAAGGCTCAAAATAGCATAGAGTAGTTAAGAAGGAGAGATGAAGGTTCTAAAGCACGAAAAATTTTATTCGAGGAGGAGAATTCAATTCAAAATATTGCAGCCGCTGTAGTCTGCTCATCAACAAAACTGGAGCGGAAAGAAAAAGGTCCCGTGGAGCAGAGAGATTGTCTATGGTGGCAGCATGGATATCATAACTGGACAAACGAAGAGATCAAAAAGAAGGTTTAGAGTAAATAGCGATACCTTTAATTTTATACTGAATGCTATGGAAGATCTTATCACAAAAGAAATCACTAAATTCAAAGAACCGGTATCGCCAGATATCGCCAGATCGCCAACTTAATTAACTATGTGAGCTTAAGTACCGTTTAGCTCATGGATGTTCCTATTCAACAGTCGGTGATCTTTTTAGGGTTGCCTCTTCTACAGCTTGCCAAATCAGTTCAACGAAGTCATTTGTGTTATCGTTCAAGTGTTTTATGATGAGTACGTGACTGAAAGTTGACCAACAATAATTTAAAATGCCGAGGCACATTTTTTCGAGTGTGGCCGCGCACTTTTAATGCAAATTAGTAAAATGTCTTAAGTGCTCTTAAGGTTAGACAAAAAGGATCTTTATCGATGAGGATAAACTTGTTTTTGTGCTCAAGTATATGCTCCCACAGCATTTTGTCCATACATTGTTGAAGTTGCCAACACAACAAAATTAAAGAGTGCTCGATGTAAAACTAGGGAATCACCTTAAAAAGTTAAAAACACTATCTAAGATTAAAGGCTGCGGATGTTATTTAATTATTGTTATCAAGCAAACAAACAACAATTATTGAGAAAAGACTAACAACTGCTCACTGATGAGAACAATTTTTTGCTCGGCCGTTACAATGCTTTGCCCTTGAGCCAGGAAATGAAATAACAAAAGGAAAATTGCCAAAATTCTTTGCAGCTTTCTTTGAGTCTCTTCGTAAAATTGAAATTGGGCTCTTAGATGAAGGCCTTTACCTCTTTCTTTTAGATTTTGATGAGTGCAATAATGGTAGCCATGACTGTCTTTCGAATGCCACCTGTATAAACACCGCTGGTTACTTTGAATGCAAGTGCAAAGACGGATACATCGGAGATGGACGCAACTGTACAGGTAAAGATCAGTTAAAACACATTGTCTTCAGCATTTATTTTAAGTATTTTTGACCATGCAACTTCAAAAAATTATATCTCAGCTGTTATTTATAGTGCTATATAAAGCTATACCTTATTGGACAGGGCAAAAATTCAAATTTCAAAAAAAAAAATTAGTTCAGTCTCGGGAAACCCATAATATTCCCCCTTCCAAAATAAAAAAAACAATGTATAGTTCTGCATAGAGTGTAATTTTGAAAGGAAAGTTGACTACTTTGTGTAATACAGTAGAAAATTTTTTTTCTACAATATCTAAGCAAAACAGCCCAAATATGGGTCGAAAATATAGAGCGACTATGTAAGATTATGCAAATGAGGTAAGAGCTTATTGGCATAGTGAAATTAGATAGTTGAACGTCACCTCGTGGCCCCGATATTGGCCGAATTCATATTAGAAGACGAGAAACTCGTCACAGACGGAATTCCGTCAGACAGAATACCGTCTAATATAAAATCAAGGACGGAAAACCGTCTTAAAGTCGCGACCGATGTAAACTGTAAAACACAGTAAGACAGAAAAAGTTTCGGGCGATCAGGCCATATATGTTGCGAAGAACAAAACATGGCTGCCATCATGTTTGCTCAAAACCTCTTGTCAACAACGAGAAAGCGGAAGGCTAAAGATTTCATAGAGTAGTTAAGAAGGAGAGATGGAGGTTCTAAAGCACGAAATTTTATTTGAGGAGGAGAATTCAATTCAAAAGATTGCAGCCGCTGTAGTCTGCTCATCTACAAAAGAGCGAAAAAAAAAGGTCCCGTGGAGCAGAGAGATTGTCTATGGTGGCAGCATGGATACCTTAACTGGATAAACGAACAGTTTAAAAGAAGGTTCAGAGTAAATCGCGATACCTTTAATTTTATACTGAATGCTATTGAAGATCTTATCACAAAGGAAGTCACTATTCAAAGAACCGGTATTGCCAGATCGCCAACTTGGATTAACTATGTAAACTTATGTACCGTTTAGCTCATGGATGTTCCTATTCAACAGTCAGTGATCTTTTTTGGGGTTGCCTCTTATACAGCTTACCAAATCAGTTCAACGAAGTCCTTCGTGTTATCGTTCAAGTGGCGGAATTCCGTCAGATTGAATACCGTCTAATATAAATTTAAGGACGGAAACCGTCTAAAGTCGGGACCAATGTAAAATGTAAAATAAAGTAACAGGGAAAAAGCTTAGGACGATCAGGCCAGGTTGCGAAGAACAAAACATGGCTACCATCATGTTTGCTCAAAACCTCTTATCAACAGCGAGAAAGCGGAAGGCTCAAAATAGCATAGAGTAGTTAAGAAGGAGAGATGAAGGTTCTAAAGCACGAAAAATTTTATTCGAGGAGGAGAATTCAATTCAAAATATTGCAGCCGCTGTAGTCTGCTCATCAACAAAACTGGAGCGGAAAGAAAAAGGTCCCGTGGAGCAGAGAGATTGTCTATGGTGGCAGCATGGATATCATAACTGGACAAACGAAGAGGTCAAAAAGAAGGTTTAGAGTAAATAGCGATACCTTTAATTTTATACTGAATGCTATGGAAGATCTTATCACAAAAGAAATCACTAAATTCAAAGAACCGGTATCGCCAGATATCGCCAGATCGCCAACTTAATTAACTATGTGAGCTTAAGTACCGTTTAGCTCATGGATGTTCCTATTCAACAGTCGGTGATCTTTTTAGGGTTGCCTCTTCTACAGCTTGCCAAATCAGTTCAACGAAGTCATTTGTGTTATCGTTCAAGTGTTTTATAATGAGTACGTGACTGAAAGTTGACCAACAATAATTTAAAATGCCGAGGCACATTTTTTTCGAGTGTGGCCGCGCACTTTTAATGCAAATTAGTAAAATGTCTTAAGTGCTCTTAAGGTTAGGCAAAAAAAGGATCTTTATCGATGAGGATAAACTTGTTTTTGTGCTCAAGTATATGCTCCCACAGCATTTTGTCCATACATTGTTGAAGTTGCCAACACAACAAAAATTAAAGAGTGCTCGATGTAAAGCTAGGGAATCACCTTAAAAAGTTAAAAACACTATCTAAGATTAAAGGCTGCGGATGTTATTTAATTATTGTTATCAAGCAAACAAACAACAATTATTGAGAAAAGACTAACAACTGCACACTGATAAGAACAATTTTTGCTCGGCCGTAAAAATGCTTTGCCCTTGAGCCAGGAAATGAAATAACGAAAGGAAAATTGCCAAAATTCTTTGCAGCTTTCTTTGAGTCTCTTCGTAAAATTGAAATTGGGCTCTTAGATGAAGGCCTTTACCTCTTTCTTTTAGATTTTGATGAGTGCAATAATGGTAGCCATGACTGTCTTTCGAATGCCACCTGTATAAACACCGCTGGTTACTTTGAATGCAAGTGCAAAGACGGATACATCGGAGATGGACGCAACTGTACAGGTAAAGATCAGTTAAAAATCATTGTCTTCAGCATTTATTTTAAGTATTTTTGACCATGCAACTTCAAAAAAATTATATCTCAGCTGTTATTTATAGTGCCATATAAAGCTATACCTTATTGGACAGGGCAAAAATTCAAATTTCAAAAAAAAATTAGTTCAGTCTCGGGAAACCCATAATATTCCCCCCTTCCAAAATAAAAAAAAACAATGTATAGTTCTGCATAGAGTGTAATTTTGAAAGGAAAGTTGACTACTTTGTGTGTAATACAGTAGAAAATTTTTTTCTACAATATCTAAACAAAACAGCCCAAATATGGGTCGAAAATATAGAGCGACTATGTAAGATTATGCAAATGAGGTAAGAGCTTATTGGCATAGTGAAATTAGATAGTTGAACGTCACCTCGTGGCCCCGATATTGGCCGAATTCATATTAGAAGACGAGAAACTCGTCACAGACGGAATTCCGTCAGACAGAATACCGTCTAATATAAAATCAAGGACGGAAAACCGTCTTAAAGTCGCGACCGATGTAAACTGTAAAACACAGTAAGACAGAAAAAGTTTCGGGCGACCAGGCCATATATGTTGCGAAGAACAAAACATGGCTGCCATCATGTTTGCTCAAAACCTCTTGTCAACAACGAGAAAGCGGAAGGCTCAAGATTTCATAGAGTAGTTAAGAAGGAGAGATGGAGGTTCTAAAGCACGAAATTTTATTTGAGGAGGAGAATTCAATTCAAAAGATTGCAGCTGCTGTAGTCTGCTCATCTACAAAAGAGCGAAAGAAAAAGGTCCCGTGGAGCAGAGAGATTGTCTATGGTGGCAGCATGGATACCTTAACTGGATAAACGAACAGTTTAAAAGAAGGTTCAGAGTAAATCGCGATACCTTTAATTTTATACTGAATGCTATTGAAGATCTTATCACAAAGGAAGTCACTATTCAAAGAACCGGTATTGCCAGATCGCCAACTTGGATTAACTATGTAAACTTATGTACCGTTTAGCTCATGGATGTTCCTATTCAACAGTCAGTGATCTTTTTGGGGTTGCCTCTTATACAGCTTACCAAATCAGTTCAACGAAGTCCTTCGTGTTATCGTTCAAGTGGCGGAATTCCGTCAGATTGAATACCGTCTAATATAAATTTAAGGACGGGAAACCGTCTAAAGTCGGGACCAATGTAAAATGTAAAATAAAGTAACACGGAAAAAGCTTAGGACGATCAGGCCAGGTTGCGAAGAACAAAACGTGGCTGCCATCATGTTTGCTCAAAACCTCTTATCAACAGCGAGAAAGCGGAAGGCTCAAAATAGCATAGAGTAGTTAAGAAGGAGAGATGAAGGTTCTAAAGCACGAAAAATTTTATTCGAGGAGGAGAATTCAATTCAAAATATTGCAGCCGCTGTAGTCTGCTCATCAACAAAACTGGAGCGGAAAGAAAAAGGTCCCGTGGAGCAGAGAGATTGTCTATGGTGGCAGCATGGATATCATAACTGGACAAACGAAGAGGTCAAAAAGAAGGTTTAGAGTAAATAGCGATACCTTTAATTTTATACTGAATGCTATGGAAGATCTTATCACAAAAGAAATCACTAAATTCAAAGAACCGGTATCGCCAGATATCGCCAGATCGCCAACTAAATTAACTATGTGAGCTTAAGTACCGTTTAGCTCATGGATGTTCCTATTCAACAGTCGGTGATCTTTTTAGGGTTGCCTCTTCTACAGCTTGCCAAATCAGTTCAACGAAGTCATTTGTGTTATCGTTCAAGTGTTTTATGATGAGTACGTGACTGAAAGTTGACCAACAATAATTTAAAATGCCGAGGCACATTTTTTCGAGTGTGGCCGCGCACTTTTAATGCAAATTAGTAAAATGTCTTAAGTGCTCTTAAGGTTAGGCAAAAAGGATCTTTATCGATGAGGATAAACTTGTTTTTGTGCTCAAGTATATGCTCCCACAGCATTTTGTCCATACATTGTTGAAGTTGCCAACACAACAAAATTAAAGAGTGCTCGATGTAAAGCTAGGGAATCACCTTAAAAAGTTAAAAACACTATCTAAGATTAAAGGCTGCGGATGTTATTTAATTATTGTTATCAAGCAAACAAACAACAATTATTGAGAAAAGACTAACAACTGCACACTGATAAGAACAATTTTTTGCTCGGCCGGAAGAATGCTTTGCCCTTGAGCCAGGAAATTAAATAACGAAAGGAAAATTGCCAAAATTCTTTGCAGCTTTCTTTGAGTCTCTTCGTAAAATTGAAATTGGGCTCTTAGATGAAGGCCTTTACCTCTTTCTTTTAGATTTTGATGAGTGCAATAATGGTAGCCATGACTGTCTTTCGAATGCCACCTGTATAAACACCGCTGGTTACTTTGAATGCAAGTGCAAAGACGGATACATCGGAGATGGACGCAACTGTACAGGTAAAGATCAGTTAAAACACATTGTCTTCAGCATTTATTTTAAGTATTTTTGACCATGCAACTTCAAAAAAATTATATCTCAGCTGTTATTTATAGTGCCATATAAAGCTATACCTTATTGGACAGGGCAAAAATTCAAATTTCAAAAAAAAATTAGTTCAGTCTCGGGAAACCCATAATATTCCCCCCTTCCAAAATAAAAAAAACAATGTATAGTTCTGCATAGAGTGTAATTTTGAAAGGAAAGTTGACTACTTTGTGTAATACAGTAGAAAATTTTTTTTCTACAATATCTAAGCAAAACAGCCCAAATATGGGTCGAAAATATAGAGCGACTATGTAAGATTATGCAAATGAGGTAAGAGCTTATTGGCATAGTGAAATTAGATAGTTGAACGTCACCTCGTGGCCCCGATATTGGCCGAATTCATATTAGAAGACGAGAAACTCGTCACAGACGGAATTCCGTCAGACAGAATACCGTCTAATATAAAATCAAGGACGGAAAACCGTCTTAAAGTCGCGACCGATGTAAACTGTAAAACACAGTAAGACAGAAAAAGTTTCGGGCGATCAGGCCATATATGTTGCGAAGAACAAAACATGGCTGCCATCATGTTTGCTCAAAACCTCTTGTCAACAACGAGAAAGCGGAAGGCTCAAGATTTCATAGAGTAGTTAAGAAGGAGAGATGGAGGTTCTAAAGCACGAAATTTTATTTGAGGAGGAGAATTCAATTCAAAAGATTGCAGCTGCTGTAGTCTGCTCATCTACAAAAGAGCGAAAGAAAAAGGTCCCGTCGAGCAGAGAGATTGTCTATGGTGGCAGCATGGATACCTTAACTGGATAAACGAACAGTCTGAAAGAAGGTTAAGAGTAAATCGCGATACCTTTAATTTTATACTGAATGCTATTGAAGATCTTATCACAAAGGAAGTCACTATTTAAAGAACCGGTATTGCCAGATCGCCAACTTGGATTAACTATGTAAACTTATGTACCGTTTAGTTCATGGATGTTCCTATTCAATAGTCAGTGATCTTTATGGGGTTGCCTCTTATACAGCTTACCAAATCAGTTCAACGAAGTCCTTCGTGTTATCGTTCAAGTGGCGGAATTCCGTCAGATTGAATACCGTCTAATATAAATTTAAGGACGGGAAACCGTCTAAAGTCGGGACCAATGTAAAATGTAAAATAAAGTAACACGGAAAAAGCTTAGGACGATCAGGCCAGGTTGCGAAGAACAAAACATGGCTGCCATCATGTTTGCTCAAAACCTCTTATCAACAGGGAGAAAGCGGAAGGCTCAAAATAGCATAGAGTAGTTAAGAAGGAGAGATGAAGGTTCTAAAGCACGAAAAATTTTATTCGAGGAGGAGAATTCAATTCAAAATATTGCAGCCGCTGTAGTCTGCTCATCAACAAAACTGGAGCGGAAAGAAAAAGGTCCCGTGGAGTAGAGAGATTGTCTATGGTGGCAACATGGATATCATAACTGGGCAAAGGAAGAGGTCAAAAAGAAGGTTTAGAGTAAATAGCGATACCTTTAATTTTATACTGAATGCTATGGAAGATCTTATCACAAAAGAAATCACTAAATTCAAAGAACCGGTATCGCCAGATATCGCCAGATCGCCAACTTAATTAACTATGTGAGCTTAAGTACCGTTTAGCTCATGGATGTTCCTATTCAACAGTCGGTGATCTTTTTAGGGTTGCCTCTTCTACAGCTTGCCAAATCAGTTCAACGAAGTCATTTGTGTTATCGTTCAAGTGTTTTATGATGAGTACGTGACTGAAAGTTGACCAACAATAATTTAAAATGCCGAGGCAATTTTTTTTTTTTCGAGTGTGGCCGCGCACTTTTAATGCAAATTAGTAAAATGTCTTAAGTGCTCTTAAGGTTAGGCAAAAAGGATCTTTATCGATGAGGATAAACTTGTTTTTGTGCTCAAGTATATGCTCCCACAGCATTTTGTCCATACATTGTTGAAGTTGCCAACACAACAAAATTAAAGAGTGCTCGATGTAAAGCTAGGGAATCACCTTAAAAAGTTAAAAACACTATCTAAGATTAAAGGCTGCGGATGTTATTTAATTATTGTTATCAAGCAAACAAACAACAATTATTGAGAAAAGACTAACAACTGCACACTGATAAGAAAAATGTTTTGCTCGGCCGTAACAATGCTTTTCCCTTGAGCCAGGAAATGAAATAACGAAAGGAAAATTGCCAAAATTCTTTGCAGCTTTCTTTGAGTCTCTTCGTAAAATTGAAATTGGGCTCTTAGATGAAGGCCTTTACCTCTTTCTTTTAGATTTTGATGAGTGCAATAATGGTAGCCATGACTGTCTTTCGAATGCCACCTGTATAAACACCGCTGGTTACTTTGAATGCAAGTGCAAAGACGGATACATCGGAGATGGACGCAACTGTACAGGTAAAGATCAGTTAAAACACATTGTCTTCAGCATTTATTTTAAGTATTTTTGACCATGCAACTTCAAAAAAATTATATCTCAGCTGTTATTTATAGTGCTATATAAAGCTATACCTTATTGGACAGGGCAAAAATTC